TTATCGGATGGAGGATGTAATTGGTCTAGGAACAATGAGTTGTGAGGGCTCTTACGATTTTGCTCGGATCAGTCCCGTCGCGGGGAGTACAAGTCTAGGAAGAGGAGGCCGAGAACGACTTTAAAGGAGCGGATACCGGGGCCGAAGTCTTTTGAGAACCCCTTGTTTAGACTACCTTTGGTGAATAAAAAGCAAACAGTGTACGCAATGCCATAGAGTAATCCTTGCCTTGGATTTTTTTTTTATTCTGTAAGACGCAATGCTGTTGTCTGTCTGGCTGATGTGTCCCCGCCTCTAAAAGTGGCTGGGCTTTGGTGCTTTGGTTCTTTGGGGGGCTTTTCTGGAGCACACTAGGCAATGAGCGTGGAGAGACGGACAGTCGACTTTCGCGTGTGAAAGTCAAGCAAGAGAAGCCTGAGGGAAAGGGAAGACAAGGAGTAAACTCGGCATTCAAGTCCGAGTCAGGAGAGTGCCGTGTCTCTTACCGGTGTCCTGGCGTCGGAGAGTGGAGAGCTCCGAGTTCAAACTAGAGACGTTGAGAGCACCTCAGCAATTACGAATAACATTGACTGGATGGCATGAGCCATGCTGAAGAGGAGCTCCCGTCCCTCCTGAGTTCGGGGGACGGCACCGGACGACATCGGCGCTTTCCCAAGTTTGGAACAGGCTTGCCGAGCCACACTTCTGTGGAATCTCCCACTTGAGATTGTGGCTTGCCCTCCATAATCAGCCCCACTTTGACCGTTGCAACTGAGGCTGAGGTGGGAAAGCGGTCGCAGCGGCGGTGCATCATGAGCTACATACACCGAGCCGACACAGCGAAGCTACCTTATCGAGGATCACTACGTCAGATCAAGAGACGGCCAATTCGATACCTGGTTACCAGAGCCACATAGACCATCGTCGCATCGTTTCAGCGATCCATCGACACCCTCAGCCGGAACCGCCCCGGCCCGCGGACCTTCGAATCGGCCGCGCAACTCTAGGTCTCACAGCAGGCAGCTCCCGAATCCCCGGCGCTCTTATCAATCACCACCTTCACCTCCCCCGTCAACATGGCGTTCTTAATTCTAGTTATTGGCGACCTCCACATCCCAGATCGCGCCCTCGATATCCCCCCAAAGGTACACACCTTCTCCCCGCTTGGCCCGGCTCCCCTCTCCCCTCCCCCCTCCCCACAACAGCTTCAGCAAGCTAACACACAACACCCAAACAACAGTTCAAGAAGCTCCTCGCCCCAGGAAAGATCGGCCAGACCCTCTGCCTGGGCAACTTGACAGACAAGCACACGTACGAGTACCTCCGCACCATCGCCCCGGACCTCAAGATCGTAAAGGGCCGCTTCGACGTCGAGGCCACCAGCCTGCCCCTCACCCAGGTCGTCACCCACGGCTCCCTGCGCATCGGCTTCCTCGAGGGCTTCACCCTCGTCTCCAACGAGCCCGACCTCCTCCTCGCCGAGGCCAACAAGCTCGACGTCGACGTCCTCTGCTGGGGCGGCACCCACAAGTTCGACGCCTTTGAGTACATGGACAAGTTCTTCGTCAACCCAGGCAGCGCCACGGGCGCCTTCACCGCGGGCTGGGGCAAGGACGGGGAGGAGCCCGTCCCCAGCTTCTGTTTGATGGACGTGAGTAGCATCCAATTCATTGCCCCAAGCTGGCCGGCTCGGATGCCATCTAGTAGGGAATAAGCATATGTCGTACTCGTTTTGCTGACAGCCAGTCCAGGTGCAAGGGATTTCTCTTACTCTCTACGTATACCAACTACGGAAAGACGACAAAGGCAACGAGAATGTTGCTGTAGAAAAGGTGACATACACGAAGCCTGTGGAACCATCGGCAGCAGCATGAATCAATGGCGCAATGACGACAGGAGAAGGCGTTTAATCGAGGACGTGGACATTTGCAAGAAAAAGTGGAAGATCCAGCCATCATCGACTGGTTATCATGATTCAAGACCACAGGAACGTAGGCAAATGATGATCATGATAATAATATAAGTTTCAGCCAGCCATTATTCGGGGCGTCAAGCTCGCTATGCTCCCCTATATGCACAATAAACCCAATCGCGTGCGTCTCCCTTGGTATCCAGACGGCAGTGGCCCTTCTCCGGACCTACCCAGAAACTTAGACAAAACAAGGAGAATGGTATTTGACAACGTATCCAACTCCAAAAAAAACACCAGTGCTAGCCGTCAGTGTCATCAAGTGGTGGTCATTACAACATCATGCTCCTTCTCCGCATCGACACTTTGGAATTTGTTTCCTGAAAGTCGCTGCTGCTCTCCACACTCTCGAAGCTGCTATCTTCGACACATTCTGCTTCTGCGCGATTTCTTTTGGGCAAGACCATCGACGCTCTCTTTCTGGGCCCACCGGACTTGGGTCGCTGGCTCACTTCTGCCCCCTCCCCTCTGAAGTCGTCCCTCGTTGTAGACGACGCCCGTCTTGATGATTTGGACTGTCGCGCTGGCAAAGTGAGGTCCTTTGTATCGACAACCCGAAACGTGTCGCTAGCCGGTGTTGAGGCGGGGAACTCATAGGGATCAGCCTCCCTCTCGGGCGATAATGTCGATTGGCGGCTGGGTGTCTTCTCTGGGGCAGTCGAGCTGCTAGCCTTTTGTTGGAAAGGCCTCTGTCCTTCGCCCTCACTGATCGAGCCCGACATCATGGCGGACGACCGTTTCTTACGAAGTGGTTTAGCCACGGCGAGAAGTCGTTCCGGCGACATCGGTTTGTCGATGGGCTCGTGGGGGCTCTTCTGACCTTGCCGGCTGATTACAGACGGCGAAGCAGCAGCCGCAATCTGTTGCCACGTAGCATCGTCACTAGATTCGCGTTTGGTTGTTGGTGCCGCATCCGATGCAGATGGATCTGAACTGGCGCTGCCACTACGCTGAAGGTACCTCGTCTGACCAGTAACGGCGTCATAAAGTTCCTTCGTAGGGCGTCGCATCTTGTCACGCAGGTTCGGTTCTGCGTAGCTGACCGAAGCGCGCGCCCTCCTACTTGGCCGTGAAGTTTCGCCCTGGGAAGAGATGTCGTTTGGCGGCGGCGTATCCCGAACACTCGGCAGGCTCATTCTAGACGCTGGCTCAGGGGATGCTGGTGATAGGAGAGCAGCTTCGATGGGTACCGTTTCTGTACTCGGCAGAACGTCGACAGTGGGTGCTGGTGATGGCACTGTGGCAATGACAACTTCGACTGGCTCAGGCTCGGGTCTGGATTCGGCCTCGGCTTCTCTAATCTTCTGCGCAGCCCTCTGGCTTGCGGCGCGCGGCTTCGGCTTTTCAGGGGCGACCTTAGAGTCATTCGCTGCGTCTTTGAAGCTCTTCACAGGCGAAGCCATGTCGTCATTCGTGCTCTTGGCCGACAATGGCTTTCTCGAGTTGACTGGTGCCGACATTCGTTCTCTAGCCTCACGGCGTCTGTTGGCGAGCTCTTTCAGCGTCTGTCCGCTAGGTTGCTCGCGTGCCTCAAGCGGGCGCTGCTCGAATTCTTTTGACTTCGATGGTTGGATGGGAGGTTTTGTGACTTTGGCAAGGTCGTCTCCCATGCTATGCTTTCTCTTTGATCCAGCTTTGACGACAATCGGAAGCACGGGGGGCAAGATGGGAGTCTCCTTGGGTGGGTGCTTGGCATCGGGTCTGGCGTCTTCCGTCTTGGTCGCAGGATCGGGCCGCACAATGACATTTCTCTCGGGCTTCTGTGTCGTTCGGGATACGGGTGCTGGAGCTACTACTGGCGCTGGTGATGGTGATTTTACCGGCGAGCTGTTTGTGGCTGCCTGCGGCTCTGTGGCACTCAGGGGTTGACGAGGGGATCCGATGTCAACGGAGTCTGCATCGACGAATCGTGACATTGGTGGAGGACCAAGTTCGGGGGAATCAGTGGTATCGGCGTTGTCTGTTGCATCTGTCGTATCGGCGGCTTCTGAGCACAGAGCGAGGATTTGGTCACGGCTTTGTCACATTAGCACCACAAATTCGACGACAGGCATCACGGCCGACTTACTCAAGTGTTGCCCTTGGATACGATTTGTTCTCTGTGATAGGCGGTAGGCGGCCCTCTTGCAGCGCTCGAGCCTCTGTGTCCTTTACTGGCTCGCGTGGCGGCCGTCTCTGGGGAGGGCTGCCACGCGGCAGACTTGCTCTGGAAATCCGTCTGCCTCGAGGGCTCGCGTGTCTTTTCGTGGGAGGTTCTTGGCCGAGATTGGAAAGGAGCGACATGCAGTCCATCAACTGGGATTCGAGTCTGGATCTGATGTCCAGGGCATGGTCTGCTATCCTCCGAGCATTGCTATCTTCGAGCTCCTTCTCCAGCTCAATAATTCGGCCATTCAGCTGGAGGTTTTCTGACAGGGAACGAGAATAATCTGCTTCGAGGTTGTGGATGCGATTCAAGTGAACGGCGTTTGCTCTGGCAAGGTCTCTGTTTTGGCGCAATAGCTTCCTGCGTACTAAATAAACACAAGTTAGTCGATGAGATGAAGTGAAGACAGGAAAGTAAACATACGCGTGTCGATGCTATCTGTAGATACGGGGGGTTCGTTTAGTCGGGCCATGGTGCATTCTGGAGTAGTGAACAAAAAGCCAACGCGCGATGAGACCAAAACGTGAGGAATGGAAGAGTCAGATCAGCGAAGCATGACAGGAAGGTGGCTGGGACAGTGACGATGGGGTCGGGAGGAGGGCGAAAATTTACCGAAGTGTCATTTATTTACACTCGACCTAATTGGGTCTAGTGCCATCAATGGTGCAGGGAAGAGGGGGTTGCTGGGGGCGCAATTGGACGGGTCCAGCTCTCCACCGCCTGCCGCATCCTTTTTCATGTGCTCACTCTCACCGAACCTTTGACGATTTCTCTGACCTGCAGAACGCTTTCAGCCCTGTTTGATTCATTACCCCGCCACACTTTTGAGCCTTTCCCAACTCGAACCCGACGCGCAACGAACTTCTTACGAATGTCAAGCGATAGACTCATCTGCCACCTCCAGACATGTCCTTCCCGACTCGATCACTCTCGACTCGACTCCCGGGCGCGGGGTCGCAAAACGCTTCCGCGGGCCCGTCACCCATGCTGGTAGCGCGCATCGCAGAAAAGAAGGCAGAGCTGGAGCACTTGAAGGATTTGCGCGATCTCAGTGCTGCCGTCGCAGGCCAGATGGAAGCACTGGAGCAGAAATTGTCAACGCTTTCTGATGGCACAGAAGGTCAGCACGACCCGTCGATGGACCCATAATGAGTATCCAAGCTGACGGATGAAAGCGATTGCTATGGTAATCAGCAACTGGCATAACGTCCTACGCGCTATCAATATGGCATCCGGTAGGTTCGAGCTGCATGCGACGCACATGACAGTAACTGACACGGAATTTGCAGCCCAACTTGCCAAGCCACCTCCGCAAGAAGAAACGTTGGAATCGGAGGAACCCAACATGTCTCTGCCGCAGACACTGGTTCGCATTCCGACAGAACACGCTCCAACGCTTCAGGCGCAGGCCGAAAACGCAGCAGAGAATGCAGAGAGTAGTATGGGTACGCCATGATAAGAGTTCACGAGCGACGGGTCTTTGGCCCGAAAAGAAAAACATTCCTTATATGAAGCGGCAGCTTTCAAATCGGAAGTACCTTTGGTCGCTGACCACGTCGGCGCGTGTGCTGCAGCATGCACGACCAGGCTTCACGAGGTGCCTTCACAACATGGTAGATGCACATGGAGGGGAAGCAACCATTGGCCAATGGGCCATAACCACACGGAAGAAAATCTAAGGTAGCCTTGGGAAGTTCGCTCACGTTGGAACCGTTGTCGGCAGCTACCACTTTGTGGCATGCCCAAGTGTTGGACGGAAAGCTACACCTCTTAGCGTCTTCTTCCGGCAGTTTGATGTCGGCGCTGGATTGGGCAGGGAAGCTCCACTCCAAGTCAACAAACACTAACAAGTGAGGTGCGGGGTCCCAGACACCCAAATGGACGGGAAGGACGCGACTTGGAGTCTCAACGCGTCTCTTAGTCATCCCAATCTGGGCTCTCTCACCCGTCTCACCCGTTAGCCGTTGCCAGTGACACGGAGTAGACGCAACGAAACGGGAGGTGCCTCACCCCCGTGACTACCCGGAGGCCCTTGGCAAGCTGGTTCTCAGAACTCGGGAGAGAGGGGATCTATCGAGCCTACCACGCTTGTGCTCATTCGCTGTTGGTTGGTGGTTTTATTGGGAGGAAACTGACAAGTAGGGGAAAGATCAAATTGAAGCCAATTTCCCGCCATCTTGGTGGCTGTCAGGCTAGAAGTTCTTCTCTTCTACATCACGCTGTTTGTCTTGCTTCTATTCCGCTTCCATCCCAAAACAACAAGCACTTTAGCCCATCATATTCAAAGAGCTCTTCTTTTTGGACACTTTCAGCCTTGTCCTCCACACTCGGTCTTGAACCAGAATCTTACGGCCAATACCTACAGAGAGTGCCGTCTACGAAGTAGTGTTCCAGCCAATAACCCCGCCATATTACACGTACCCCAGCTGGTCTCAAGCGAAATTGCTCGCCAATCCCAGACAGCCCACTGTCTCCCACGTATTCCGGCCCATTTGTCTTTCAATTTGTCTGGGGTCAGTGGTTCCTTGTCTGGGTTCAGGTCGGAATCGGAGATTGTCGAGCATAATGGGTCGCCTCCCTCGATCCAACACCGTGGGCCACGGCTTCGGCATCCTCGAAGACACCTCTGGTCCCGGCACTCATGCTTCTTCTGACGCAAACGGCCCTCACACCTTCAACAACGTTGCTGCTCTCGAAGATTGTGACACTAACAGTCGCCAAAGAACGCCGGAATTCATCGACGCTTTAACCGACAAACTCAAGGAATTACATATTTACAGTCCTAAGAAGAACCGTGCCGACAGATCACTGCTGCAACCTGTGCGACGCCGCACTCGATCTTCTATTGACTCCAAGATCTTCCCAACCCTTCAACACATCAGGGAAGAAGTCGAAATCTGTGACGGAAACTCAAGTGTGACTAGCACTACGCAAGGACCAGTCCTTGCCAACTTGCCTCAAGAGACCAAACAAGACGAGGGTATCCCATCATCAACTGAAACACGTGCTGCCGTACCGACTTCCCCTCGCCAAACGTCGGATTCATTTGAAGCCAACGGGTCCAACTTCTGTTCTGAAGGTTCGCTCATCCGATTGCTGCCATGTGGTCTTTCAACTAACCATATTAGTCCTGCGCGCAATTGGTCTTGAACAGCAACATCTTAACACAGATCCTAACATACAGAAGTCCATCGCACGGCACAGGTCAGGTCAGTATGACTATGTACTTTCGATTCCGGACCCAGACGGCCCGACTAGGCGCAACAATGCGACCAGTAGACGAGAAGACGTCACGCTCGACTATGGCTGCAACGTCTTAGTCCACACCGACCGCGCTGAGGAAAGTCTATGCAGTCAGCGAAAACCGGCTAATGCTTTCAAACTTCTAGCAACACCTCTGATATTTGACGAATCATCTCGGAGTGCGTCGCATTCATCGTCAGGAAACGACGACAAGATGGCTATTGCTGAACCGCTTGTTCGGCTTGCCTCTCCAGCGCCTGCAGGGTACGAAAGCCCCGTGACGAAATCTGCCATCGACGTGTCCGTCGTCGAACAAATCCACTCCAAGGAGTCATCTCTGGACTACGTGGACCACCCCAAGGACAGAGTAGTTTCCTTCTCGTCTACGGATGAGAGCATAGCCCCAACGGAGGACGTTCCCCGCACTCCATCTAGGTCAACCTCGACCAGTTCAAGATCTCGAATTGAGGACTCAGTGGAAGCCATCGATAAACTCGAGGAGGAATTGGAGGCCATTAACACCCGCTTGGCGACACCAAGCAAGTCTCGACGGATTCAATCTGTGGTGGATGAGTCTACTACGACAGCTCCCACAAGGGAATCACCTATTAGGCGGCCCGCCCCCACGTTGAACCGCACTCAATCTGTTGGCGCCGCAGCCAAAAGATCGTCACAGGTACGCGCAAACCAGAGAAAGTCTGTCAATTTTGACAGCGATATCCCAAAGGGATCCCCTGGAAAAGCACCTACTACAAGGCCTCCTGTGCCTCGTCCAACCAGCCTTCTACCGCCCAAACCGCCTGCCAAATCCACGAGGGCTCCTACCAAACCCTCTTTTGAGCTGCCAGGTGAGGCCACCGCTCGCGATATCAAGGCGAGGCGCGACGCTCGCCTGGCTCAACAGGCCCAGGAGAAGGCCGCTGCGGCAGTCCCTCAGCGAACTAGATCTCTCAAGGCCCCGACCAAGCCTAACTTTGAGCTGCCCGGCGAGGCAATTTCCAGGCGCAAGAGGGAGGAGCGAGAAGCTCGTCTCAAACAGCAAGAAGAGGATGAGCGAAGGCGTCGCGAGTTCAAGGCGAGTCCTATCAAGGCAAGGCTGGGAACGGCTACGCAACCTCGAGAGACCGTGGCTAGTCGAGCTCGCCAGAACAAGGGATCCGAGGCCAGCGACATGGAAAGCCCGTCGAAGCGCTCATCAATCATGGGCACTCCTCGTACCCTTGCGAGAACGAGTTCGACGAGGTCGCCACAGACTCGCGGCAGAGGTACCTCACAGTCAGGTACAGAGACCCAGCTTAGCCGTGCTACATCTACATCTACGGGTAGCATGAGCGGCAAGCGAAGCGCGCTATCTGTTGAGGAGATTGAGCAGCAAAAGGTTAAGGGCCGTGAGGTCTTCCACCGTGACAACTCCTATACCCAAGACAAGGAGCGAGAGCGCCGCGAACGCGAGTGGAACGCTAAGATGGCCCGCGAGCAAGCTGCGGAACGCTCTAGACAAGCGAGCCGAGAGTGGCGCGAAAAGCAACAACGCAGCAAGCTCGCTGTCCTGGCTGCCGCGGCAGGCCAGACAGTATGATGGGCCCGACGTGAGGATTTTTGAGACCCTGTTTAGCATGATTTGGCCCTTCTTTTGTAAATTATTCGACCAGTGTATGGAGCCTGGCGCCTGTGCTGATGGAGATGCGTGGAGTCTGGGGCAACGGTATCGACTGTTCAGCTGGCAAGGTTGACACATAGACACGTGCCGTATAGGAGTTTTGATGTTCAGTTTTAGAACTTGCTTATGGTTTAGCATCGATATGTCGATTGCTGTCCTTGTTTATAGTTTGACTAGGCCCGTTGGTTGCTGAAAATGAATCGCTCTTAACCCATGAGTACAACTCTGAAGACACTTGTTTGGGTACTGTATGTGAGCACTTATAGATCAACAATGCTATTTTCAGATCAATGATCGTACAAGTAGTCCGTGGGAGCATTTACCGCCTACTGCAGAGATGAGAACGTTTGATTTGTGAGAACCGTCAGGCGGGTATTCGTCAATGAACAAGACACCGCGTTGTAGAGGTTAGAGTGTAACCCGGGGTATGGAGACAACGGCGGGACCGCACGGCCGGCTAGCGTGCCGGCGCTAGCGGAGCACGCCAACGACATCCCGTTGGGTCCAGCGGATGGGTCGCTCCTCTTTAACCTTTCATTACATCGACATACAAGCAATTTCAGGATTGGTAGATTCGACGGAAGACAAAAGCAAGCCAGCAATCGAACACATCTCGGCATCAATTCTTCACAACCTAATTTTTGGTACTTTACCGCGAAAAACGCCATTAGAACATGAGCCCCGCAGCCTCAACCCCATCCCGAGACCAGCGGCCGACGGTCCGTCTGGATCAAGGAGCTTTCGTCGGCACCACGCTCTCTGAACCAGAGTTCCCGCGCGATGTGGAGGCGTTCCTCGGTGTGCCGTATGCGAAGTGCCAGCGTCTTCGTCGGCCGGAGGAGCCGGGCCACTCTGGGGACTCGTTTGATGCGGCCGAGTACGGACCCGTGTGTCCCACCGCGGACCCGACGTACCCAGCGGATGAAGAGGGGTGTTTGAACGCTAACGTATTTCGTCCGGCGGGGGCAGTGGTGGAAGGGAAGAAGGTCCCGGTTTTGGTGTATAGTAAGTCAAAGTTTCCCCCTTTCCAGCCGATGGTTGCGGTGCGGCTGTTTGAAGTACAACGTATGTATGTACTGACAGCAGTCGAATGTAGCGCATGGCGGGGCCTTCAACTTCGGAAGGGGAGGGGAAAGGAACCTCGCGGCGTTTGTTTCGTTTTCGAAGCGCGATGTGGTTGCCGTGAGCTTCAATTATCGTCTTGGGCCGCTGGGGTTCCTCCCGTGTGGTGTTGCTGCCGGGGAAGTCATCGCGAATCTGGGGTTGATGGACCAGAGGGCGCTGCTCGAGTGGGTGCAGCGCAACATTGGCAGGTTTGGCGGAGATGAGGGGGATGTCACGGTCATGGGCTTCAGCGCCGGGGCGCATTCGGTATGTTCACACCTCCTTCACAGCCATCTTCCATCTCTCTATTTCTATTCCACTCTTCCCCTAGGATGAAGTAGTCATGAAAGGGAGAGTCAACTGGAGTGCTAACACGCAAGCACACAGCTCGGCCACCACCTCCTCTCCCCGCCCTCGCGCCGCCTCTTCCACCGCGCCATCCTCGAATCCGGCGCCCCGACAGCCCGCTCCGTCCTCGCGGCCACGCACCCCCGCCACGAAGCACAATTCACCCGCTTCCTAACCCACGCAGGCCTCTCTAGACTCTCATCGACGCCAGACGAGATTTTACCAGCCCTTCGCGCCCTGCCCCTTGAAAAAATCCTTCAGGCCTCGCTGGCTACCTGGTCAGAGTGTGCCCCCTCGGTCCAATGGCCCTTTCAACCATCCATCGAGGAAACCAGCAGCAGCAACAACGACAACGACAGCAGCAGCAGTAGCATAATCCCCCTCGCCCCAATCAAAACCTGGACTTCACCCACACTCCTCCCTCCCCTCCCGCCCCTCCTAACAGGCTTCAACACCTCCGAAGGCACAATGTTCGTGCCCGCAACAGCCTCCTCCCCAACAGCCCTCTCAGACTTCTTCTCCGCCCTCATCCCCGCCCTCTCCGCCGCGGACCTCGCGACCCTGGAGACGCTGTACCCGCCGCCGTCGACGTACCCGCCTCCTCCGACGGCCTCTCACGGCGCCCAGTTCCGGCGGCTGGCGCAGGCCTACGGGCACTACGGGTACATTGCACCGCTCCTCCACTCGGCGCACTTTGCCTCCAAGAAGAAGTCGGCCGGGGATGCTGGCGCGGCACCGGTCTGGGTATACGAGTACGCCGCACACGCCGACCTCGCCGCCGCGAACCACGGCGACCACGTCCCCGCGGCAACACACGACACGAACATCCTCACCCCGCACAAGACGCCCGGTCTGCTCGCCGTCTCGGACGCAATGCACGCCCACTGGTCCTCCTTCGCCACGACCTCTGACCCCAACGCCGTCGATACCAGCCATGACAGCCCGGGCCCAACCCCAAACGGCGTCTCCTGGCCCCCCTTCATCTCCCCCTTTGGCGACACCGCCGCGGACGACTACATCCCGCGACCGGCAGACGACCCCACCGAGACGAGGGGCAAGATCCTCGTCTTTGGCGAGGGCAACGACGAGCTCATGGGCCGTCTGGGCCAGCGGTGCCGGGGCACCGTGGCGCGCGTGCGAACGCTGACCGAGGCCGAGGTGAGGCAGTTCCGGTTCTGGTGGGATCGGGTTGGGCTGAGCGAGGGTATGGGTGTTGTTGAAGAGGAGGGGTCCAAGTTGTAGGAGAATCTGTTATAGACGAGTCGATTGTTAGTGGAAAAATTCGTGTTACCAGGTACAGACTCCGCGCTTAGATGGCTTATAGTGAAACGGCACGATGAAGCGATATGAATGCAAGAGTAGATTGACAAAGGAATATTCATTCATACGTGTCTATATGAGACTGTGTTTCGAAATCTTAGAGATGTCGACTATCCTACTCTTTAACTACCTACTACTATACTAGAATCCTCCAACTTTACTTGCGCGGAAGCTCGCTTCTTGCTGCCAAGGTACCCTTGGTTGCTTTGCCCAGGAAAGACGTCAGCAAATCATGTTGCCTGTGCGCGCCCTTCATGGGCATGCAATGTACAACAGATTAAACTGGAGCAACACGCTGTGGATAGCATGGGTCGATATAAATCCCCAAGATGTTTATGTATGTGACGAATAAATCATGTGCGTCGAAGTGGATTATGATCTCCGTGGCATTGGGCGAGCCATTACGTTTGGAATACGCCAGGCAAGGCAACGGAGTAAACAATATTAAAAGTAAGAGAAGCGTCGCATGGCAATAAAATGCCACCGTGTCGCATGGTGCCGTAAATCCGTAACGCCGTATGTGTTTCTCGATTTCGAGATCGTTGGTCTGATGGGGAGGGTGGGTATCTTCGGAACAGAACCCCAGCAGACTAATAAGCAACAAACAAAACTTTTGGAGTAACACACCAGACCTTGTCTAGAAGTTCTGGGAAATACCAGCGTTTTGCTGTTGGGGATAGTGCGAAGGGTTCTCGATCCGAGTGTTGCGACGAGCTGGGTTGTCGCGGATGACCGGTTGGCCGGGGAGCTCAGTAGCCGGGTTGGCGTAAGGGCTGTCAGAGTACGGGTTGTTGGCGTACTGATCGTAGTAACCATTCCCATTGCCATTGCCGTTGCTGCCGCCGCCGCCGCTGTATGCCATGCCGATTCCGTCAGAGGTATCTGAGTGGTTCCCTGCGCTGTAGGAAGATGACGCATTGGAAGGTCCACGTTGAACACCGCCTCCACGGTTCATAGCTGCCGAAGGGCCCATGGCGCCAAGAATTTCGCCATCAGGCGAGTACGAGCCGTCGTTGATCAAAGGCTCTCCTGAACGGTTGTCAGTTCCTCCATGGCTGGGTGAAGTTGTATCCGAGTATGCCGCACCTGTGTTGCCTCCGGACATGGTCGTGGACGCCTTACGTCCGGTGGAGCCGGCAAGAGTGGTAGAACCCCAACCACGGTATCCGGATGAGGCCGCATCTTCCTTCATTTCGTACGAGCCGCCATCGCCAAGGGACGGGATTGTGGGGTCCGCGTTCGGGTTGTAGGCATAGTCCTCGACCTCCTTTCGTCGCTCCTCCTCGGCGTCCTTACGCTGCTTCCTCTTTCTCCAGAAGTACAGGCCAGCCAGGATGAGCAGGGCAACAGCAGCGATGGGTACGACAACAGCAACCGCGATAGTGCCCCCGTTACCAAGACCGCCCTTGGAATTACCGCCGGAGTTGATGGCGCCGCCTGATGCCGTAGCGGAAGCAGATGAGCTGGCAGCAGTTCCGGTCTGCGTGACACCCTTGGTCTGAGTGATGACGGTAAAGATGGTGCTTGTCTGACCTCCCGCTTCGGTCGGCGTGATGACGACAGTAGTCGCGACTAGGGTAGTTTGTTGTTGCTGGGTAGTACTTTCGGCAGCTTGAGTAGTCGGAGTCGTGTTCTGCTGCTGAGTAGTTGGTGCAGCCGCCGCAGAAGTCGTCGCTGCCGGAGCTTGAGACGTGGTTGGTGCTGCTGCCGCGGAGGTTTGCTGCGTCGTGGGTTGTTGCGCGGTGGTAGGAGCCGCTGCTGCGGAGGTCTCTGCCGGAGGAGTGGTGGTGACGGCGGCGGCGCTCGTCTCTGCGGGTGCGGAAGTGCCCGGTGTCGCGGCGGGAGCCGTTGTGGCCTCGCCGCCCGGGGTCGTAGCATTCGACGACATTGTGTTTTCTTGTCTCAGCAAGATCTGTGGCGGTTGACTAGGTGGTGAAGACATATTAGCGACTGGTGAGGGAGCAGCTTTGATAGCATCGCCAGACTCCGAACAAGGGATGATGAGTATTCAACAAAACAAGACGACGGAAGAGCTGAGATGGGACGACGAGTTGGGCAATTGGCAACCAAGGCCAAAGACCCAATCATTTTGTGCGCAACTAACACAACAGATGCAGCAGGTTTCTTGGGAGGCAAATTGATGATCGGCAGAGATGCCGTAGTGCACTCGGCAAAATCTGGGAAGCACAGCGTCGAACAACGTACCTCCAATGAGAGCGATTGGCTCACACGTAGCTTGCAGGGCGGAGAAAGGGAGGTGTTTCAATACAAGCGATTCTGCAATGAACAACTCGTCGATTTAGTCGATTTAGAAGTGCCGTCGACTCTCAACCAGGCCGTGTGAGAGGCCAAGTTTGGCGATACACGTGGAACTGGCGGCGGTTCGAGGCCTCAGTTCAGGGCGAAGCGACACACAATTGACGGGTGCGTCGGGGTGTCAAGGCGAGGATGGAGTCTTGGTCAAGAGTTTCTTTGGAAAATTGTGGGAAGTATTTGTCGCGTCTGGGCGGTAACAACGGCGATGGAGCGACGGGTGTTCAGACAAGACAAACGGTTGATAATTGGCGCGGGTGGCTGAGTCAGGTTCAGGTGGTGCCTGTGTGCCTGTGAGGGAGCTCCCAAGACGGACCGTCTCCTGGCTACTGCGCGGGTCGGCGTTGGGTTCGGCGGTTGGCAGGGCCCTACTTCGCTTGGTTCGTACAGACGAGACGGTACCTGGTCGCGGGCAGTATCCGTCCAAGGCGTATTCCGTAGTGCCGCGCGAGTATTGTAGTATTGTCGATCCTCAGTGACGAAGTGGGATCGATTGGCGACGGCGTCACAGGAAAGTGGGAAAAAGCAAAAGGACAGGGCAGAGAATTTGCAAGAGTTAGAGCGAGAGGAGGAAGGTGAAAAGTAGGAAGAAATGGGGAAGAGGGGAAAGAGGAGGGAGGAGGAGGAGAGCAAGGTCGCGATTTCCTTGGAAGGATGCGGACTGATGCTGATGCCGCTGCCAATTGAAAGTGAAAGAGGAAGGACCGGGGAGGGGGTTGACGAGCAAGGACGGCCGGGGGGACGGGGGTGGAAGGATATTGACGGGAAGGCAGCGAAAGGGAGGGAGGCAGAAGGGGGGGAGGGCAGCTCCGAAGGAGCGGCAGAGGAAGGCGCGGAAATATGTATGTTTTGAGCAAGAGCAATCCAGCACCTCTTCGTGCAGCGTGCCTGCCCAAGTGAAGTGGACCGACCTCCCCTTCCTCCTTCTTCACAGCCCTCCCGCCCTGCCATTTACGTCCAAGGGAATCATTGGAAGTCACGACCGTCAACCCTGCTGGCGTGTGCCTGTCTCGTGTCCGAACATCTAGCTCCAAGCTGCAATGTACGGATACTGCAAGCCAGCCTCCAGTGCAGGTCAAAGTCAGACTGCAAATGGAAGACCAAAAAAGGAAACTCAGTGGTACTGGCCTGACTGGGTAGACTGACCTGACCATCCACCGTTGCCTTAAGGTGCGGGTGGGTGGCTCAGCGGGAGTTAGGGCCGCTGCTTCAGTGGCAGGGCGCTGAGCTATGCTGCGACCAGCCTCAGGTCAGCCAAGACAGTACATGATCTCTCCTACAAAACTTGCGCTGGACATAAGTATCTCCCCCATGCTACTAACGCATCTGCCAGTGGAGCGGACCTAGAGAGAACCTGACTAGGACAAAGTACCTTGTAGAAAGGGCCGATCTGTACTCCGTAGTTCGCGCGAGGTATGCATGGCACGTTGCAATGAATGGGCTCAGCCATATGAATACCTATCTATGCGGACAGCAGAGGGGACAATTTTAGCCCCGTTGAGTTCTCCGAGTCTCGAGTCTTGAAAAATTGACAGCTTCTGCCCAAAGTTCTAACTCTTGTCGCGTGCTCGAGAGGAACAAGGCGGCTTCTGCCGTCCATCATCTCCCGTGTCTCAGTCATTTCGCAACTGCTGCGGTACATGCCCGTTGAGATTGCGAATTGCTGAGCCGCTGCCCTCTCTGGCTCGCAGGGACCACAAACTCCCCGAGCCTCGAGGGACCCCTGGCACGAACAAAAGCCTAAAGCCCTTGGAGCTCCTTAGAGCTAGCCATACATCACAGCACCAAGGACGAATGGAGAGTACTCCCGGAAGGCGGCAGCGGATGCTTCCAGTCCGGGAATGTTGGCTGCTTCCTTTCATATCGTCGAATGCCTGCCGAGTCTTGTTCCTGATCCAAACGGGCCAAAGAGGGAAAGACCAGCAACCAGCTGCCTCCAAACCCACCCGGGCCACCGGCCTTAGCCCTCAGGTCAGAACCGTCAGGTATGCCGCAACGCAGCCGCACATGGTCCCTGATGTCCCTGATGTGCGTTCCCGATGTCGCGGCTTCGACACCTTTCAACCAAAGACATGAATGCAAAATACGACACCTCAAACGCGACACGCCAGGTAGATACGCAAGCAACTCAAAGCAAGGCATGTCGGTCAGGTTTCACCTCATCTATTCTCTCTTCTCAATCTTGCAGACTCTAGCCAACTTTCAAACCTAAATACTTCAGACGGCGGACAGCCCGCAATCAAAATCCAGTCAACCTCCACTATGGTATCTTGCTGTGCGAAAACATCCCGGCAGGCCATCCTTCAACCAGTCCCTGCACCGGCCGTGCCTGGCTCTGGACTTTGAACTCTGGACGCCTGGAGACTGGAGTCCTCTCCCTCGGGCCCGTGGAGAAAGTTGACCTCATCAACGGGATTCGCGAGTTCGCTTCGCTTTGCTGGGGACACCGGAGGGCCCGTTCGCTCCCTCTCGTATCCAGAGTGACGGTCGTTGGCTCCAGAACTGGTTAATTTCCCCTGCCCAGCGAGCATGCACCTTCCTGGTAGACCACGCCGACTGCCAGGTCCACCGTCTGCAACACTCGAGATGGCATCATTTGCTTCCAAAGAAGAAGAAGCGAAGAAACGCATCGCAACCCTTCTGGTGGTCAATCTTCTCCGTACGAACATGCGGACACAGTCTCAAAGGGTCACAAGTCGGCAAGTGCCAGTTGGCTCATGTCCACGAATACGTATCTTGGTCTCAGTCTACGTTGGGATGTCTCAAACAAGCCAACGCCCGGTCAGGAATGTCACCGACATTCACCAACAACCAATCCTCACAAGTTTTGAAGTTCAAATTTCGATGCATGCCTCCGAGACTCTGTTATCTCTTGGCTCTCACCATTCAACCCACCCGCTATTGTCGAGCACACCGACTCTACTGATGACTTGTTTATTTTGAAGCTCATATCCACCTTGGGCTCCCTTACGTCTTCTCTATAGCGACCAGGTTCAGCCTTTACCGACCTGAGCGTTTGCCTCCCTCTACGGATACAGGCTTCTCGGCACCTGTGGAGCCGTTCGTATTCCCCAAAATAGAGGCTGCTGATCCTCAGCCGGTGCCTTTTTCTCGGCGAGCACCGCATTCGATCTGTTGTGCGATCCCATCGATCTACAAAGGTAGCCGTATGGCGTCAATTACGCGCTTCTGTTGGTCAGATCGGCGGGGGTTTGGCCTGCTTAACCAAGCACCAGACTGCCAGAATGCATCTCAGCCAGCTGTTGAAGCGCGGCAGGACGATTATCGAACGAAAGCCGGCCGGGTCAAAACACACCCGGCCGGCCCTGTGGCGGCTAACAACCATCGTGGCAGCACACGTCGGAGGAGAGCTTGAACCTTCCGGCTGAAGCTGGACAACAACCTTTAGTCGACAAAGGCTCGAATGCTGGCTTGGCAAAGGGTAGCTGGCATGACATTGCTGATGCTTCAAGGGCTGCTTTCTTCGATAACGCATTTCTGACTAACAACCGGTCGTTTCTCCGTCACCATGCCGTTGGCACGAGCTTATTCGGCCAAAGGTTACGTTTCCATCCCTCCTGAATTCTCTGTAGCATTGGTGGTCAGAGTCTTCTGTCATCCAGACCGCTCCGGAAGCTTGTCACACAAGCCTCGAAGTTGCATAGTCCAGTGTCCGGATCAAACAAGTCCACCGCTGCCTGTCTGCAGGTCACAACTCAGAGCCTCTTGGCTTCAAATCGACGCTGCCACAATGCTCGCCTTCTTTCTTTGCGCGAGTATTCAGGCAGTTTGAGTCCGAATGCAATCGGTCATAATAGCCAGTATGGCGGGCTCTGTCATCGTAATGGCCTGCTATTATGACTTCAATGGCACATATACCTCCACATGACGTCCATTGTGCCCAACCCTGGCTCAGCATCCGCAAACTTCAGCCGGGATACATTGTCAAGGTTGGCCCCAGGATGTCAAGATCTCATGGCGTATTGGCATAATAACAACAGGAACAATATGCCCTCGGTTCGGGCAGGGCTCTTGAAAGCAAAAGATCTACAGCAACCAACGTCATGTTCCCCTCACTTCCCTCCACACTCACGGAGCATTGACCCAAACTTCGTCGACCTCTCAGCCTCTGTCCTTGGAAAGCAGTTTGCAAAAGGGTCTCAGGATCACTTCATCCCAACATCCGGACTTCAGCTTTTGTCCTCAATTCGACGACGAGACCCCTCGCCGACCAGATTCAATTGTTCCTACACAACTTTCTTCGGACCAAGTCCGATGATGGCGATGCCGGTACCCGTAGGTCGGATTGGCTTAATGCAGTCGACTATGCGTGTCTGGCCTGTGTAGTGTCACGTCACCGTGTGCGCCGTCGAGCTGCCGGGACTCTCTCACCGACAGAAAGAACCTTCGATGTGCTCTTTCTCACGCCACCTCGCCGGAAACGTACATTCGGCACGAGGCGAGTGTAGCGCAACGCCTGCATAGACTCAAAGTCTCTCGATGTTGTTTGCCAGATCCGTGCCGACACCTTTTGGCTCATCGAATTAGCAACCAGGAATCCTAGACAGCAAATCGCCCTCTACAAGAGCCCCTTCAAGGGATCGTTCTTTGTCTCCTGTTTCTATTTTCCATCTGTCCGATTGACACTTGGTTAGCTTAACGGCGCTCAATTGGCTTCCACCATGGAGCCACGCTACCCGAGCTCTGGTCTCGTCTCCCAAACCGCCACACGTATGGCTATGCCCTCCCAAATGCCACATTTTAGAAAGCAACCCAGCCCCTCCACCCATTGGCTTACGGGTGCCCTCCCTTCGAGCAAACGCCACTGACTGTAAGCTTGGGTCAAGCGTGAGCCTTCCCGCTCCACACAAGCCATCCAAGTGTCCGATGTAAAAATAACTTTACCATTAAGCTCTTTCCGGATGCTTTCGAAGGGCATCTGATTGCCATCCCGTCTTTTCTCGAAGCACGCCAAGTGTCGTGTCCGTATGCGCGCCAAAGGGCTGGCTTTTCCATGCAAAAATCGGGAGGGGAACGGGCTGCGGATGGTCATTGATTGCTGACTCGTCTCCAAGAGGAAAACAACCGTACGCAGCACGGCAGTTGTACAGTACGTTGCTTACTGACGGAGCATTCATCCTTCTCGAAAGACGAACATCTCGTGATTCCTTATCGAACTGCTTGGAACCGAGATGCAGTCAGACTCTGACTAGACAAGACTAGACTTGCCTTGGTAATCGATACCCCGGCCAGCGCATGCCCGACCAAGCGGCGCCGGGGCATCTGCTCTATCTTGCGACAAAACTTTCCGTTTGCACCGTGGGGGCTGTGGCGGCGGCTGTGTCCTATCTGATTGTGTCCTAGCATCCGCCGATTCACGATGTGATTAGGCTTATATCATTTCCAGACCGCCGGAGCATTGGAGGCCGTCAGATCTACCGATGCCTTTGGGGAGGGTTCTCCGTACGGCGTACGGATACCCTGTAACCTTGTCTACCCTTCGAGGCCCTCGGACTTTGATATGCCGGTGTCTTTGTGAGCACTCATGTAGTGTAGTATCATGGAAGTAAGTCATGGTAGTCACGGGGCTTCCTATGCCTCGAGTTAGGCCATACATGCGTATTACAGCCCACATATACAGGAAGAGAAAACCATCACTTTGCAACACAAGGCGGGACACAAATCTCAGTATACTTTCTGTAGTATTCATCATCTAGTTGTTGATGGTTGGCATACGGTAGCAATGTCCCGGAGCCCTTTTTCTATATGCAAACCCTCCCGCCATGTTGCCAAATGAGGCTGAGGGAGAGGGCCGGTTTAAAAAATAAAAACTATTTGTCGTGACCCAAATACTCCACGCAGCGAAACAGAAAAAGGGTTTCAACACAAAAAGACATTAGCAGTATATCGCTACTAAATACGAGAAGAAATAACACCGTTATGCAAAATTCCAAATCCCATAAGGTAAGGGTAGAAAGGCTCCTCTTTTTGTTTGTCCGCGCAAATTCATGTACATGGATAATCCCAGTGCGTGCGAATAGGCTCAAAAGTCGTGACCGTCGATTCGGCGCTGCCGTATCAATACGCGGAAGCCAAAGTAATGATATCAACAAGCAGAAAAACGTCGTTCGCCGTTTAAGGACGCATGCCCCATTGCGGCTTGAGCTGGTCATCGAGGGCCGTTGGCGTGAAAACAGTGTCACCGGGCAAGCGGCTGACTCTGCCGGCACCGCTGCGGAGAGCGGCCTGTTGGACAGCCGAGATACCACTACGGTTGCTACGAATGCTACCAGCATCGCTCATGTTGTCACCGTCCTTGAACTTGCGGGGAGGAGCAAAGTCGAGGCCAGTGAAGGTTCCGGATTTGCGCAGCAAGTGACTGTCCAACTGTTAGTGACTTCTACATCTTTCCAGTGTCTGAAAGGGATAACTTACGGGCTGGGCATGGCAGGCATCTCTTCGAAGCTGCTAACCAATGGGGAATGGACAGGAATTGAAGGCGCTGCGTAAGGGCGTCTCTCACCCGCCGGACTCTGGGAACGGCCACGGGCGCGGGAAGAGAAGGTCTCGGGAGGAGCGAAGTCGAGAGGGTTCAGGATGGAGAAGGAGTCATCCTTGAGCTTGGACGGGTTGGGCATGGTAGTCAAGTCGGCAGGGGGAGGTCCCTTGGGCTTGGGTCTACCTCCAGCGGTCCTGTTGGACACTGAAGAGCCAGGCCGAGGAGTGTACTGGCTGGACATGTCGGATCCCGGTCGAGAAGGTCCAAGGCGGCTGGACATGGCCGAGCCGGCACGAGGAGGAGGACGTCTGCCACCGGGGCCGGGGCTGGCCATGCGACCGCCCATGGAACCATGCATAGCCCGGGGAGGAGGCGGGCCACGGAAGCGGGAGCCGCTGGGTGGTGGCGTCATTGCACGACGAGTGACGGGCTGAGCGTAGGGCATGACGAACGAGTTGCTCTCAGGGTCGAAGTAGGCATCGCCGCCGGGACCACCGTTGTAGCTCGGGTCGTAGTCCTCATAGTATTGAGGGCCGCCAGGAGGAGGTCCTCTGGGGGGTCCGCGAGGTCCTTGAGGCATGGGAGGCGGGGCTTGGCCAGCGTGCGGGTTGTCGGGGTCGAAGTACTCCTTGTAGAATGATCTGATTCTGTTGGCACGCTCTTCAGGGTCCTCGGACTCAGTCACCTCATCAGGAGGCAGGGGTCGGAAGCCAACTGAAAGCCTCTTGGCGTCCTGACCCGGAACACCAAGTGCACGTGACATGCGGTTGTCGTTCATATCCACAGAGCGTCTCTGAGATCGGCCTCTATCCTCAAAGTCATAGTCGTAATAGCTTTCGCGGTCGTAAGCATTCGTTTCCTCGGGCACAATAGTCGGGAGTGTTGAGGGAGCAGCATTCTTCTGGGCGGGGAAGTTCATGTCGTCGAGACCAAGGCCAACGGGGGCTGCGGCCGGCGTGCTATCCAGCTCTTGAACTTCGGGAATGGACGGGTTCTTGGCGGATGGACGAGGGTTGCTGGGAAGTCCCCTTTGAGCGACAGGGGCAGGTTCCGGGACGTCGGGAATCTGAGGAAGGGAACCGCCGTTTCTGTCATCGGGGTACGGCATGGTCTCGATCTTGGGAATAATAGGCTCAGCGATGAGCGGACTTCGAATGACCGGGGAGGTGGGGGACAAGACGACGGGAGAATTTGTCGTCATGATTTCGAGGGCGGGGGAGCCAGACCTAGACTTGGGCGTGGCGAAGGGGTCTGCCGTCGCAGGAGGAGGCCTGGGGAGGGAGTTTTGCCTAGGAGGCAAGGTGTTCTGGGTCATCGTGGTGCGACCAGTCATGGCGGAACCGCGTCGGCTCGTCGATTTGGTGTAAACGGAAGCACCATCGGGCTTGTACGATCGGATGGAACCGACATCGCTGCCGGTGTACCCAGCCACGGGCCGATAGGGGTCTGCCTCGCTGTGGAGGGTTCTCGCGAGAGAGTGCAGAGACTCACGCGAGCTCTGAAGACCAGGGGGAAGAAGGTAGGGGCTGTCCAGGTTCATGTCCATAGACAGTTGACGATGCTTCGTGTCGAGGCCCATTCCCTTCTCACGGAACATCATGCTCTTGCGCTTTCCTTTTCCACCCTTATCAGAACTGGTCTCGCCAAGTCCGAAATCCAGGCCTCGGTTGGGATCAGTCGCATCCTCCTGTTTTTGCCTCTTGACATTTCTTCGGTGGAAGTAGAAAAGCAAACACAAAGCGCCGACGATGGGGATCCTAGGAACAGTCAGCACATTCGTACACGTACCCTACTCGAGAACTCGTTAAGACCTACGTGACGCCAAGAGTGATGGGCAATGTGAGGGTAGAAGGGTCGACTGGCTTCTCACACTGACTGGCTGAGCCGGTACAGGTTTCTCTAGTTCCAATGATACGAGAGACGATTCGGAGGGGCGCGACAGATCGCTCGTTGTTGACCGGCTGGACGTCCCGGATGGGAATTCGGGAGGCCATCACGTAGCCATTGGCGTTGAATGAAGCCATTTTGAAATTGGGCGGTTTCGACAGAAAGATACCGTGGTACCTTGAAGCAACTCTCCACTGATAACCGGTTCTCTCTTTGAGGTCGACGGTTGACCTCGAGAATTTCTCCTTCCTTCACTGATTGAAATTACCACTATGCCACCATTACCGGACTAAAGATCGTATCGGGGAGTCGGGACGGATTTCGAGGGGATGGTTGGGACAATTGGTTGAATGTCAAGGCACCAAAGCAAGTGGTCGAAGGATTCGGGTTTTGAATCGAATCTCGTGCGAAGTGAACGGTTCCGAACGCCTGGGCGGGATGCTGTATACAAAAAGAGTGACTACCACCGAAAATATTCGGTCGGTGGAATTCTGGGTTTGGGGTTTTGTTGTGTTGAGTAAAGAACGACTTTGGAGTGAGTTTGACGGGTCGGTCAGATCCGGTGATCCATTCACACAATCCACGATGTTCCTAAAAAGAGTGACGAGCCCGCTGGCAGGCAGAGAGAGGATTGTGGAAAGTGGAAAGTCGGCGGATGTCACTGGCCTCGGAAGATCAGAGTAACGACCGACGATGGGGGGGAGTAGGGACGGAAGGAAAGAGGAACGAGAGTAAGTCCCTTTTGGGGGTGAGGGCGAGCAAAAGAGAGGCGAGAAGGAGATCCGAGAGTGGGAGCGAAAGAAGACGGAGACGAGCCACCACAGTCCTGAGTCCACAGTCCACAGTCCACAGCAGCAAGCAGCGACAGGCTGCAGGTCAAGCGAAGCGAAGCGAAACGAGCCAACGAGCGGACGGGGAGGAGGAGATTGAGCAGCAACGGACCAACGAGACAACGACTCTTGCACGCAGCCTTGACCTGGACCTGTACATGGACCTGTACCTAGACCTAGACCTAGACCTGGACAGCTCACTCTTACTGCTGTTCCTTTGCTCCTCTGCTCCTTTGCTGACGGCTCCTTGCTGGCTCCTTACTTGTATGTGCACCATGGAGAGGAGGGCCAGAGAAAGAGAGAACCTTGAATATTGACCCATGACCGTGAGCCTGGACCTTGTAAGATGGCCGGGATGACAACAGCTAGACCCATCGTGGACATCCCACGCCGTCCTACCGCCAGACACGAGAGCGAGTGCTACCATTGGATCGAATGGAGTTCAATAAGTTCAGTAGCACACGAAAAACGAATAAAAAGATTGGGGGTGAGAAACTCAGGAGGAGGAACCACTGGACTGTGGTCGGACGGTACCCACGGTACGTACACAAACTACCCAGTACGTATCCGCAATGAAAAGGGGGGTGGTGCCTGTCAACCTGGGAAAGTCCCAGGGTGATGGGCCGGGGTTGGAAAGAACCGTTTTTTGTGGAAACGGGCGAATGAAAAGCAATTTCCTCAAATGAGCCGGGGCTGGCGCGACTTTTACCACCCCTGGTCCGAGCCCGCAGAGGGCAGCACGGCACGATTAGTGTACGCAGCGCGAATCCTCTGCGTCTTCTCCTTCGTTTTCTTCCATCTCTTTCTTCTCATCCGTACGGACACGGAGGAGTATCTATCGCTTTTTCGTATGGCAGCATGATTATTATTCGCTTCGGACCTCCATTTAGCTTCTGACGGCCTTCCTCTTACCATTTGGTTCTATTCTGGTCTGCAACACTGCATACCGCCGCTACCACATCTCCATCAATACTATCAACTCGCGCCATTGGCTTCCTACCCGCGCTGTCCACACCCAACCGTTCTCTCAAGCAGCCGCAAGTCAGGTACGGGCGACCGCTGACTGGCTGATGCCGGCTGTGCCATCCCAAGAGCGTTGCACTAAAATCGATACAAGCGCATGGTCCTACAGGGGCTCCCCTCGTCTAGCGCAGGGATTTGCTGCAGGAACGCGCCCCTCCTCGACCTTGGAAAGCTCCAACGGGTGGAGATCGTTCATCAGATGGCATCACATTGGATGGATGGGACGGTGAACAAACATCAGTCAGCAGAAGCAGCACGGTCAACAGACACCGTGCAAAAGATTGCCCTTCTTACGGTCGATTTCCACCCAAACACCCGCCATATCCTACTCAGCTTCATCCCAACACTTCGATGTTTGGTGTTTCGTCCGAACAAGGAGTTGATTTCTTCACACTGTCACCACCTCAATTCTTACCGACGAAAAATATTCAATGGGACAAAAGATATGGCAAAGCAGCAGACGGACAAGATGCTCTGGCCTCACTCTGCGATTTGTCCACCTCCGCCCGCGCAGGCGGTAGAAGTACATGCACAACCACACCGCAGGCTTGCAGCGCTAATCTTCCCGACGAACTAGTGGCTTCAGTGGCTTCTAGATCCTCGGCCGCTGTTTCTGGATCCAGACTGGTCTCAGACATCCCCAGCATCCGTTCATATCTACTCTTATGAATACGCTGTCCATCTTGTTGTTTTCTTATGCACCCAACATCAGGGGCACAAGCCAATCTATCGACAAGACTTATCGGGAGACTCCGCCGACACTCGAGCCTAGGTTGTCTCGCCGGCGAAACCACACCCAACCCCCAGACCCAGCCCAGGGCTCTACCGAAATTGGAGCCGTTACCTAAAGCTGCGTCGGGTCTTTGTCTCTCCTCTTGGAAGTCAGGTCCCGGGTTTTACCAAGGGGTTGCCGGACGGTGACGACGCCGGCGACAAGTTGCAATTCTTGGACATGGAATGAGGTCGTCAACGGTCACAGCCTGGCAGGCGGGCACTCCCGGGGTTAAGGTGAACCTCTCCTGATAAACTCATCGAGGAGGCTGAGCTCCCGCCCGCTCTCCACCATGCTCCCCCGCTGGCGCGTTCGCGATCCACGACAGTTTATGCCTCTCTTCTCTTGACGTGCCGACTACCCATTGCAGCTTACCTCTTTTGGCCCAACTCCCAATTGGACCACTCAACGCGTATGGAGTATGCCTCTGGTGTATCAACCAAACCATCCTACGAAAGGCATAGATAGGCTTGCAACCCCGAAAGCCTCTGCCTACCTATACTTAGCTGATGGTGTTGAACGGTGCGACGCAACTCCTGACTTGCGCGTCTCTTATCAGAGTTTGTCTTACAGTGCATCCGCACATCATCGTACTAAATCGCGCGCACGGCTTCTCATCTCTAATCAGCGTTTCTGCATGCAACACCGGGTAGGCAACCGCATTGTACAACAGGCTGAGCTTACCAAAACGCAGGCGGTAGCGGTAGCATTGCCAGCGAGTCCAACAACAACACCAACGCGGCATCTCGAGCCGTCATTTCGGCTCTGGGTGGGGGTGGGCAATCCCAGTAGCAACTCCAGCGACGATCACTCACCTCTTTCCAGGGTAAACACCTCCGTTCAAATCAGAGAGAAACAGGGAAACAAAGGCTCCCCTCTTGACCCAGGACCTCCCAGCTTCGCATCATGCGGTCGCCGCGTCGCACCTCTCCCCTTTTACGGGGGATCCATGCAGCGACAACGGAGGGCCGGGTTAAGGGGCCGGTAAGAAAAAGAGATGCGGCAGTTGTCCGGCTCAGCGCATCGCATCTGGTATCCTTTCCCGCCGGCACCGATAATCGAGGGGGATCTGAGTCGCATGTCATCGCGATGCATTGCAGCGCCAGTCCCGTTCCTTGGGAATTCGAGCCAGGTGTCTGCCATGGCTGTTGGCCTGTTGCCAATCGGCTGGATGTGTTCTCGTCCGGCTCTATCGTCCGAGACTCGAGAGTAGCCGTCATCGGGTTTCTGGCCGGTGCAGCTACCAGACTACCAGCAGCGGTGCCAATGCCAAGAAAAGAGGGGAGTGCTCATCCCCTTTTGCAAGACAGTCCCTGATTCCACCGACGTTCCAATGTCCCCGCCGGGTTCTTCTATTTGAAGAGAGACAGAAGCATTCCGCCTGCATGTCTACGTAAGCATGTCTCCGGAGAAACAAGCATAGACGTATGTCTCGTCTCACGTGCCACCCGACAAGACAATGTCACCTCATACGAGTGCGAGAACAATAAAGCCACACGAGTTGTCCAGGTGTCCAACAACGTCGTCGAATTCCCTCGATCCAAGACTCAGGGGTTGAGGCGGCTCTGAACTGGCAAGACTGGCTAGACCAGCCGCTGGTGATGAGGATGAGAAAAAGTCAATCCCATTGCTGGCTTGGCGAACCAGTCAAAAAGCCCAAATCACAATTGGCATTGCCCCCAGTCGAGTAATTAAGCTAATCTCGATGGATCCTCCAAAGCTTGGTCATTGGCCGAGAAATCTTGATCGGCCCCGTCCTCTTGGTGTGCTCTAGATTTGCTGCCAATCACAATGCCTGGTGGTCGACCGCTATCACGACAGTCTGCAACGCTCGTATAAATGGCGTATAATCGGCAACTGTACAGATGCATTTCATAAAATTGTGCTTCCTTGCACAACCTTTACATCACCCTTTGATTATGTAGATGTGCTATCCGTACGCCGTATATCGATATCGTTATCTCTACGGAGTACGGATACGCTGACTTCAGACTGTAGGACACTCCACATAGGCTCTATGGCCAACGGGTCAATTTCGAGCCCTGCAACGCCACCATAAACTTGTACGGATAGTAGACACTGTCCGACGGTTGCACTCGGCCCGCTGTATCAAGGACAGCGGTATCGACACGGTCCTGCTTCAGGTGCTAATAATTGTAAATATCTGCCGCAGCACACTATCAAGTCTTGAATCGTGTGAGTTCAATGTCCTGGCTTTGCACGAATACGCAGTGCGGATATTCTACCTTGCTTCCCGTTTTCTGTACGGATATTGGCAATGGCCCAAAGTTTCCACCGCCAAGGAATAAGTCTGAAAGTTGCAATAACCTCATGTCCTCCCCTGTGAGGCTCTGCCAACCTGACATAGGCTGCATAGCTCAGTGTCCTGGTTACACAATAAAACGGCAGAATCTTCGCTTCTTCAAGACCTCAACTGCCCAGCCTCATCGGAACCCCCGTCGCCCTAATCTCGTCTCATCTCGCCCTCCGCGGCCCTCGTACCACAGAAACAAGGGCCCCTTCCCCCCTTCCTACTGCTCCCCAGCTTCACATCCCATTCAGTGATTCTAGTATCCTCCCTGTACGGATACCCGTGGGCTCTTTTCTCCTTTTTCATAGCGTTTCAGCTTCAGCCTCGTCGCGAGCCCGCCGCGCCGAACTGTCCGACAGCTGGTAGAACTCGGGCGCGTACTCCACCAGCCAATTCTTTTCGATTTTTGTAATGTCCCGTATGAATATCTTGTTGGCCGTCTCCATGACCTCGTGGAAGATGACCCAGTCGGCCTTGCGGTTGAACATGAGGGAGCTGGGGTGCGCGTGGAGCGTCGTCTCGCCCGAGACGTTGCGGAACGTGCCGTCCGGTTGCATCCTCGCCGCGTGCGCAAAGTAGCCCGTCGTGAGGCACCGCCTGATCTGCTCCGCCTTTGTGGAGTTGTCGTGCTTTTGTTGACGCTGCTGCCGTGAGCCCGCGGGGCCGAAGGACTGCTGCTGCTGCTGCTCATTGTCGGCGGCGATGCCGAACTTTTCGAGGTACCGCTTCAGCTGGCCCCGTATGCTGACGGCCCTGGTCATGGTCTTGAAGTTGAGGTTGTGGTCCCGGCAGAACTTTGACTCCTTCCTGCCCTTTGTCACAAAGGCCTGGTAGGCGTTGAGCAGCGTCAGGTGGTCGCCCTCGTCGGCGGCGAACTTGCGCCGCGACAGCTCCATCTGTTGCCTCTCGCCGTCGTGGTGGAACCAGACGTTGTTTCCGCCGGCGCTCGTCATGGCCGCGATGGTGAGCATCTCGCTCAGGCACCCAAACGACTGCGCGCCGAGCAGAGTTTTTGCCATCATCGGCTCGACGGCCAGCTCAGCCATGCGGTAGCCCAGCGGCTTCGTCAGCTTGGCGTAGTCGTCGAGGGCGCCCAGGGAGTAGAGGAGCTCCAGGGCTTTGGCCATGAGCTCTGCCGGCGGCGGGCTGAGGAAGTTGAAGCGCAGGACGTTGTCGATGCCGAGGGCTTTGAGTTGCAGGATAAAGGGCGCCAGGTTGGAGCGCTGCATCTCGGGGACGGTGACCTCGGGGAGGGCGAGGTAGGCGTCTTCCGTGTAGAGCCGGAAGCATTTGCCCGGTCGGGTGCGTCCCGCGCGGCCGGCGCGCTGGGACGCCGAGGCCTTTGAGATGGCGGTCGAGGTGAGGGTCTCGATGCCCGTCCGCGGGTTGTAGGCGCGCAGCTTGGCGAAGCCCGTGTCGATTACGTAGACGATGCCGTCGATTGTGATGGAGGCCTCGGCCATGTTGGTGGCGAAGACGACCTTGCGCGTGCCCTCGGGAGGCTTATCAAAGACGTACATTTGTTGTTCTGTCGAGAGACCCGCGTATAGGGGCAGCGCTTGTAGTGTCTGCTGGCCGCGAGGTTGGTTCGGGTCGAGCAGGCGGTCGGCAACGGCTTGGACGGCGTTGTCGATTTCTTCACGGCCTGTGAGGAAGACGAGTATGTCGCCTTCGGACTCTGTCGTGTGTATGTCGAAGACTGTGGAGATTGCCTTTTCGACGTAGTCCTCTGTTGGTGATTCTAGGTAGAGGACGTCAACGTGATGTGCTCTGCCCTCCAAGCTAATAATTGCACCCTTTTCGTTGTCGTCAGCGGCATCGGCCTTTCCATCCTTGTCCTCCGGAGCGGTGACCGTCTTCTTCTGCTCGTCCCCCGGAGAGGTCGTGAAGAACTTTAAGAACTCCTCAGCCTGTAGTGTTGCACTGCTAATGATGATGCGCAGCTCAGGCCTCTTCTTGAGAATCTTCTTGAGTAGTCCCAGGAGGATATCAGTGCTGATGGAACGTTCGTGGGCTTCGTCAACCATGATGACAGAGTACCGCGTCAGCAAGGGGTCAACAAGTGCTTCCCTGATGAGCAGCCCGTCCGTCATGAACTTGATGCGCGTCTGCGCCGAGGTGTTGTCCTCGAACCGGATAGCGTAGCCGACCTGCTGGCCAATCTCACAGCCAACCTCCTCGGCGACGCGGAGCGCGACCGTCGTCGCCGCCACGCGGCGCGGCTGCGTGATGCCGATGACCTTGCCGTCTGCGCACCATCCCGCGGCTTCGAGGAACTGGGGGATCTGCGTGGTCTTGCCGGAGCCGGTCTGGCCGACGACGATGGTGACCTGCTTGGTCTCGATGAGATAAAGAAGGGCCTGGCGGTGCTTTGCGATGGGGAGGAGGGCCGACGGCTTGTGCAGGGCCGGGATGAAGGCCGAGTTGAGATCGAAGTCTGCCATGGTTTGGTGAGAACCTTTTGGCTATTGACTAGAGACTGTTTGTGTGTTAGAAATGAGTGATGTTTATTCAATGTGGCGATTTTACCTTCAAATACTGGCAACTGACCTTACATCAATCATCAAGATATGGGAGATATTGTAAGACAATAGGTCTGTCACCTTATGCATCTCATTTTGGCTGCCAGCTTTTCTTGTAAGTGTGGTTTGGCCTCACAATCGGCCTCGTTTGCAAGTGGTTGTCGACATTGAACGTTGCAATTTTGGCCGGTCAGAGTGTCACCAGCTGAGCCCAGGTGGCGATCTCTGATTGCATCCCACCATAGGCTTCAACCTACATTGTCCAATAGCTGACATAATAATACGCCGCTCAGCATCTAAAGTCTCCCTTTCCATCTTTTTATCGCCCTTGTACCTAAATGACTTGATCTGCAACGTTCTTTGATGCTTCCTATATCTTGTCTATTTCAAGGGTATTTTAGGCAACTAAAGGAGCAGTGGGAGGGGTTATCGTGATGAAAAAGAAGCTGTCAGGATCACTTGGTACATTCTGACGACAAGTGTGGCGGTAGGATTGTGGCTCAGCATCAAGCTCAAGCTGGCGCCTAGAAGTTCCCAGTTCCCCAAAGGAGGCGCGGCGTCATCAGCTTCGTAACCCACTTTAATGTCATCTCGCCAGCTAAGGTACCCTCCAGTCTCCAACCCCTCCGTCCGGGCGCGCGCATTCCGCAACGTCCTTGCACCTAACAATCTCGCGAAAGCAAGCAAATTACCCCCCCCTCCATCCTTCAGCAGACTTGCCTGCTAGCTACTCCTTTTCTTTTGCTGGGGACCTTCATCTTGCACCGAGACGAACTCTCTCCCAAGGAGAGAAGAAGTACTGGAGAGCGACCGAACAGTAGTCATGTCTGCCCCCATCGAAACAGTGCGCATATATCCCGTCCCCCGAAACGAGCCCAAACTTCATGCACATGTACCCTGTCAAGAGAGAGACTGACACCCTCATCTCTTTTTCCACAGAACAAGCTTACTTCCTCGAGCGGGCCCGAGTCGCCTACAACAGTCCGACCCCTGGATCTGTCCGACGACGAAGACATCCAGGAAACAGGTGTTCTCGGCGGTGAGGCTCCTACTACATCTCAGGCTACCACCAAGACCACCAACACCAACACCACCTCGTCCAACATGACCTCCTCGACACCCGTCGCCGCCGAAGCGGCCCCACCAAAGCCCCCGAGACCCTCCGGCGAGACGCAGAAGACGGAGGACATCTTGAAGGAGGCCTTCCCTAGCATCGACATCTCCGTCGTTAAGGCGGTCCTGAGAGCCAGCGGCGGAAAGATTGATCCGGCTTTCAATGCCCTCTTGGGTATGTGTCGCGTGACCCCCCATCACTTACCCAAAAACCGCCAACAAAGTTCTCTTACTGACAGGGCCCCGATATAGAAATGACTGATCCCGACGCGGCCCAGCACGAGACAACCGACGAACAACCCCCTCCCCAGCCTCCCCGCCCCCAGGGCGGCGCGCAGCTGTCCCAGCTCGAAGCCGACGAGCTCTACGCACGACAGCTGGCGGAGCACTTTGACAATGTTGGAAGCTACGAAGCTAGAACCTCTAACCGGAGCCCCGGCGGTGGCGGCGGCCGTGTGAGGAGGCAGCAGACCGGTCTCGAGCCCAGACCGAACGCTGAGGACCGCGAACCCAACTTCTTTGACGATGAGTTGCCGGTGATTCAGGAGAAGCTCCGAAAGGGGTTCGTGGAGACGCAGGGCAAGGTCAACAGCTGGATCACCACAATGAAGAAGAGGTTTGACGAGGAGTTTGCCGACGAGGACGAATCCAGTCACCAGCGGCCGGGTCAAGGCCAGGGCCAGGGCCAGTATGGCGCCCGACGACCCGGCGAGTCGAGCCGTCGGAGCGGCGACTACGAGAGATACGACGCCGATCCTCAGGTGCTCAGCGACGACTTCGCGGGCATGAAGTTCACCGCCGACGGAAGTAAGTCCCGATGCCCCTTTTCGCGGCTACATACCCCCTTTGGCACTGTTGCTATCCCGCACGATCTAACAATGGGACCCAGCGCCTCTCCGCGATAACAACAGACCTCTGTCAAACCCTGACCTCTACAAGCCCCCTCCACCCTCAAAGTCGCCCAAGCCCCACGACGGCCGCAAGGTGGCCTTCAGGGAAGGCGCCGAGGAGATTGACGTGTACGGCTCGTCGCCCAGACGCTCCGCCGAAGACCTGTCCGGTTCAAAGGCAAAGGCCAGCAAGTGGCAGCCCCTGTCGACGGTCGACCCGAACCCCATCAGCGACAACGACCCCTTCAGCCTGGGCGACAGCGAAGACGAGCGGGAGGCAAAGGAGAAGGCCGCGTCCACCAGCAAGGATACTACCACCAAGGATGCCGGCGCCAGCTCGGAGGACAGCGAAAGGCTCAAGAAGGCCGCAGCCGAGGCTATGGCGGATAGCCTCGTCGAGTCCAAGAGCGGCGAGACGGCTGGTGCTGACGCCAAGAAGAATTGAGATTTTGAACCTCCAGAGCGAGGCTTGGCTGTTGTGATCTGAGGAAGTAAGGGTGGCTTTTGCGTTGATACACTACTTTCATTTTCAGATATCCAAAACCCCCCACGCTATGGCTTGAGCGACACGACGAAGACAGCCTGGCAAACCGGGAGGGGGGGGGGGGTCTCGGGAGGCATGGCGAACCTGGGATTTTCATGATTCCCCCTTTCCATTTCACTAGGAAACGTACCTTTAGTTAGGACATCTAAATTGAAATTATCCCGCAATTGTGTTGCTGTTGCCCAAGTTCCTCCCTCATTGTTGAAGAATACCAGAGTCGGATTTCATGTTGTCGCCTAGGAACTAGGCCGATTTGCCGACTTGGCGTTGGTGTGAGTTGGAAGTTGGAACACATAGAAACAGGAAGGTCACGCGGATCTTGCATAGAGAGAGGCGTGATGATGATGCACGGGTAAGAAGACCCCGAAGCATACGAAGCATACGGGATGTAATACTCGCAAAAGACCCTAGTATGGGCGATCGGTCTCTGACGTATGCGTACGTTGTGAATATGGCTGTCGTTCGCGATGCGGCAAGCAGCGGATGGGGATGGGGGCCGCGGCCTTTTCCAGCATGGCCGCTTGCCAGGTTGCCTAGGTTCAGGATGGCCTGCGGATGCAAACATGTCAAGGTAAGGTAGCATGCAGCTGATATGCCCCGCCATGCTGCCGTCCCATTCCCGAGCAGTCGTATCGTGATATAACCGATCCGAGGCGGTAGAAAGGCCCAGGCGTATTAGTGAGTAGCGTCCTTCAACTGCTGATTCTGGCTCACAGACGAGATGATTCAAAGGAGCTCATGCCCAAGTTGACAGTGTTTATGCCCCACGATGACCTCTGGAACCCCATCCCGTCCCCATCCTCGGGCTTTGATGGGCTCCATGGTAGTCTTTTGCTGATTGGCCCCTATATCCGACCAAAAAACAAGCATTTTGATTCGCAAGGGTTTACAATATAAGTTGAGAAACCCATTAATAACAGCGGGCTGGGAACGTATCGCATCACCCGCTTTCTGGGTCGTTGGACTCGCCAACAGTTTGTGAAGCGAAGCGAAAGAGCGAGAAGTAGCCGCTATGAGTTGGATGCCCCCCTCGCGGGTTGATGTGCCCCGCACCATCTTGATTGGACGGGGAAGTTCTGATGTGGTTTTGCTGCCCACCACTCCGGCTGGTTCCGTATTGATGCAGGTTGCTGGAGCTCCTGCTGCTGCAAGTCTGGGCTTGAAACATCCCAATCAGTTAGAGCTGAGAGGGCCTTTTCCTTCGTACCCAAAATGATTTGGCGAAAGCCAGCTAGAGGAGATGGCCAGAGTAGGGTTCTGAACGGTACTTGTCGCCCGTGAGCACTACCCCTCAACGGCACGTCTCGGTGAAATTGGAAGTCCATTGAGCCGTATAGGGCTTCGCTAGACCGGCCAATTTCTCGAGAAGAGAGAGGATTAAGTAGAACCGAAAAATGAATAGTGTCGAATGGAAAATCTCGGATCCAGGTGTGGAAGAGGTTGTGATTTTGTGCCGAAAAAAAATAGAGACAGGAATTTTCCAACAGTTCAACGCCCCGAGTTTTTGGCAGTGTGCTGTTGTGCCTCTCTCAGCCTTGTCCTTGGCACATCGAGAGGAAAACGTGGTTCGTGTGCGAGCCGTCATTGGCCGGCGATCTGAAGACTTGGCTTTGGGGGAAAGCGAATCAAGCGCATGTGTGGGTGGGAGGTGGACTCCACGGGTGTTCCTTGAGGCCATGTACATGTTTTTTTGGTACATGTTGTCGACGTACTGCTGGTGACGGCTGCGGCTATCGAAAAGTAGGTAGGAAGGGAGCTCTGGCAAAACGGACACGGCCGTCGAGAATTTCAGGCCCCTCCAGGATCCACGCTGAGGCAGTGAGAAATGGCACACGTGCTCGGTTTCTGTGATATTATACACTGCCAGACGCAATGCGTTGTTGAACTGCCACAGAGCGGGTACATTTGATGGTTCAGGTCGTCCGACTATTTTCTCGTTTCCGAGATGGCGCGAGAACTTGCCCGAGTAGGTAGGTACAAGCAGAGGATGCTCGCTTTGATCTTGACCAGGGCAGACAAGGTCGGAAGAGGGCAGAGGCACAAGGTACGATGATATGGTACTCAGTACGGATAGGTATGTGATAGATTGTAGGCGAGATGTTCCTTGGGAGCTCATCGTAGGTCGACGTTGGGAGACTTTCCGAGTACGGCGAAACGGCAGGGCACTGGCCACAAAACAGTCAAAGAGCCACACTTGATGCCTTCCATTTCTTGCCCAGTTGAATCTGAGTGGATGATTCTCGCAGCTCTTGCAGTTCTCGCAGGTGTAACGTCGTCTTCAGTGCGCATTTACTTTAGGTATCCGTACCTTAGCAGGTAGGCAAGGGTGGCAGGAGTGACAAGAGAAAAGGTACCCCGCACCTCACAGCTAGACAGGGGAGGGGCTGATCGATGCTCTTGCTCTCTTGCACGCAGCACATGCTGCACGGGCAAGAATACCTAACCAGACCCAACTTCCCAATGGAAGCACGTACCCAGGGCCGGCAGGTGGACCCATACTCTGGCCCGTTGCTGGTGCTTCTCGGACCTGCTATTGGTCAGACCGATACCATGGTTGGCCAAGACCCCGGTCGGCACCCATTTACATTTCACGACTTTGACTGCCAACTGCCTCTGCCACTACGGCCTGCCCTGCTAGCCCATCGTCTTGAGAGAAAGAGAGAGAGAAGTGAGGAAAGGTAGATACACACAGTACCTCCTGATCTGGACCCCTTGGAATTTGGGTTTCTAGAGTCGCATCTCACTTCTCATTCACCACTCCCCAAATCCGAAGTCTAGATCTGGGCTGCTGTCATTCTTACCGCCGCCGCCCTGCAAACCTCGACATACCGATGAGGTAGAGTTGCAGAACCATACAACTCACTCATCTGACCTATCCTCGGTTTGCCTAATTCGACGTCACTCTCACACGACACCAACACAGACGCATACGCCACGGCCGCAACTTACGGCAACTCCAGACATCACTATTCTCATCCAAAAGAGCATAGGTTGAAGCAATCACCGCTTGAACCTGCTATCTTGATCGGTAAGCATGAATGTCTCTCAACAATCAATCTCGTGATCTGCTCCGATTCGGCGCAAGTCTGTTTACTGTTGCCTTTGTCTTTGCCTTTGCCTTCGTCTTGATTACACTCCGACTCACATCACCTCTCTTTCTACCCCTCGATCCATGCTTTACTGCTTCTTTTGCATAACCCCTATCACCAAGGTCGACGACGCACTCGTCTCCTGTTATTCCCCAGTCAGACTAGGAAACGGTGCCAATACCCTGGACAGGACGATGTTCTGGTCCCCGGCCGCGCCTGGTTTTCCTAACCTCACCCCCCGTCCAACCCGTAACTAGATCTGGTCCTGGGCCAACTCAGACCTTGCTTTCCTCATCGGAGACAAACAACGGGTGTGCCATCCGACACTGGCGCTGACATGGTATGTTGCCATCCACTGGTTGCTAGTACCTGCAACCATTCATCGTCCTCCCTGCCCCCACGCAGCGTCTGGCATCAATAACTATTACCTACTTGTGGCACCTGTTCAGAGCAAATGCCTGACCATGTCCATGTTCTTAGAGCCGCGTGCGTTGTTGCCCCTCTTTCTTCAGAGCCTGGTTGTCACCGAGGCATGCCCGGGATAGCTTCAGAATACCCCCACCTACTACCCATCTTGCTCGTTATGACCTAGTTTCTCTACGGGTACTGCTTATGGGTTCCTGCTCCTCCTTCTGCGTGCTCAATTTTTTCAGTCATAGCTACTTGGTGGCTCTACAGGCCAAGCGGTCGTCTTATTGCACGAGGGATATCTCCCGATCATCGTCCCCTTTAATCTAGACCTTCAAATTCTAACTCAACCAACAGCTTCGAATCCTTACCTCAACTTGGATATTCGCCTGTCTTTGTCCGCTACTCAGTCTACCTCACGCGGCAGGATTCTATCTTGCTGATCGCCAAAAAAGGCCTTGGTTTCCCCCAACTCGTCATCCCATTAGCTTGCGCCACTGAAGAGCACCCCACGTACGGTTCTCTACATTAACCCGCAGCTGTTCTACACAACTCTGCCACGAGGCGACGTCACTCAGCATACCCTTGTGCGAGTGGCTACTTTGCTTGCCTGCCGCCGACACATAATCACACCCGCAGAGCCTCCTACTGTCATCAGCTTTCTCCCTGCAGACATCCACTGTCAGCTTGCCACTACTGGAGGGCACATAGGCTGCTCTCTCTTACAACGATCACTTTTGGACACCGTGATCCCACGGGCGTCCGTCCATCATGTCAGTCTCTTGGCCTTAGCTAACCCCTAGTGTGTTCTCACTGGCGAACTTGTGCTGATATAACAGCAGGAAGTTCGGCAAGCAGATTCAGAAGCGTCAGCTTGAAGTTCCAGAGTATGCCGCTAGTTTTGTAAACTACAAGGCTCTCAAAAAGGTACGTTTCGTTGTCCGGCAGTTCCCTCTTCAGTCTCTATCCCCCTTTTGTTACCCCGTTCTCTCGCTTCTCTTCTGCATTGGATGGAAGCTTGGTATGCAAACCACAAAAAGGAGAAAAACCCCCTCTAGAATTTAGTCAACTCGGTACCCGACACTGTCCCGTCAGGGGCAGGTGAATGGAGCAAGCCCCCATGGCAATAGCTAATCACATCCGGCATTACCACTGACATTCGCTACTAGCTGATCAAGAAATTGTCGGCTACGCCCACGCTGAGCGCACAACATGACCCTCTCCGCTCCGCAATATCTATAGACTCCCAGGCTGCCCTTCAGGCCAACAAGGCCACATTTTTTTTCCAATTGGTATGTATCCAGTCATGGGTCAGTGCGATGAACTTCCCAACGTACTTACTGACTCTCGAACAGGAACGAGAGCTCGAAAAGGTCAACGCCTTTTACCTACAAAAGGAGGCAGAGGTATGCAATAATTTCTCTTGTCTAATGTAATGACTCTACCCTGTCAGAACTGACCCCCGCCTAGCTCAAGGTGCGACTGAAGACTCTTCTCGACAAGAAGAAGGTGTTGCAGTCTCGCAATGGTGTTTCCAGACGTTCGGCCAAGTTCACAACTCTCGAAGAGGGCTTCCAACAGTTTGCCAGCGACTTGAACAAGCTGCAACAATTTGTTGAGATCAACGGGACTGCTTTCTCCAAGATCCTCAAAAAGTGGGACAAGACGTCAAAGTCGAAAACCAAAGAACTCTACCTATCCAGAGCAGTCGAGGTCCAGCCCTTCTTCAATGCCACCGTCATTAGCGAACTATCCGACCAGGCCACTACTAGTCTCCAAGAGCTGGGGGCTTGGGCCGAGGGTGACAATGTCAGCTTCGAGCCTCGTAGTGATCATATCGTGAGCAGCCAGCATCTACTCGGAACCGACGAAGGTGATGCGGATACACTACTCCTCGACACGGTCATTTCAGGGAACCTCGAGGCTTTGAGGGATCTCCTGATTCGAATGCGGACGGCTGCTAGCTCGTCCTCAGGCTCTGACATCTCTCTGATGGAGAGAGTGACTAGAACGTTCCTCGCTGCCATTCACGAAGCGCCTAAAGAGACTCTACAGGCTCTCCTCGATACGGGCTTGGTCGACATACAGTCAGAGGACGACATTAACGAACGAAATTGCCTGCACCAAGCCGCCATCTACGGGAACTCGTTTGTCCTTGAATACGGCCTGGCAAAAGGTGTTGCTGTCAGTCGTACCGATGTGTATGGCAGAGTGCCGCTGCACTATGCCAGTATGCATGGACGATTGGACATGCTCGACGCCCTGACTAGTGGTAAGATCTATATAAGTACAGGCAATGTGGCTGCATGGTTGCTGACATAGCCTCACAGCGGATACTTCAACGATAGATTTGATCGACCATGATAACTTTACCCCTCTGGTACACTCAATCATTCACGGCCACCTTCAGTGCGTCGAACGACTGCTAGCAAAGTCCGCTCGAATCGACCCTGTCTCTGACGCAGACCATGTACCGTTGAACCTTGCCTGCGAGCATGGTTCGTTGGCAATCGTGGAAATGCTCCTCCAGCATGGAGCACAGATCGTTCCCGACGCTGAAGGACTCTATCCCCAACACCTTGTTGCTCGGTCAGGCCAAAGGCCAGAGCTTCTCCTTTTGCTCAAGAACTTTGGAGCAAATCTCGATCAGGTTGATAAGTTGTACGGTTGGACGCCCCTGGTTCATGCCGCGAGCGAAGGCAACGTTCCCTGCCTCCAAGGGTTACTGGACGTCGGAGCAGACCCCAACATCGTCGACGAAAAGGACCTGCCAGCAATGTATTACGCTGTCTGGGAAGGCCACCTCGAATGCATGCAATTGCTTGCACCGTACAACGCAAGAACGAAGGCGAGCCCCATGATCATGCAGCCCGGATTGGGACCAATGATGAGCAGCGGGCCCGACCCGATGGCCCTTGACCCGGATGCCATCCCTGAACTTGAGCTGCCGCCGCCGATCATACCGTTGCGCCGGTACGGACACAACTTCCTGGACACCAAGACGGTCATTCAGATCAGTTTCGAGGAAAATGGGGACCAACCCCTAGTGTTCTTCCACGACGGGAAGTACCCTGCCGCCCGACTCACCATTTCATCAAAGGTTTCGGATCTCATCCCGAAGAATATTATGCTGCCTTTCCAAGAAGATACCCGTATTGTTTCCTTTCAAATCGACAATTTGGAGTCATTTACACTCGATTTCGACGTTTTCCCTACCTACGGCGCGAAGATCATTGCGAAGACGGTGGCCCTTCCCAATACCTTCAAGGCGCTGCTTAGTAGCTCTGGGAAGTGCTGTCTCCCCCTGTTCGATCCAAGGCTACGAGCAATTGGCCAGATCAGCTTCCACACTCAGGTCATCAAGCCGTTCAACGGTAAGCCACTCGAGATTACGGATTTCGAAACGTACTGGAAGGCAACAAGCCAATTCGACCGCAGTCCAAGCACATTTGTGACTGGTTCGAGTTTGTCAGGTGACTTTGTCCAACTCTTCGTTCAGCACACCAGCGATGGTGTACCTGTCTTGTGGCCGAGATGGACGATACCATGTGGTGGAATTGACCTGCCCATCTCAAGATTGACAATGGAGCAGTTCAATACGATCACGTCAAAGAGCCCTAGCAGAGCCGAACTGGCATCATTACCAACAAGGCCTCTGGACGCAATTGCGGACGTCCATCGGGTTCTTGCGACAGCGGGTATCCCTCTCAACGAGGCGCTGGCTCTGCTCCCGCATGGCATGCATGTCAACATCCAGATTTTGTATCCGTCACTGGACGAGGAAAGGTCACTGGGTCTGGGCCCGTCGTTGGACCTGAACACATTCGTTGACTCTCTTCTCACTAATGTGTTTGATCACGCCCGCGCTCAGCGAGCTCAGTCGCTCGAGTCGGTCCGTTCTGTGGTGTTCAGTTCATATAACCCGAGCATGTGCACAGCACTCAACTGGAAGCAGCCAAACTTCCCCGTGTTCCTGTGCAACGATCTGGGACGGGAGGATGTCATGGCGCCGCCGGACATCATCCAGAGCCACGGCAGAAGATCTGCATCAATCAAGGAGGTGGTTCGGGTTGCGCAAGGCAACAACTTTATGGGCTTAATTTGCTGCTCACGGCTTTTGGTAGGTTTAGGCCCTTTCGTTGATGGCTGTGATATTCTTACTGACTGTACAACAGGAGATGGTCCCCGCCCTGGTGGACGCCATCAAGTCACACGGTCTTGCACTGGTCACAGACAAGTCACTGGATCCGTCGTCGACAAATTCTCTGACAGATCCGTTCCCGCGACTGCCAAAGGGAGTGGACGGTGTCCTGAAAAGCCACGGTGTCTTGCGCTTCAACGAATCCATAGATGTGTAGTAGATTGTTGTAATTACGTGTCAGAAAAAGTTAATAGACTTGTGTGTGTGCACCTTTTCCAATCTCGATTCGTGACAGCCTGACCTCTGGATATTCCTTTTTCGCGCTCGCTGCATCATAGTTACATCGTCATTCCAGCATAAGTCGTAAAGTTAACTCCTTCTGGTCCCGTGGTATTCGTAGTAAAACAAAAGAATAATACACATCTCCCGCTGCCACGCAGCTAATTGTGCTTGGAGTCATAAGCTTTACGCGCCTTTGAAACCATACTTGAGCGTGGCCAACTCTTTTTCCGGGTCGACGCTGCCCATGACCACCTTTGCAATCAGAACAACGACGTACACTATAGCAGGCAAGTTCCCCAGCCCCACGTGGCCAAACGAAGCCTTCTCGCTCGACTTCGTCGCCAACCCCGCCAGGATAAGCATACCACAGAGTCCGAGGTTGAGGTACGGCAGATACAGCTCCAGTGGACCTTTTTGCTCCTCGGCGAAAGAAAAGGAGCTCCGCCTGCGTCTCCTCTGCGTTGTCTGAATGGGCTGGTAGGACGACGGACCGCCGGAGACGGACGAGGTCGAGGACTCGAGCGAGGAGGCCGGGCTGGGGTGCGGGGTCTTTGGTCGGGACCATGCGTCGAGCCAGGGGATTCCGGTCGCGCCTGGGGGTTGGGTGTGGAGGAGGTAGGCGGTCGAGAGGAGGGATGTCAGAGAGAGGAGGGAGGTGAGCGGGGCGGAGAGGCGGGCGAGGTTTATGAGGTAGGGGATCGTTGTTAGAAGGGGAAGGACGAGGAGGGCGGTTGCGAATTGGGCGTTGCGGGCTGCGTTATCTTCTGCGAGGCGGCGGATGAGGGTTTCTTGTTCTAGGTTAGGGGATTGGGTGTTAGCTTTCGATGTAAGACGGAATGGAAAGATGAAGAGTGAGGGGAATGGGATGGATTGGGAATGAGGTTTTTGTGTCTTTAACGTCGTACCCTCTTCGTCCATGGCTTCTGGCTGTGAGTCTGCCGAGTCGTCGTCTGTGGGATAGTGGAATGTACGCCGCAGACGAGCGGCTGCGCCTCGAGGTTCTGCCATTTTAGTATGGAGGTTGTCAAATGCGCGATGAGCTGCAGCGGGTTGCTGGTGCTTTGTAATGATGTCGTAGCTGTTAAAGGCGCAAACACTTGGTCTACGTGTTGATAAGTCCAGTCGATGAAGACAGATTTGTAGAAGCCTGGGTAGGTAGCTACGTAAGGTATCGGTGCAATAGGTGTAGATGGAGCTCACCTACCTTACCTCTCGCAGAGGGGGCCGTGACCGACCACTCAGCCTTATGACGCGCGACAGCTGGACAATGTGCGACAGGGGTCTTGGGTCCAGGGTCTGATTGGTTACTGTTTATCGATTGCTTTTTTTCTCTGCTTTCCAAATGCCCACGCCAGGACCCCGGGAATTTTCGAGAGAGAGCTTTGGCCCCGCCCACCGAGAGTCGAGACCGACCGACCGAACTGACCGAACTTGCATGGTCTGATTCGGAGCATCCCGAGAATTTGACCCAGACGCAACGCCCGGCATCACGAAATTCGAACCGACCACACCCACCGACGCGGTAGCCCCGACTTCACTCGTAGGACGATTTCGATTCCACGGGGAGTTTCATTTCCAGCATGTTCTCAAACACAGCCACCAGGAGGCTCGCCTCCTCGCTGCGCAGCGCCGCCGCGAGGCAACGGCAGCAGCCGCAGCAGCTCAGAGCGCAGGCTCAAAGGAGATGGGCGACCGCAGCGCCGAAGCCCGGGTCCGGACCGCTGATGGAGCGGCGCGCAGATCGAGAACTCCCAGGTAAACTGCTCGTCTTTCTCCCCCTCTTTCCCTCTTCTCTCTTCCCGTTGTCATCCATCCGCTAACCACCACAATTCTTTCAATAGACCTCAACCAGATCACCTTCCGCTGGTCCCGCACCCTCCCCCTCTTCGCCGCCGCCATCGCCCTCAGCAGTATCGCAATCTTCAACTACCAAAAGTCTTCCTCACCCGTCATCGCCTCGACCCTCTACGCGCTGCGCACCTCCCCGAAAGCCCGCGAGTACCTAGGCGACGAGGTGCAGTTCAAGCACCAGATCCCCTGGATCGCCGGCGAGATGAACCAGCTCCACGGGCGCATCGACATCAGCTTCAGCGTCAAGGGGTCCCGCAACGAGGCCGTCATGAAGTTTGCCAGCTTCCGGACGTCGCACAAGGGCCTGTTCGAGACGACCGAGTGGAGCTTGGAGACGCCCGACGGGCGCAAGATTGATCTGCTCGACGGGGCGGATCCGTTCAAGGGGTCTATTCCGGGTGATGATTTGAGTGATGATGATCTCGAGGCTGTGGTGTCGGCGGCGGAGACGAGGGGTTTCAGGCAGAATATCAAGTGAGTGAGAGAGACAAGGAGGACCGTTGAATACAGGGCAGCACTACAGTCACTTCAAGGTCTCGTGAAGGGAATCGTCATCAAAAGCATGCATGGGTTCGAGGTAGTTCAAGTCATTGGGTTGGAATTCGGGTCGGGCGAGATAATGACCCTAAAGCTATGCGCCTCTCTTAATGGGGTGATAAATGTACAACATGTATAGTACACAGACTTTCGTAAACAACAGTAGGGGAAAAGGGGGAGGGTGGACGATATCTATACAAGTGCCGGGAGCTCTTTCCTCTCCTTCTTCAGCACCAAGTGCCTCTCTCTGGCCTCCTGCAATCTCGCCTCGCCATCCACGTTGGCCTCCAACAGCTCCTCCAACTTGTCCTGCCTGTAAGGAAGCGCCGGCGCCTTCCTCTTGACGGCATCCTGCAGCTTGACGATACAGTTCTTGGGGCCCGCGACGGCGCCCTTGACGAGCACGACGCCCAGCTCGTTGTCCACCTTGAGCACCGTCAGGTTCTGCACCGTGACGCGCTCGTTACCCATGCGACCGGGCATCTTCTTGCCGGGCATGACTCTGGAACCGGAACCCTGCGAGGGGCCGGTGGTACCGATGGTGCGGTGGTTGAGCGAGTTACCGTGGGACGCCTCCTGACCCGCGAAGCCGTGACGCTTCATACCACCGGCGAAGCCCATGCCGCGGCTGTTGGAGCGGACGTCGACGTACTGGCCCGTCTGGAACCAGTCCGGAAACAGCTGGGCGCCGACGGGCAGCAGCCCTTCCTTGGTGCGGACCTTGAACTCGGCCAGGTGGCGCTTGGGCGCGATGCCCTTGGCCTCGTAGTAGCCGAGCATCGGCCTCTCGACGTTGCGCGGCTCCTTGGAGCCGGAGCCGATCTGAACGGCCCAGTAGCCGTTGTCCGGGCGGGTCTTGTTGGCGACGACCTGGACCTGGTCGAGCTGGAGGACGGTGCAGGGGACACGCTTCTTGCCATAGTAGATGGCCGTCATGCCCTTCTTGACGGCGAGGACGCCGGTGCGGAGGGGCGTCGTCTTCTCGCGGCGGGCGAGGGCGGCGGCGGGACCAGTGGTGAGGACGGGGAGGCCGGCGGTGGGCTGGTTGAAACGGGTGGGCTTGCTGCGTTTGGGCGCCGTGGACCAGCCGTACTTTACGCCGCGCTTCGCGGTGAAAGGGAGGAGCTGGAGGCGAGGGGCGATGACGGCCGAGGCATTGGCGGCGGCGGAACAGGTGTTTGATATCGTCGTCGTCGTCGATCGGAGGAGCTGGAGGCAGCTCGGGGGTAGTCGGGGCGCCATGGTGGATGGCCGGGGGGGTGGAATTGAGGGCGGAAAGAGGTGGTCTGGTGTGAGGTCGGCGATGGAATTTTTTGGAGTTGAGGTCGGATCTGAGTGCCTGGGGTGGAAATCTTGAAGTGGTCCGTGCGCCTCCCTGAAGTGAAATGGTCACTGAGCTTACCAGGAGCTCATGCCAGGGTCTTTTCTCTCTTTTTCAAAGAATAACTCTGCGATCAATCAGGATACTCAAGTAAACATTCCATTTTCTCTATTCAATTGACAGATTCTTGAGAGCAAAGAGCCACTTTACTCCAGCGAAAGTCTTGCTCTACACCAAGAAGACTAAACTTGGCCAAGATGGATAAAACACCCATCATCCATGCTTACAGACATCTCTACCGTGAGCTCCTACGAGCGGTTCAATTCGCACCGCCGCACAGGTACACCGTCCGCAACCAGCTGAGAGCGTCGTTTCGCGATAAAGACGCGGTGTGGGACCCGGAGGTTTCCAAGAGAACACTGTGGTTCATACAGGCGGCTCGCAGAGAGGCCGGTATCGAGCACAAGGTTCTCAAGAACCTCGTCCGCGTGGCTTGGGAGAGGCAGAATATGGATACGTGGAAGGTCAGCTTTCGCAAGGAATCGGAATCCCGGGGCAAGGATGTGTGAGTTTTGCTTCTGATTCGGTTGTGAGAGATACGGTTGCTGACGTTGAATTATTCAGCATCCAAGAGGCCAACAACATGAAAGCTACAGTATACAATCACTATGACATGACGATAAACATGCTGAACAAGTCGATGGGTATTCGACTGAGATGATGGTCTCGAGCAAGTCACGGTAGTCGTGATCGAGTTGTCACTCGCACGCCTGCACTGGCTGTCATCAAAGAGTGCAGCTTGACCAATTCCTGAAAATCTCAAACGGTTCCACCTTACTGGAAGTGCAGGCATTGATGGAGACATGTCCATCTCAGCATGCCCAGGCGGGATCATCAGCCCAGATACCACGCTTCGAGGCTTGTTGTGGTGCCAGGGTGGAAAGAAGGCAGGCAGAGGACGGAACGGAACACGATAAGCCCGAAACGTCGCGATGCAGTACCTATTCTCTTATCCGATGATAAGCCATTGGAGGAAACTGGCGTTGGGGAGAGAAACGACCGCTGGTGCGACCTTTGCCAGGCGGGCGATCTGCAGATGCGCGGGGTCAGCAAGTGAAACGACTCACCTGTGGTTGGTTAGCACGTTTGGCTACGTGAAGGTTGGAGCAGCCGTCTAAGCTGTTGATGGTTGCATGGTCGATTATTTGCTCGCGAAGCGCTGCTGGCGCCCGCTTGTATGTTGATTCTTGCTGTTTATGAGCTCATTATTCCTCGCCTCTTGCGGAACGCTGCTTCAGTTTCCCCGAATCACGCCAGAGATCTTGAGACAGTGTCATTCAACAGAGAAAACCCGTCAGGAGGTTGATGGGGGCATATGAATAGGGACCTAGATGGCTGCACCTCGGAGGCAATAACGTTTTGTCGTACATGGCGGGCGTTCTGCCCCAAATGTTGAGAAGTAAGCGAGAAGTGAGGTGCCCGACCTTCACGGACTGAGCTGAGGGCTGAGGGGGAAGAGTTGAGGCGAACCCCCGTGTACACCCCCCGTGTCGGAGCCAAGAGTCTCGGCCGCCAGGGCGGTGGTGGTCGGCCCTTTGCCGGTACGGGGAGATATATCAAAAGAGTGGTTCCCTTGGAAATCTGTTTTTGAGTACCAAAAATACCCTATTCGGAAACAATATGGCTCGCCCCGTGAAACCGACCCGCTGTTGTCGTAAGGTGGTCGACCGAGTTGTCCGCCTGGACAAGTACGATATTTCCAAAGCTCGGGTGAGAAAACACTCTGTGACACTAGAGATAGCCCACCAGGGAGAGAACTGGGAGAGGCGTCACTGGCAGTCTGGCTTGTGACGGTGGATTCTTGAGATGGCAACACTGGCCAATCTGGGCTGATTGGTGTTAGCGGCCGCTACCGGAAGGAACAAATGAGAAGCGCAGGATCGTTGGAGATCCAACGGGGCCCTGGTCTCCTTTCAGTGGACTCAGACACTAAGGTAAAGGTATCTTCTGCTGGTGCTACTGCTGCTACGGAGTGAAGTGCGTGGGTGCGTCCTGGAGATACCAATCAGCAATGGTACGACTGGTCGCTCAGCGGGGCCGAAGGGGGCCTCCCAGGTGCGGAAAGGATGCAGCTTTCCGCACCACGAACTGCCCTGGTCCTGCAGCTTTGGAATGGTCGTCGTTTTGAAGGTACCTCCTGATACAACCATCGCAGAGTCGGAACCTCACCCGGTCACTTGAAGTTGAGGGAAGAAGGGGGAAGATGAGGGGGGGCAAGATGCTGAACTGAGCTTGCCATGAGGTCAGGGAAAGGCAAGGTTGGGTGCTGTATAAGTTGTGGCTGTAATCGTACCTTCAACTAAGTACTTAGCTGAGGTGCCCCTACGGATACAACAGTCTGTGATGCGGATGTATCTTTCTACGCCGTAGATTCCCACTGCCGACCCCGCAATCCGAGTTACCTTTGAAGTATCCGTAGTTCACGCCTACCTTACCCTTCAATGATTCTTCCCTTCTTCTCTCTTTCATCTTAACCCGCAAATCTCTCATGGTTAGCGGGCACAACAGCGTCAATTCCCGGGGGTTCAGCTCTCGATTCCCCAGACTGCCTTGAGACAGCTCTTTTCACATCTCTGACCGATCAACTCGTCATCAACATCATCGTCTCTGTTTCCCTACTGCTTCTCGCCGTCTATCCTCCAAACTTCGCGAGCCCGTCATCCCGTCGCCCTGTTTGTCGCTCGTCCACACCATCACCCCAACTCCACCTGCTGCGCGGTCTGGATGGACCAAACCCCAACTGGCAAAGGGCCGTATCACGACCGCGCTGAAGACTTTGATCTCTCGCCACGAGATCACCGTCTGAAGGCGCTGCCATCTCGTCACTGCTAGAAGCATGCCAGCGACAGAAGCCGAATATCACCAGATACATCATGTTCCGGCCCGCCAACCGACTGCGATCATGCCTCGAGCTCAGGAAGAGCGCCCGCAGAGGCTGGTCAAGCGCTATCGCACCGAGATCGCCGCCAGCACGTCGAGTATGTTCTCGACTGTCCTTGCATTTCCCCTCGATAGCGTGAAAACGCGAATGCAGACCTACCGATACGAAGGCTTCCTCGATTGTGTGACGCACACATACCGCACCGAGAAGTTGAGAGGCTTCTTTCGGGGTAAGGAGTCCCTCATTCCCTCTGTCCCTCTTCCTCCAGCTCCCTTATACACGCGACCCCTCATCTCGCCTCAAGTCATGATCCCATTGACTAACCTTCTTTTGCCCCTCACTAGGCGTCCTCGCCCCAATGGCCAGCATCACACTCGTCCGAACCATGTCCTTTTCGATTTACCAACGCGCCAAACACAATTACTCGGGCTGGGTTAAGAACGCCCTGGGATTCGACGTGCTGCAGCATGTGAATCAGAAAGGCACATATCCGAATCTGTACTCCATTGCCTGTTTTGGAGCCGCCGGCGCCACTGCCGGCTCATGTATCACGCTTCTCGCCTGCCCTTTTGAGCTCACCAAGCTCAGCGCGCAGGTGGCTGTCTTGTTGTCAGACCAACAAAAGCTCAAGGAAGCAAATTGCCGCGCCACCAATGGCCACCAGGTTGCAGCAAGCTACCAAAATAAGGGCACTTTCAAGACCATGCGCAACATTGTTCGTCATAGGGGTGCTCTGGGGCTTTACACTGGCTTCAACTTGCACTTGTGTAAGTCTGCCCAGGCGTACAACCCCATCAAAACCCTCAGCTGACCATTTCAGTGCGAGATACTTTGGGTACGGCCATTTACTTCATGGTCTACGAGAGCGGAAAGCAGCTCGGAACTACCTTTGGTGGTGACCACCCGACGACTAATAAGTTCGCGGTTGTCATCTCTGGGGGCATGTGCGGGATAGTATCCTGGGCAATGATATGTATGTGCTTTCTGGTGCCAAAGAACCTCGGGCAAGTGACGCTAATACTCTGGCAGACCCCATTGACTCGGCAAAGAGTATCTACCAGCGAAACTCTCTCTTGTACTCGAAAGGGCAACAGGTTGAGCCGCCGCCGAAGATTGAATTCTTCAAACGAAATATGTATCGCGGACTAGGGGTTTCAATGGGTCGCTCATGCGTCGTCAACGCCATCTTTTTCTCCGCTTTCGAATTCACAAAAAAGCATCTCAACTCCCTGGATGACAACTAAGGAATGATGATTTGCATGAACTATCGGCTAGCTATGCAAATCGCAGTTGAACAAGCGCATACATAATGATCGATGGCGTTTTGGCTCGGTGGATGATGTGGACCACCGAGCATACTTGGGACAATGGAATGGAAGCAAGGACAGAAACCAAGTTGTAGTTTGGATTCGACTGCAATCAAATTATAAGTTATTGAAAGAGAATTGCGATGCTTCGTTTGGTGACCTCAGGCTGCCCAGTGTGCGGGATACGACATCTGTTCATGCCTTTAACATCGGGCACCTTATAAGCAAGTGAGGGTCCAGACGCATCCTCTCATAAAGTTTTGATCGAAACAACCTCGGTTTACCCTTTTGGACCTTGCTCAGCCTCTCGACGATTCCTTCGTACCTACCTTACGGGCGCTTAATCTCGGTATATGGTTTTAGACAAGGTAGGCAATTAAGCATGCCTAAGTTCGCGCACCTGGCTGAAGATCGGTGGGCCCGTGCATCAGCACCCCGCCACTATCATCACGTGCCGATAGTACCTCGCAGGAATCCGAGTTGCGACCCGACCTCTTTTGGGCCTTCCTGCGTCTGCGTCTTCAACGGGCACTACTCTGCCTCAACCAGCCCTGGCGTTTCCGTCGTGACTTGTGACCTTTTGCTTCCACGCATTTAGCATCCAAGCACCACCGTCCGCGCGCGCCCTTTATCCGAGTGCAACGAGCTCCTGCCGCAACTGATTTTGACGAGTCGCATATTTCCAAGTCTCCGCCGACTGGAAATTGGAACTTTCCTTCTTGTCTACCGCTCTGCGTGATCACTGCTTTTACCGTTTCCTTCGCGCGCAGCAAGTACCTACTTACTTGCTGACGTTGACGCCTTCGGGAAGAAGGTGCAACTTTGCAGACGCGCCTTCTTGGCCTGACGTACTTGACTTGGGACAGCACCCCGTCTCCGTGTTGGCTCTGGTGCGAGACAAAGATTGTCATTCTTCTCACTAACTGTCGTTTTCCATCATCTTTTTTCTTTTCCCGAGGGGCAGCTTTAGACGGCATTTGGTTTCCGAACCACCATGGTAAGCTGATAACAAAGGAGGATCATCAGACATGGGGAGAGAGAAGAAACCACACCCCGGCCCGGGTACCACGGCCAAGGACCGCCACCGCAAGGCTGGCAAGATCAATAAAGCCATTGACCGAAGTCAGCCGTTACCGCCAGGACTCGTCGCTGCGAAGCCGGTTACTGTGGTCAACAACAGCAAACACCAGTCATATTTCGAGTTCATCGAGAACAAAGATAAGAAGAAGCCTCTGCTCTTCCAGGTATGCCGCGCCGAGGCGGTTCCCTCGACACTTGCCGACCACCGGACTAACCAACACTGCGCCAGATTACAACAAACAAAACCCCGCCTCCTGGGATGAGGCATATCCCCCTTGGCAATCCTGAACTGACCGAACGATGCAAGGACATCTCGAGAGAGACTGGTGCCTCGGTCTACATTGTGGTAAGACGATGCCGAAAACTAACAGCCGTCAGGAACGATGATTGACCAGTTGTGATCTAGACCATGGCCAAGAATAACGCCTCGGACTTGAGCCAACAAATACACCGTGTCGGACACCATATTCGCGAGTATATCGTGGACAGGGCGCTAGAGGAATTAGGGCTGGACAGTGTCAACGAGCCGGAACTCATAGGTCAAGGCGACGCTCAGGTTGAGAAGATTCCCGAGAAACAAAACGATATCGACAAGCAGGCAGACGCCGCCCTACGAGAGCTATTCCCTCGCATTCCGAATACGGATCGACAACAAATCATCGATCATGCCTTCCAAAAGGTTTGTGATGCCGTGAGGTTTATGGGTGAAATGGGTAGGTGCTAACGAATCACTATAGGGAACAAAGTTTAAAGGCGACCTAGTCGTAGGACTCCAGCAGGAACTATCTCTGTCGCGGCGAGTGCAGCTTGCCGTCCTGGCACACATTCGACATAACCATACCAGATATGATCAGCTTCTTAGGGAGACAACCTGGCACAATGCCAGGCGAGTGACAGAACAGCTCTGTCTTGACTTCCTCGTCAAGTGGCGAGGCGACGACGAGAATGGCCGCGATCAGCTTGACGAAATTCTTCGCGAGGTAGTGGTTCTCTCCGATGATTCTGACGAGGAGGACTCGGACGAGGAGCCTGACTCCGACTCGTCAGAGGTTCTCATCACCAGGTCCAACAACATTGGCAGATTGTCGACACCGGCCGTAGCCCAGAACGTCGCTAACCGCGACAAACGCTTGTCAACAGCGATACCGTCGCATCCAGGATCTCCGATGCTTGTTGCCACGCCCGGGATGTCCAGGAGGGCTTACAAAAAGGCACGCAGACGGGCCAAACATCGTGAGCGTAACTTCAGTCGTTATGAGGCTGCTGCAAACGCTGCCTGGGATAACGCCAGACAGCGGCAGCGCGGGCCCGATGATCGCATGAACCAGGCGGGCAGCTCCGTTAGTCACGGAGCGCATCAACAGGGTCCGCCTGTTGAATTCATCGAGAACAGAGCCCCCATGGAGCGTATCAATCATGCGGGTTCGCAGATGAGGCTGCCTCCTGCACCCCCCAACAACGCAGGTGCCCGCGCTCGAGAGAGCCACCAGCTGCAAGATTTCCTCCACCCGTCCATTGAGCCAAGATCCCCTGACGGCGTGAGATCACCATCACGCTATTCCCATGGCGTGGTGGAATTCACAGACCGAAGAGGTCATGAGCTATATCCGCGTCTGAACTCCCCTCCCCGTGGCCCACTGATACGAGAGGAGCGCTATGTCCATCAAGCCCCCATTCACCAAAGCCATCCCATCCATGCGAGACCTTTGCGTGATGGCCAGGACATTGTTCAGCCGCCTGTATTATCATACCGCAATGTGCCACAGGATTCCCATCGGCCACTTGTGTATCAGCAGCCTCTGCGAGACCAGGGCCCTCCCCGACCTCAGGTTTACGCTGATAGAATCATCCACCGAGAGGACAACCTGAGACGACGTCAAGGCAGTGTTCCAGGAGAGAGAGCCAACCCCATTATGATTGAGGATCACAATGTTCACCAAGGTACAGTCGTTCTTGGCACAGGCGAAAGCGTCCGGGACAGATTTGGCCCCGACGTTGAGATTCTCGCTGTCCATCGCCCCGGACGTGATCGTGGCCATCATGGCCCGGATCCACAACTTTTCAATTCAATGGATGAAGGCTTCATTCGCTTGCGGGAGAACAATGTTGATCAGCGAAATGGATTGGCAGAGGAGGGCTTCCTCCGGCTTAGAGAGCGACCTGTCGTCGAACCCAGACATTATGCATATGGCATTGATAGACGTTCTCGTCTCGATGACCACCGGGCTACACAACAGCCACAGCCATACCGAGCAGCTGAACCTTCAGGGCAGGCTATCTACGTTAGGCGCGTGGAGAGACCGCCGCGAGCTGATGTATCCTATCCAGCGCACAACTATGAACGTGTGGAAGCGGCCAGAAATGACAGCCTTGCTCAGCGCGGAATCCCGTCGCCCGTGTACGGCGGAGCGTAAGTCAAGGACCAAGAACACTCGAAATCTACCAACTAACCCAGTTAACGCATAGGCAATATGAGCATCAGCAACATCATCCGATGCAGGGAGCATACGGTGTTCCCGTCCATCGACACGCCATGCCAGCCCAACAACTCGATGACCCGTTCAGGTCCGACAGATATCGGCCATCACCACCTCGCGCACCGCCGCGCCAGTGGCCGCGCGCCAATGACGACGTGATCGTGCTTGAGTAGGTAATGGCTGTGCGGAATAGATTTCCAACACTGACCATGATCGGAATGGTTATGAAAGCATGTGCGAAAAGGAACAGGGACGACAGCATGTATATGGAGTACAGGGATTACAAGCATCCGTCGACGAGGGTTTGGGTTTTGAAAATCGTCGTGGACGGACGGGCAAGGTATAGTCATTTTTGGTTGTAGGACGGAAGGGGTTGGTTGGTCATTCAGTGACAGCTTGGCGAGGATGCATGGAAGGAGTTGTTGTTAGATATGATACCCATGGTCGATGAGCAAGAACTGCTCTCGTCTGCGTCTTAGTGGCGGACTATGGATGGGACGGCCCCATTCGAATGAGAACATGTTAAAGAACCACATTGCCTTCATCACACAGAAAGCGCCGTCAAATGACTTCGCGATCAGTCGAAAGTGACCTGACCATTGAGCATTACCCTCCATTACAGATGCCAAGCTCACAATAGCTCGGTCCAGAATTGCAGTTGGTCACAATACTTCGGTGTCCTGCACGTACACAGGCTTGGTGAGGTGGTAGAAATTTTGTTATGATGTTGAGGCTTTCCATCGGGTCTGCGGCAGGCAACCACCAGCCGACCACGCCATCCATTATCGAGAATGATGTCGATACGAAGAACAGACAATGGCAACTTCCTCTTCCAGGTTCTATCAAAATACAAAGGGGGTGGAGATACTAATCGTTGCCTGGCTCTCGAACCGAACTGACTAGGTACTCCAGTATTTCAAACCACTCCATCGACCGCTCCTATATGTATGAACCATGGGTGGGCTCAGGAAGGCTGAGCTCAGCCAGTTCTGGCTCTATGCCATCCATGATTGCACAAACCAAAAAGAGTTCACCCCCCCGGTGCTGAACTGGGGGCTACGTATCTTGCTGCTCATGCTGGGATTCGAACTCAGGTACTCGCTAAGGGTGCCGTCGAGTAGGCTGGTTGGCGTATAATCGATTGTTGACCATGAAACACTCCGCCACCCAGGCAGTTTGACCTGACCCGTCGACTTAAATGGGCGCCTGCTGCCTGGTGACTGGAATGGAGTTGAGGGGGTATATAAAAGATGCTCCGGGAAGGTAGGAACCTTGGGGGATGGGGGCCATGTGAATACTCGATTTACCATACGAGGTGCGCTTGGCTATGAAATGTCTGTGGGACAACTGCCGAGCCCACGTTCCTGGATTGGATAAATGTGTTTTATTCCCATGAAGTATATAATAACTCTCCTATCGGGTTCATAATTGATGCCAACACCATCATCGTTTCTATACCACGCGGAGGTGCAAACACGGTGACTGGAACTCGCTTGAATACGCTTGCTGTAGAGAACACTTGGAAATGCGCTCATGTAGGTGGTGTTGGGATGTAGATATCCTGTTGCATAGGCACTCTCCGCGGTCAAGGTCCCTTCTTCTCGCCCCCTCGCGCTTTGCTGGTATTCTCTCACCAATACGCCCTACGAGACAGACGCCGCTACCGACCGGTGGATACCGAAGTGAGCCTTGCTTGTCACGATACCATTGCGGTCTCTAAGCACTGCGGTGGTCACAAGTGCCAGATTTCCCTTGCCCCTGGAGACCCGCGCATGTGTCTTCTGGTGTGACAGGAAGGCATCACGCTGGGAAAACAAAACAGACCTGGGTAACGTATGACGACTTTATACTACAGTTCATCCGAGTTTCAGCTAGCGTATCTTGAAGACTTTGCATCGTTGAGTGCGTATCTCGGGACATGACATAGACACAAGTACGCAGCGACTTTGATAACTCAAAGGTCGCGAAAATCTCCTTCCAGAGCCGAGTGTACCCATCGTCAATGAACACTAATCGCCGAGAAAGCCATCACCATCCTGTAAAGCCAAGATTGAAGTCATGTTAATGTGATCATCAGCTCATATATATTGAACCCCTCTGAGAGTTGATTCTAGCAGCCAGGTAACGGCACATTCCGTAAGAATGCAACGGTGTAGTTGATGAATCCAACAACAAAAAGCAGACATGTCGAACCTTTCCCGCCGCCCCTAGTCTAGTGTCATATTGCCGCGCGCGCAGAGATGGAAATAAGCTAAGGTACTATAGATAAACGTGAAGAAAAGAAAAGACATGCTTCCAAACCTCAACTCCATGAAAATGCAACCAAGAAAGTTCCCCCCTCGCATGCTTGAAGCCCCTTGTATCATCGAAAACGTAAAGGTAAGAAAGATGTTGCCAAGGATAAACGACGCAGCCTAATAGACACCCCATCATGATGCCAACATGGCCTGCCTCATCCGGGTCGGCTGCTGCGCCTCGGGCTCCTCTTCCTCTTCGCCCTGCGGGGTCGGCAGTTTCGTGTCGGGCACCTTGGGGAGCTTGGGCGGGTTGCGGATGGCGTCTTCGGCGGCGACGCTGGCCTCGAGGGCGGCGAGCTCGTCTTCGACTTCTTCTTCGTCTTGGACCGATATACGGCCGCCGAGCATCTCGCTGACTTCCTGTAGAGTGGGTAAAAAAGACCGTATGTTAGCCGAGGTTCCAAAACACACATGAACCCAGCACCAACGCGGATTCCATACCCTTTGATAAGCGATGGCATCAGCCGTCTCGCCCATGAGCTTCTCCACGTGCTCGATGCCGCCCATCTCGGAGTGGATCTCCTTGAGCACCTTGGTACCCTGCTGCAGACCGAACACGACGTCCTTCTGGATCATGGCGAACTCGACCGACGACGTGAGCTTCTCGAGCTGCTCGAGCTGGGCGTCCGTCTTTTGCAGGAGGGACTCTTGGTATTTCTTCCGGCGGAGGGCGAGCAAGGCGCGCGGCTTGTCGCCCTTTGCGAGCATCTGCTTCGCGATGGCCGTCTCTTTATCTGTCAGGACCGTGATGCGGCGCTGGTACTGGTGGAGCTTGTCGCGTTGGAGCTTCATGTCTAGGATTGCCCTGGAGGAGGGCGAGGTTCAAAGGTTAGCGAGAGCAGTTTACATTGTGAATGTGCGTGGTGGGAATGGTCGTGCGGCGGCGCATTGCGGATTACGCAGCGTCGGCGTCGCATGCGCGCGCGCGATATTTCGGTAGGATCAAGAGCTCGGGGACGTACTTGTCCTGGGCGGTGACTTTACTTGTGTTGCCGCCCATTTTGGAGAAGAGGATGATGCGATGCGACTATGCGATTCGGTTACAGTGTTGAGTTGGGGAGGAAGTCAGAAGGGTGGCCGGCTTCGTTGCGAAGAGGGTGCGTGTGTATGGCAAAGGAGAAAGGCGAACGAAGTGCCCGTGAGGTAGGTGTTTGGTGCACGAGGTTCCGGAGGTAGTTCGGTCGGTCAGTCGGACACGCGATACCGGTGATCGGTGACGGAGGAGGAATGGAGAGTCGGTCTGGGTCTCGTGCCTGAACCGGCTCGGTTTCGAGGCGCAACGCTGCGACGGAGGGTGGACTGGGGGCACCGCTGCGAGTGCTCCGAGGGTGGGCGGGCAGTTCGTCATTGCTCTTTCCCCCATGTATCAGGTGGGGGCGATTGCGGACCCTGATAAGATAAGAACGTTTGAGGTTCCCAAAATCTACCTTACCTAGTAAGTAAGGTACCTTAAGTTACGACGAGCGCAGCTAATGTGTCTTAGGTAATTCATGTTACCGGGCTAACGCTTTTGCAACTTCATGCCTCTAATCCTCTTGCCTACCTTACCTTACCTTAGTTGAGGTATCGCCGACTACATCTCTGTTGGATGGTGGTGCAATGGTATACATCATGGAGTGGCGACCACATTTCATGAGCCGTTTCCACTTTAGCATCATCGGCTGGACTAATGCTGATCTCGAACGCAATGACCGGCGTGAAAATACCTTACTCAAGATGATTTAGACAAGTACAGTTGCCATCCCATAGTAGCGAGTGAGACCAATGGATCTCACTTGCATTAAACACGACATAAAATTCCGGCTTGTAACGCTTACCCTTCCTGCATTCGCTCTAACCATGATGCTAGCTGCAATACAGATAGATATGTACACAGCCGGCCACCAGCAGAGTCAAGCCAAGCCAACCCTTCACAGATTAGGATTCCAAAAGTCCACCACCATATCATCCAACAACTCGGGTCCCAAGGCCGCCACCAGCTCCGCAATGCCAGCCTTGAGACATCCGCTCACCCCGACGTCCTGACGCTCCCACGCGACAAGATCGCCAGTCTCGAAAAGAAGTCCAGAGCCATCTATCCGCAGCTTGATATGGTCCATCTCCTCAAGTGAGCGGATCTCGTCAAGCGACAGGATGCCCGGCATACCAGTGTTGAACAAGAACGTGTCGTCATCGTGGTCATTCTCCTCATTCTTGGGATCTTCTGTAAACTCTTCTTGGCCGGCCGCAGGCTGATCTGAAGTATCCTTGGCTCCTTCGGCAGCTGGTGCGTCGGCTCTCTCCTTTGATAAGCTTAGGTACGGCTTGTTGTCCAAAAGGTCCGTGACTCTCTTGTCCATGAGATCCCAAGCCAGCGTCTCGGGATCCAGGATGTACTGGGGCGTGTAGTCCATCTTGTATCGCATCTTGGGACAGCTGTGAATGTAGAACCCGGGATACCAGTAACGATAGCCATCTTCCTGTGCCAGAGCAATCTCACGGATCGCGCCCAATTTCCCTGGTGCAAACTTGTGGATGGACTCGTGGTAGAGAAAGTATACGGCGGAAACGCAGTGAGGGAGCAGATCCAGTACACCAATGGCTACCAATTCACCATCCAAACGGTAGCACTGATGGAACGAACCGAGCTTTTGCTCTTTGCCGTCGGCCGTCGTGATTGTCTTGCGCTGGACCGGAGACTCGCACAGAAAGCGTTGGAAGCCGCGGCGAGAGATGTCGGCCGGCTCCTCCCTATGGACGACTCGCTGGTAGTTCTCATACACCAAGTACTTTTCCTCGGTGAAGACATCATCTTCCAGGGTAACGGTAAAGACATGGGCGGGCTCTGGAGGCAGCTGCAGGGAATCATATTCCGCCTCATGGACCCTCTCGATCAAGTCGAACTCAGAATCCCGTTTCTTTGCCTGCTCGCGTGACCGAGGGTGGAGGCGAGCTGCCTCCTTGATGTAGGCATCGCCCGTCAGGTATTTGTTGAACCGGTTGATGGTTTGTCGCTGATCTCGGGTGGGTTTGAACTGGGTGGAGTCCAGGCGGAGGGTGTAGTGAACGCAGCACGCGTGGAGTTGGTCCGGTCGGTAGAGGGTCGTCCCGGAGCGCCTCCAGTAGTGATCCAGCAAGGTTTGGTAGTATTCAGGAGTAAGGGATGTGGACTTGGCATAGTAAGAGAAGCCTGTCGAGTAGTGGCTCAAGTTAGTGACGGATCAGATCAGGGAATCCCACAGTGGCCGACCGCAAGTCACTATTCCGCAAGCCCTTGTGCGGCTTACACGAGACGACATGGGAGAAAACGAGGGATGGCATTCACGTTTTGACTGACTCTTGCCTTGGCGGCCACAATAACCACAGCGCGACGAATTAGAATATCCTAAGCTTGTATTAGCAAACCATATGGTGTGAAGTCTTGTTTAGTAGTAGCTAGCTAAGCGCAATTTCTCAAACCGCGTAAAACTGAAGATGTTTCTGAGATGTGAACATTATTGAATGGGAACAAGTCTCGTAGCGTTGAGCCTTAAGGTCGAATGAGAGCAGAGAACAGGGGGCTATGGGAGCAAATGAGAAAGCCAATCGCGTGCCTTCGGGTTCAATGTACGTATGGTGAGGACACATCCCGAATTTTGGAGGCAAATGGGCTGGCAAGCGTGGGATTACGCATCCATGCCGTGCAGACAGACCCCCAACTTGATCCGACTTCGAAGGATTGAAGTCAGGTTTGTGTGACTGAGAACGGGATGCAGTGACATCGATCGGCGCAGATGCACGAGGAAAAAAAGGCAACTAAGCCAGTTCCAGACCGACCAAGGGAGCTACCCCATAAAATGCCACGAGCCAACGGCGGCTGAGAGAAGTTGCACGGGGGCAGATGGTTGGAGGAGAGAATAGGACGAAGGACTCACCGATTGGAGTTATATAGGACAAGGCATCGCCAGGGGTCTGCATGCTTGTGTCGTCCATGACTGTCTGGTCTGCTGCGACTTGCTCGCTCTACTAACGCGCCAGGGAAGCAGCCAGCTCGACTAGTGCTAGGCAAGCACGAAACGTTGGCTGATATTTGAAGTGATCGCTTCCGAGGCGGGCACGCGGGTTGACGTCTAAACGCCCGGCGAAGAGGAGGGGTACGCTATGTATCTTGTGACTGTGATGACAAGATGAGAGTCGAGGGTTGAGCCGCTGCCTTTCTATCCCCTCTTTGACGGATGGCGCTGTTCGGCTAGGGATTCGACTTGATGCAGTGAAGCCCAGTCGGGAAGTGTACTTGTTGGTGGAACTCTCACACCCCTTGCGGCATTGGAGTGGGAAAGCGTGGGGTCGCGAAGCTTGAGATGGAGTGAGGGGTTAGTCGCGAGACACGACCTAACGGCCTTTTTCTTTTTTAGTTGCAGCGCTGCGAATTGCCAGCTGGTTGGCCGTGACGTCTGTTGTCTAGCGCTTGGCGCAGTGCGGCCTGACAACCTGGAAGACGGAGGAATATGAAGTGAATGCGACGCGAGGGAGGCTCTCCCCTTGGAAATATGAGGAGTCTGCCTGTGACATGGACCGGTATTTATTTGTAGTCTGTAGTGGCCAGTCAATATCCAGTATGTGACCTCGAATAGCCCCCCCAAAAAGAGGTATGACGACGTTGCGTTTGTCTGCCTGCTCGCGCGCTTGCCTCACCTTACCGCCCCATTTAATTGTGCCTGCTGGTCCCAGTCTGTTTGTACCTTGTCTGCCAACGCAGACACTCTGCTCTTTGACTCGAACCAGCTCGTCGAAGCCCGTGTAAGTTGAGTCGGTAGACGTTGACCCTCAATGTGCCGGCTCGGCTTAGCTATACGCCGCTCTTTGTTTGCTGTGTGTATCTGCTGGTCAGTCGCCCGACGACGATGGAGGCACGGGTATGCAGGAGCTCAACGTCTGGAGCATGGGTAATGCAAATGTGCAGCGTTACCCTACCTCGCGGCAGATGACTACACCATTAGGTCTGCAATCTCGGTGGCCCGAAGGGATGTCGCATACGACGTGCCAGGATGAGGTGGCAGCGGCTCTGTCGGATCGGAGAATGACGCGAGAAAGGCGCCTGGATGAGAAGTTGATATGCGATAGCTTGAGTAAACGGTGCGGCTTCGGAATTTCAAGCTTAAAATGCTACTGATAGTAGCAGTCGAGTGAGCGTGCCAGCTGTAGCATCAGGAGGCAAGACCAACCGAAACGGGCCCCAAGGTAAGCAGGTAGCAATGAGGCATCGAGATACGATCGGCGGTGAATGCAAGTGAGCTATGGGGGTGTTGTATTTCGTCGCATCGCTTAGGGTTGTATCTGGACCTCCCTCCTGGAACTCGATGGAAGAACAGAAGCTGCGTTCCAGTGCACGCACCCGCCAGGTCGAACAACCTACCGGCTGAGGATTCTAAACCTGGAGGTAGGTAGGTTCGGATACTTAGCCCTTCGTCAAGGATCTCAAGGCTTACGGATTGCGATGGTCAGCATCGGACTAACTCATCAAGAAGGTCCTTCCTTGGCTGTTCAACTCGCACACGGTGGCCTTGAGCGGAAGTTGTAACCCCACGTCAAAGTCCTATCCTGGATGCGAAAGTGTCTTTTGGTTGGTGAATTGCCCGTAACATGAGTGGCCAGCGTGCTTCCAGTTCTGATGCAGTGTGGGATGTATCCCGTCAAACGTCTGAAATACAACCAGCTGCGATAGGTGTGAGTGTGGCTGCACCCCTTCCCTGAGCTCGATGTTGAGCTACCTCGCTAGTGAGTCAAAGACGAAGGATTTTGGTTTCATTTCAGCCAGACACTGGAGCAGTAACCACGCAGTCTGCGCGTTGTATCGATGATCGTTAAATTCTAGTCCTGATGCTCTGTGGTCATTGTTACCTGTCCATACTAAGACAATTTACACCGGAATTCTCAATAGGCCGCAGACGTGTTCTTGAGCATAAACGTCGTTGTGGATGACACTGGCAGGACACATCAGAGCTCTCAAAAGCCAATCAGAACCTGCCGCAATGAGTTCACTCTCGAAACCAATTAGTGCCCAGAATGTACGACAACACCTGGACTCCAATTGAACTGCCAGAAAAAGGCTCCGATTCTAGTGTGATGGTGTCGGTGATGGAAGGCTTTGGCAGCAGCCAGGTAGCTGTTTGATCTTGGCGTATGAGCTTATAACTCTTCGCTGAAGGCCACCTCGCAGGCTCGTTCTCAATCTAGCCGACGCCTGGAGACAGTGACTGGCTACTGAGAATCCAAAGTGAGCATGCCAATATCGCCAGCATGAAGCTGCCATCCTGCAGCCAGGCAGCTTGCGGATGAGTCGGTCCCCGTTGAAGATTTGGCATTCACTTCCAGGTAGTGCCCCAAAGAGAATTAATTCTACGCAATCCTCAGTCGGGGGCCGGGGCCCCTTGTTAAGCCCAAAAGCAGTCACCCGGTCCCTACCCGCCAGCTGTTCGCACGTCAAAGGAGGCGCTTGAGTTGGCTAGAACCGTTGTTCGGTTCATTGCGCCCCTCTGTTGTCTAGTGAGACTTTGTTCAGCAAAGAATCCCACTGGTCTTGTCGAGTCAGAGGAACCTGTTCTTACAGATAGCGGACGCAAAGCACATGGCGAATCGAATAGGTCTTGCAAGTTCCTGGGCAGCGCCAACTGATTCTGTAGCCACGAGGTAACAGGCAGCTGCTGGCCTAAACAACGTTCTTGCACTTGCTCATTTTAGTCGGAGCGACACGGCGTGGCTTGGATTGGACACCTGTGCCAGCGAGATGCTTGTTCGACGCATCACTTGGCCTGGGAGCCAAGACAACAATAGATTATGGGGGCAACGGAGAACTAGTGTTGTGTACAGTGTACTTCTGGGTGATGCGAATGGTTCCCGGCTCTGCTGACTGATTCGAGCCTGGGGAGATGGAACGGATACGAACCGTTGTGTTCGTGCCAAGCGGCATTGGAGACGGTCTAAACATTGGTAGCATGGCCGATTATTAGTTGATTAGTTGAGTCCGAAGGCTAGGTAACCTTCGGGTGCTCTTTGCAAGTCGCAACTCTTGGAAACGCCGAGCAAACTTTCAAAGAAAGACATTCCAACCTAACCTGGAAGCGCACACGCAAGTCCTTCAGATAAGGCGTGGTATCAATTAACATTTTTCAGACATGATGATATGGGTGGAATTTGTAAAGGCAGATGCGGATGATTTGAGTTGCAGGCCCGAAAGGTACTCTGCACATTGGCAAGAAACTGAGAAGGTTGTGGTAGCAAACGGTGTGGGAAGTACAGCAGTGCAACGTCGATACGGTTGGCAAGCCGCAAATATGAGGATTAGAGGGAACGTCTAGTTCGCCAGAGCTGGACTTGATGGGACCAGTCTCTCCAGCCCCATCAGGTCCTCTGCAGCACCCCACCCCTCTAACGCATTCTTGGGAACATGGCCTGCCGCAAGTGCAGTGGATGCCGAGCCTGCAGGGCATGCGGCACATTTGGCATCCAATGCTTGTGCTCGAGGTTTCGAGTGCGCCGGCGGCGATGTCGACGAATAGTGGGTATGGTATGTAGATATGTACTGCGTACCCGTGGGCCCGAGAAGTCTGAAGATGCAGAGAAAATACTCGTGGGAATACCGGACAGCCAGGCAAGGCGTAACGAGTTTCGGACTGACTGACTGACTGAAAGCGGCCGATGGAAAGGAAGCGCTGGAACACTGGGTCTGGACCTCTGGGCGTGGATGGCGAGACTGGAGGAAACAGAGAGAGAAAGAGAGAGGAAGGTACAGGGTGCCGTACAGATACCTTACCAGCCCGCGCTTTCCTGGCCTTTCCCGTCCCTTCCCAAAATGTCAGGTTGAGCTTCCCTGTGCCTGCCTCAGCCTGCGGACCTGCCCTGACTGTATCCCAGAAACCCAGGGCAGAGAGACAGACCAACAGGGAGCTTTCCCCATGCATGTCACTTCTCACCCCCATCTCTTGCCTGTCCTTGCCACACCCTGTTGATTTTTCTTATGTATCTTTATTTCTCTGCCTCTTGGTCGGCTTTTCTACGCTCAACTCATGCATCCGCTACGGGATACCTACTGTTGCCCACATTGGCTGCTCTGCTCATCCTTCCCACACGCCGCAGCCACACCACATTTTCTTTCCCTTCTCTCGCTCTCTCTCTTTCTCTCACACACACACACCAACCTACCTTAGCTTTCCGTCCCCAGCCTGGCATCATACCCTGACCTCCCATCTACCTTCACTTTTTTTTTTTTCCCTCTCTCTCTCTAACCAGCGTAGCCTGCCAGCTAGCTAGACCACCTGAGTAGTCCCTCCTCCCCCCTGCTCGGTACCGTGGGCTGTTGGAGGCACAAGCTCTGCCTTCAAAGGGTTAAGTATATAAATCAACTTTAATTTCCCCTGGAGCCCGTTCCCGCCCAAATTTTGCTCTTATGGCACGAGACATGCCACTCTCTGGCCTGCACCAGAGCTCCCAGCTACTATTACTACCGCCGCCTGAGCAACCTATGTCCATCCTGGCCCATCCCGGCCTTGACTTCTTTCACTTTCCACGTTGAACACCTTTGCTCCTTGTGTCCGTTCCGTTGCCGTCAGCTCCTTGAGCCAAGATATACAATCCCCATCTTTTACCTTCTCACTAAGGTCTTTCGTCACTCAGTGGTGCGTGCCTCAGTCATATCTGACGCCGCGTCTTTCCGCTTCATCCTCCTTCCCGCCTCCTCTCTGGTCTACAACAAGCAACCTTTGTCACCCAGAATTCTCAAACCCCGAACCAGCCAGACGACGAGTTTTCTTGCTCTTCTGTCCTTATTTCCATCGCCCGGCCGACACGACACTTGTCTGCCTTGCCCCGACTTCGCTCTCTGTAAGCCATTGAGTGACTCGGTACGGTCAAGGTTTGCCCTTTGGCCGGAAGCGTGCGACTGCTGGCCCGACACAGGCTGGTCCCACTCGTTTCTCCATCGTGGTGGTGAATCCATCCGAGCGTTCCCTCAGCTGGTCTCTCTTTCACTCTTTCGCTCTCTGCTGCTGCTGCTGCTGCCGCCGCCGCACCTACGATCGCACCGCCTTGGGGTCTGCCCTGGTCGGATCTCGCAGAGAAATCTAGTAGCTGCTACTGGTTCTCAAATCCGAGTCTCGTTCGAAGCTACAACACGCGCCAACAACCTGCGCTTCACTCAGGGTTCTCTCGCTGTCGTGTGATTCGGCATCGCACCCTTTCCCATTTCCAACAGCTCATATCACTTAAAAAAAGGCGCGATCATGTCGTTGAAAAACCTTTGAACCCGCATCGAACCCCGACACCCACCGCCGCCCGGACAGATTTGGACTTGCAAATCATCTTGCGAGGGAAAAAAGTTACCGGACCTACCGCCACCGCACATCAGAGCAGCCCCCCACCATAACCGACCCCAAACACATTCCAAAATCAACCCCGCGACAGACGAGCTTTCCGAGATGGCTTCCTCTCATAAGGAGCGGACGATGGAGTCACGCACGGGAAGAAGCAAGCAGCGTAAGTGCGCAAACGGGGCAGAGGCAATACCCCTCCCATTCTGAGCCTCTTCCCCCGACCCTGGTGCGCCTGCTCGCTGCGCGGGACCCACTAACACCTTGGTCATCGCAGGTTACAACTCCAAAGGCGAGCGCTTGGTTGCTGGTGTTGTTCCCCTAACCAAGGACAAGCGCTACGTCCTCCTCATCCAGTCCACCCGTCGGAAGGGCTGGGTACTGCCCAAGGGCGGCTGGGAGACAGACGAGGAGTGCACCGAAGCGGCGGCGCGTGAAGCCTGGGAAGAAGCAGGCATCACTATCGAGATCGACTATGATTTGGGAGACATCGTCGAGACGAGAGCACCGAAGCACTCTAGCAAAGACTCAGCCAAGGCCCTGTATAGGTTCTACGAGGCTACCGTCACAGCGCAAGAGGAAGCTTGGCCCGAGAGCCACAAGAGGGAACGCCAGTGGATGACATACGCCCAGGCCAAAGATGCGTTGGCAGCTCGACCTGAGCTCCTTGAGGCATTGACAAGATGCACTATGAAGAAGTCATGATACGCACCCGGCGCATAGACGCCCGAGGTTCCTTGGCTTTTGTTTGCTCCTGGTTCCTAGCGCAAACAGACATCTTCACGGTGCAATATGCTACCAAGGTCACCGCTGTTGTTAAACAAAGATGCGCCCCTGCGATGATCTATGGATCACGAAGAAGCTGAAAGTGCCAAAGGCTCCTTGACTCCCGGTAGAGGAGACGATGTCCCCGAAGAGCACACCTGGTAATTCGTCGGCTCCATTCGGTTTACAGACGAAACAACTCTCGTACTAACCCGCCGAGGAAAGAAAAACAAGAAAAGAAAAATAATTGCATTATGATATGGGCGTTGATGGTTTGCTTGCTATAGATGACGAAAATCAAAAGGGGCGGCCCAGGACTGGCATGGGAAGCATCAAAGAGCAGAACTGCAACTGAGAAATGGCGAAGCGGGAGTATTTTCATGGCAGTCATGGCCATTCATGACTAAAGCCAATGCTCTTTGGAACTGTTGGGGACACTTTGCGAGATCAAATGATTCTTTGATTATAGATAGACCAACGCAATAGTCCGCAGAGAGCAGTATCGTGAGAAAGAGACAACACGAAGCTAGACGTAAGAAAGCTGCAACCCTCCTGAGGTTCGTGTGACCAGACCTTTCCCAAGACCTGATCCAAAACCTAGTCTCCTCCATGTCACTGGCGCGACACAAAGCCTTCCTCACCAACCGCAAATGTCTACCTTCTGTCTGTCAGCGCGGGCATCGGAAGTTGAGAGCAGACATCCGGATTGAACTGGCTGCTTCCCCTCCACAGCACCACCCAAACACCCAAGGTACCGTCAGGGACCGCGACTGCCCCGCATGCATCTGAGATCATCAGAAATTTTGACAGCAGGGATTGACTCATGCCCCGCCTTTCACGTGCCCTAGCCGCCCACCTCCCACCAGCAAACGATCCGTGCTTGCGGTCTCTGCCGGGACGGTTCAGCTCCACCCGGCTCCTTCTGCCATGTTGTTGTACCTCTTCGGATGACGCAAAAACAGGCTTTCCGATGCCACACTCCAGCTACCTTTGAGAACACCGCCACACCCACCAAGCCGTACTAGGGGGGACCCCACGATGATGATGGCTTGATCGATCACACCCAGCGTTTCTGAGCCAAAAGAAGCGACCAAAGCACGATTGCCCGTACCGAGAAGATTGAGGCAAGCTATTGACGAGTGTTCGAAAACTCCTCTTGATGATGTCCTTGTGCGGCACATTATAATCCACCCATTCGCTTTGCTGCATCGCATTCGCCTCGCATCCTCTTTTTGCGCCCAAATCGATGGACTGGGACAAGCCCGAATGCAATAACTACCACATACCAATGACAACAAGATAACGATGGAAAACCTCAACATCTCCGATGCCCCTCCCCAGGGGCCCCAGCCCGTTCTCGGCGGCCGCGCGCCGCCTCCCCAACAGACCCCTCAGCTCCCGCCTCAGATGTTCACCACTGCGGCGCAGCTGCTGGACATGACCGACAGTATGGGAAATACCACGGCAGCCTCGGCCGCATGAGTGCTGCGGTACTCTTCGCGACACCAAACGCTAACCTTCCGTCAGAGAAGCTCATGGTTGCACTGCGCGACGGGCGCAAACTGATTGGCGTCCTCCGTAGCTGGGACCAATTCGGTATGTAAACGACAAAACCCCAGACAACTCGTGAAGCTGTACTTGGAAAAAAGGCTGACAATGGACCTCTTTCCTTTACTTGTTCTCAGCCAACCTCGTTCTTCAAGACACCGTCGAGCGCGTCTACGCCCACCCGGACCCGGAAGCCAACCCGCCCCGCGAAGGGGGCCTCTTTGCGGATATCAAGCGCGGCATCTTCCTTGTTCGCGGCGAGAACGTGCTCCTCCTGGGCGAGATCGACCTCGACAAGGACGACGACCCACCCGTGGGTTACGAGCCGGGCGAGCTTAAGCTGGTTCAGGGCCTGGCAAACGAGAGGAAGGAGAAGGAGAAGGCGCGCGACAAGGGGCGGATCAAGAAGCTCAGCACACTGGGCTTCGAGGGCGAGAACATGGGCGAGATCCTGCTCTGATTCTTCCTGGTTCATGTTCTTATCCCCCTCTCCCCCGCCTTCACGATGACATTTCTGCGCGGGAAAACCCTGACCATCAGAACAACAGCAACTCAGCTTATGGTCTCTTTATTCATTCTCCATATGACTCACGAATGCACGCCGAATGAGAATGGGTTCGGGTTGGATTCGAGCTGGGAAAGGAAGCCAAACCCCGAGACCCTGATGTGGTCTATGTGATTGCCGAGTGATACAACGCACCGGCTGTCCACTTTGTCCTTCCGACGCCGCAGTGGAAGGCTGGTAGGATGCTTGAGCAGAATATTGTGAAATGCTCGTCATCCAGGGTCCGGTCATCACGACCGACGCCAGCAGAATAGATTTTAAAGCGTTTTACAAATTACCTGGGAAAAGCTTGAAGTTGTGCGTGTTGCTTTGCTCTTCTCGTCTCTCTAGCACTCGGTCACCTGGCGCTCATTGAAATCAATGTTTATTTACAAAGTTGCAAGGGAATTCCATATCTTTATACGTTACCCCCTTGGCTCACAAGTATATGCTCTTCATTATAACCCAGGAACGAAGCCCTCAACCAGGACATCCCACTCGCTGGGGAAGTGAGGTCCCTCCTCACCATCCCAACCACCAGCCATCATGGCCACGGCTAGCAGCAGACTACTCGAGCTCGGGAAGTACGGCGTCGGCACCCTCGTCCCGCCGACGGGGTATCCCGCGTCGTCAAACTGGAACGTCGGGTGGAGAAGATAGTCGACGGCACGATTCGCGTCGCCCAGGCGGAGGCTGTTCATCGCGAGCATGGGGAAATCCCAGCCAAAGGATTCGTCGAGGTCCCACAGCGCCCAGATCCGGGCAGCGGTCTCCTCGAGTGCGGGGCGGTTCAGCGGCGGGCCCGAGGCCGGCGGCGGGAGGAGGCCAAAGATGCCGGCCATGGCCGGGTGGTCTTGCACCGTCGTCGTGTTGGCTGTCCACATGTTGGGGATGTCTTGGTAGACGGGGTACGTGCCGTCGATGATGGGTAGGGGCGCGAGGTTATCTCTGACGGTGGTCCAGGCTTCCGGGACGGAGGCGTTCTGGCGGGATTTCCAGGCGATGGCGACGTCGAGGCCGAAGCGCCAGTACGCGAGCTCAAAGGTCGGGTTGACGGTGGCGTTGGGGTTGGTGTTCTCCGAGACCGGGTACATGGGCGGACCGAGGTCGTAGACGCCCGTCGTCTCGTTGAGGAAGGCGTACGAGGCCATAAAGTCCGCCGTCGCGGTGAGGACGGCGTCCCAGCCAGCGAGGGTCTGCGGGGTGGGCGCGTGGCGGTAGGCGAGCTCCGCAAAGTACATTGGGTGCGGCTGCTGCCAGATGAGGAGGGTGTTGATTTCGCCGGGGGCGTCGATGGCTGAGGGGTCCGTCATTTTGCCCCAGCGAGCGCCGGCGTAGCCTTGGGTTGAGGCGCGGTTGAGGGAGGTGGGGAGTAGGTGGGTATAGGTTCGGGGGAGGGAGCGGGCGAGGAGGGCGTGGTTGTTCCAGCGGGCGAATTGGAGGGTGTGCCAGAGGATCATTTCCATCTTGGAGCGAGTGTGTGAGCTGGATGTGGTCCCTCATCAAGGGGTTTGGAGGATGGAACTTACATGGAACTTGCCAAACCATCCATTGTTCACGAGACCGGACTCTATGTCCCTGTCAGCACTCTTCTCGGGTGACAGAGAAGTTGATAGGGGGTTCGGACCGCTAAATCACCTTGTGGAGGATAGTCTGACGCCGAGTTCACCGCCACGAGATACTGAGACTGGATTATCCTGCGCTGAAGCTCGGTCGCGTTGGCATCCGATGTCCCCGTTAGGTCTACAAAGGCCCCGTTGTTCCAATAAGCCGGCCACCATTCCCGCGAAGCCGCCACGACGCCGTCAAGCTCGGGCACGGATTCGGGTGCAGACGGCGCAAAATTGGCCGTGAATCGTAGCGTATCCGTCCCACTGGTCGAAAGGACATAGCGATGGCTCCCGTCGGTCGGTGGTTTGATAGCACCACTACCACCAGCGGCGACATCCCACTCGAGTGACAAGTCGTACTGCGTGGTGGTCAAATCGTGGTGGATCGCGGCCTTGTTGGTCTCCCCTCCGCCAGGGGTCGATAGGGATGTCTTATGCAGGTCCGTCTGGTTGAAGACGCCTACGAACGGGGCGCCAAACTTGTCCTTTGTCGGGTAGGGAAAGTCGAAGAAGATGGATAAGGCGCCGGAGGAGAGGAGGGCTGATTCGACGGACACGGCGACGCTGTCCAAGGACGGGTCGGCCCAGGTTTCGACCTTGACGGTGTGGTTTTTATATATGAAGCTGGAACGGATGACGCCCGTCCACATGTCGAGGATCTGTTCCTTGTTGCTAAGCATGTCCTCCGTGACTGTCGTATTGCTGCTGTCGGAAAAGGAGAAGCCGATGGTGCCTAGATTTATACGGTGCGGGTTCTCGCGGAGCCAGTCTGCGATGTCGTTGTTTGAGGGGTTGGCCATGTTGTACTGTACAAGTCGGCCGTGTGTCCACCATTCTGTGCCGTGGTAGTCTATCGTGAAGAGAGTCAATACATGCTTTCTGGACCCAATACTGTTGTACGCCTCTCGGTCGTGCTATCTCACCTTCGATCTGAGTCTGACCAGGCGTTGTGGGCAAGCTGAAGTTGTGCCATCCCCATGTCGACATCGTCGCAAAGGGGCTGAAGGTCTGGAGACCCGTGATATCGGCACCAAAGGCGAAGTTGCCGTTGCCTACCTGCAGAGGCGTCTCAGGGGAACTGGCATTACGGCGAGGGTTGAAGGCTTGGACGACCTTTTGCCTGTCGATTTTGGCCTCGATGAGGCTGCAGAGCAGCGGTAGAAGATGCACAACACGCATGACTGTCACCTTCCAATTGGGAAATATCAAGACCGCATATGGGAAGCCAAATCGATGCGATGTGTATGGTGTCTACCCCGGACATCACGTTACGCGGGGAAACCGTGCTGCTCTTATTTCATCCCCAAGAGATCTGCGGTCCGGCCATGACGACGCGTGAGGCCGGGTCCTCCCCTCTTGTGGTCATGTGTGAAGTTTGTGTCCATTGTTCATGTCCGCCTAGTACTCACCTTTCGGTGTGGTTTGCACCGAAGGCACCAATGCCATGCTATGGATAGGCCCTGAGGAACGATGAGGGGAAAGAGATGAACTACGAATGCGGGGATACATGGTCTCCACTTTGGAATTGAGGCTATTCAAAACCCAGGCCGGCAGAAGTCCTCGTGGAGGATTGAGTTTGTCTGCGGAGAAAACGACAGGGATGCCACAAGTGGGCGACTCGGCTGAATTAACAGTTGAAAGCCTCCAGATGCCCTGAGGCTGGAAGTCGAAGTATAATGGCATCGAAAACTACCAACAGCAGTTGGATCTTACCGTCCGTAAATGCAAAATGCCGTAATTCTGGGTCCTGGCTCCGGGAATTAAGAGTCCCACCCGATGTCATCCGGCTGTCCGTCACTGGGGGAAGCGGGACAGGCCCCGGTCTTCAGCCACATTCGGCAGGGGCTAATTGTGGCTGATGTATCCACCAGCTAGGCTCCTGCAGCCCAGCAACCGCCCCGATTGGGCAAGCGCATAAACATCACTCATCCCTTCGATACAGTAGGGGGGACCCTTTCACAGGCACCTTACCTCATGTCGCCCAAACAGCCAACGCAGCGCACCGTGGATCCAACAACATCTTGATTTGGCATTTCACCTCCAGACATACCTCCTCCGGTCGCGCAAACAGGATACGAGCATCGAGTCGACACCTTTGGACGTCATATGATTTTCTGGTATGTTACAACATCAATGGCATCTCTCTGCGACTTCCCTCTGGATTTCAATTGTTCCATTACCCCGCTAACCACTGGAATGAGCAGCCTTCGACGATAACATTAAACATCGAACCTCCTTTCGCGCGCATTTCGATAATAGACGCCGCCTACCATGGACAGGGTCGCGGGCCTCACAGTGTCAGTACTACACCCAACACCGCATCTATGATGTCCCTTTTGCAATATATCAGTGTGAGGACGGGTTTGCTGGCGGGAATACCACCGCTGCCACCCCCAGTACCGCCAGCTGTACCCGATCCTCCCCCACGGCAATATGGCGGTAGTCTCGTCAATCGAGACGTGACTGTCATCCAGACTCCTGAAACGCAGATCCCAGAACCAGTATTGACAGCTGCTGACGATGACTACGAGGACGGCAGTAACCAGAAAGCGGCTAGGAACCAGTTTCGGGCGCGTACTGTCAAGGGAGCCAACAACGGTGTTGCACTGCGACAGTATGCTGAGGCTACACTTGGAGGCGGCAGCCTGCGTAAGGTTGTGAAGTTGCCTGAAGGCGAAGACGAGAATGAGTGGTTGGCAGTCAATAGTGAGTATCATCCGGGGGAATTAAGAGGTGGACCAAAGGAAACGGCACGACTGACACGACCCAAATGCAGTGGTCGACTTTTACAACCAGATCAACCTCCTCTACGGCGCTATTACCGAATTCTGCTCGCCTCAGTCATGCCCCGAGATGAAGGCAACCGACGAGTTCGAGTACTTGTGGCAGGACAGTGAAAACTACAAGAGGCCGACTAAGATGGCCGCGCCGGACTACATTGAGCACTTGATGGCCTGGGTACAGCGTCACATTGATGACGAGCAAATCCTGCCGAGCAGAATCGGTGTGTATTGCTTTGACATGCTCAACGGGATATTGTTTTTAACATGGACCGCTAGGTGTTGCCTTCCCCAAATCATTTCCCTCAACAGTGCGGCAGATCTTCAAGCGCATGTATCGCGTTTATGCCCACGTCTACTGCCACCACTACGCAGTCATCAGAGAGCTTGGACTGGAGCCCCATCTCAACACGAGTTTCAAGCAGTACGTTCTGTTCGTCGACGAGCACAAATTGGCTAGTGGCAAGGACTTTTATGGTCCTTTGAACGATCTCGCGGAGAAGATGATTGAGAGCGACTGAGACAGGCCAGACGAGCCTTTCGAGAGTATGAATGCATGCATTGTCTAGGCGTTGGGGAAACACGGATGACACGCCGGTTGGCAAGGTAATAAGGAAGGTCTGATGATTGGCGCGTGGGGCTTTGACACTGCTGAGCCTGTGGACACGAGGCATTGAAGCGGTTATTGTGATATCACTGTAGACTACAAACTGGGTAACGGGTAGTACGGCTTTGGTTGAGAATTCGAGAATTGAGAATGATCAAATCGCTGTGCATTCTCGAGTATTTTGGGTACACTGCATGGAGTTCCATCTTGAAGTTGTGAGGCTACAAGTGACTTGCTTCGTCCCATTGCACCAGAATTGGCTTCAAAGAGTGGAGCTTGGGCCTGCCTGTTCAGTAACAACGAGCACCTCCGATTTCCACCGACCCGAGCCCTTGACCCGCTTACCTAAGTTGATGCCTTGCCACTCAACCAGCAAGCAGACGCAACGTCCCAAGGCATCAACATTCTAAATTGCCGAAGTTCAAACCTCAACCTCGAAAACCGACGCAAGCTACCACTGCGTCTCGTTCGAATCCAGCCATCCCTTCCCGCCCGTCTCCCATCTTCAATTGAACTCCACCACCCACCACAACCGGAACCTCTCTTTCGCCCGACATGTTCTCGAGACAGGCTGTTCGCACCCTCCGAGCGGCGGCTCCCGCTTCGCGCCTCGTTGCCCGCGCCCCGGCCGTCCGCACCTACGCCGCTGCCGCCGCGACCGAGGCCGTCAAGCCCCCCGTCGCCGTCTTTGGCCTCGACGGCACCTACGCCACTGCCCTGGTACGCACTTGTTCCTCTCGTTATACTGGTTATCCCCTGGACGGAGGGCAATTCAATTGGATCAATTGGCTGGGGGAGGAAGTTGTTGATTGAGAGGATTGATGGGGAATGAGGGAGCTTTCCGGAAGGACTTTGAGGCATCGAGGGAAAAACACGACCGGGATGGGAAAACCACTCAAAGATCTTACAGATGGCTAACTTTGCCCGATCACAGTACACCGCCGCCTCCAAGACCTCTTCTCTGGACCCCACGGCCAAGGCCCTGGCCACCCTCGACGCCATCTTCGCCAAGGACCCCAAGCTGACCACCGTCCTCGCCGCGCCCACCCTGACCCCCGAGGACAAGTCCGCCATCGTCGCCGAGCTCACCAAGCAGGCCGGCGCCGGCTCCCAGGAGACCGTCAAGAACTTCCTTGCCGCCCTCGCCGAGAACAACCGCCTCGGCCTCCTCCCCGGCATCACCCAGAAGTTCGCCGAGATCATGAGCGCCGCCCGCGGCGAGGTTGAGCTCACTGTCACCAGCGCCACTGTAGGTTTCCTTTCTCTCAATCGAGACTTGAATATGGGGGCATGTGCGGTTCGTCGTTGTGAAATCAAAGACGGACCCGAAATGTCTAGACAGCTGTTGTACCTTGAACGTTGCAACGTATCCACGAGGGAATTTCGTACATGCATTCAGGGACGTCATTGAAAACATGCCACTGACACCCATTCTCAGCAACTCGACAACAAGACCCTCAACCGCCTCGAGAGCTCCATCGCCAAGTCCTCCTACGTTGGCCAGGGCAAGAAGCTCAAGGTCACCAACAACGTACGTTTTATCGCCTTACCCTCGTCTCCGAGCTGTCCCTCCGAGACCATCTCGGTCTAGACGCTGCGGCATCAGACATCTGGTTTCCTCCGTGACTAACACGCCCTTCTTTCTAGGTCAACCCCGATATCGTCGGAGGCCTCATTGTCGAGATCGGCGACCGGACCATCGACCTCAGCGTCTCTGGCAAGATTGCCAAGCTCAACAAGCTTCTCACTGACACTTTGTAAAAACACACACACACAAAATCTTCCATCATACTAGCATGAAGAAATCCTAATCCTCCTTCTCCCCCACACCGAACCAAACCTCCTCCCTTATTTTCTCTTTGTGTGCGTGTGTGTGTCTATCTTGTAAACTTGATTGGGCGGGGGTTTAGTGGGAAGGAGGAGGGCGAGGAGGGAGAGAACGGTCCGGTTCTTTCCACGTGTAACGACAAAATTCACGTGAGATAAAAAGCTGGATTGAGTTGTTGGTTGGCCGCTTGCTCCCCTCCCTCGGGGCGAGAGGACAATTAGGGGGAGGCCCGAATGAGACGAAAGCTGTGCATAGTTCTGTCTACAATAGAAGCATTCACGGAACCCCTTTTCTACCACATATACACACACTAGTCTTCGTGAAGGCTACCTCTCTCTCTCTCTTCTGGTCTGGAACTGAAAAAGTGGCGGATGCACCAGCTGTTGGTGTTCGCTCTCACCACGATCCCTCCACATCGTAACGACGGCACGCTCGACCGACCTTCCAAATGTAAAGAAAACATGATTCAACAACGAACGATCAATCCCTAAGTACTGCCCCCCCCCCCCCCCACCCCCCCCCCCCCCCCCCCACACCCTCCCACCCTCCCCCCCACCAACCCCGCCCCACCCGCCCCACCTCACAAATGAAAAAAACACAAGCCCACACACGACAACCCCCTCAATCCCCCCCCCCCCCCCCCCCCCCCTTCAAAGATAAGTCTTTTGTGATTCCCGTGCCTTGTAGAAGCTCATTTTCTCAACATCATCGCGGCTGCCTGAATATCCTGACAGAGTTGTGCCTCGCTGGGCAAACCGAGTGTCTTGGGCTGGCCATGATTGACTCTGTACTACATCGAGGTCAAACGACCTTGTTTGTGCCACGTATCTCAGCCCAGAAAGCCATGTTTTCTATCCCCTTCTACACTGGACCTTCGCCTGGAAGTGGCTGATAGCTTGATCTGGCGAGAAATGTGTGGTACGTATGTGCGAACGTTAAGAGGATGGTTCACAGTACGGGGCATCTCAAGATGAACGAACACCAGAAGCCTTTTTGGAAACCCAATCTACGTGTATTAACCCTAGGAACCTCTCTACCTCTGCAGTCTAACAGTCCTGTATATGGCTCTATGTGCATTGATGGCAGTTTTTTGGGTTTCTCATCATGCTCACCACGCAAGGAAAACTCCAAGGATGCACTCGTACTCTTCTTTTACCCGCCCACATCCAAGATGCACAAACACCAGCCTATCCCTCGACTTTTTCGCGTTTTCTGACGATTGGAGGGAAGCTCTAGACACCAGCCTCATACTCGTTGTCAGTTCCACCCGGGTGCTCCTTGTCCTCCTTGAACCTCTCCAGCTGATCCGAGATGTAGCGATGCATATGTGCGTCGGCCTCCGACTTCTCTCTCATCCTCTGCCGAAGCTTCTCAGGGTCATCCAACGTGGCCGAGTTGCTCAGTGAGTCGTCGCCATTAGTCTCGTCAAAGTCACTCCTTGCACCGATGGATCTCGCCGTGGATGATCTGCGCATCCGCGGCTTGCCACCAGGACCAGGCGTCATCGAGCCACGGCGATCAGTGCCGCGGGCAAAGATGTCATCAAAGTAGTGAGACATGCCCGCCGAGGGAGTGCGGGGAGTATGAGGCAGACGGCAGTTGATACTGGAAACCCATGTTAGCAATCATGTTCAGAGGTGGCAGAGTAGAGACAATCTTACCCAGTGTCGTGAATCATACGAGCCATCAAACCGGTCCAACCGCACTGGTGGGTAGCGCCGAGTCCACGGCCACTGTCGCCGTCGAAGAACTCGTAGAACCAGAGGTAGTCCTTCCAGTGAGGGTCGAAGTCCAGAAGATCATTTCCGGCGTTGATGCTACGCCGGCCCTCGTCGTTACGCGTCATCAAGTGCTGCAGACGATGCTGAATCTCCTCGGAGACGTGGCCCAAATGCATGTAGTCGCCACTTCCCGTGGGACATTCGACTTGGAACTCGTGTCCGTAGAACAAGAAGAATCGCTGAAGAGACTCAACCAGAAGGAAGTTGACACACAACCAAATGGGGCCTCTCCAGTTACTGTTGCCACCAAACAGACCGCTATCAGAGTCACCGGGAACGTAGCCGACGGAGAAAGTTTGGCCATTAACCTCCATTGAGAAGGGGTGCTCCTTGTGGTACTTTGACAAGGAACGAATTCCGTGCTCACTGAAGAACTCGTCCTCGTCAAGCATGCGGTAGAGAATCTTCTCAAGCCTGTCCTTGCTGACAATTGACAAGAGAATACGATTGCCCTTTCCACGCTTGGCGATACTGGCCATGTTTCGCTCGGCCAAATCGCAGCGGTTCTCCATGAACCAATCAACCCTCTTTTTAAATGAGGGGAGCTTGTTGATAAGCTCAGGCTCAAGAGTCAGGGTTGCGTAAAGCGGAATCAATCCGACAAGAGAGCGGACTGGGAGCTGCTGGATCCAGGGGCCACCCCATGAAATGGCATCGTAGTAGAAACCATCCTCATCATTCCAGAGCGACTTCTCGTCTTTTTGGCCAGTCCTGAAGGTCATGGCGTCACTGATGAAGATGAAATGCTCAAAGAACTTGGAAGCAATATCCTCGTATGTGCGTCGGTGCTTTGCAAGCTCAAGAGCAATGTTGAGCATGCTGAGACAGTAGAAGGCCATCCATCCGGTACTGTCGGCCTGCTCCAAAGAGCCGCCGGTTGGGAGAGGCTCAGAGCGGTTGAAAAGACCAATGTTGTCGAGACCGAGGAAACCTCCCTCGAAGACGTTCTTGCCATCGGCGTCCTTGCGGTTAACCCACCAGGTGAAGTTCAGCAACAGCTTCTGGAAAACTCTCTCGAGGAAGTCCAAATCCTGGCGTCCGTAGAGCTTGCGCTCAATCTTGAACACTCGGAACGTGGCCCAAGCATGAACGGGAGGGTTTACGTCGCCAAAGTTCCACTCGTACCTATGCGGCGTTAATTCCAGTCTACTTCGGTCATCTGGAGAGCAACTTACGCTGGCAGCTGGCCGTTGGGATGGCAGTACCACTCTCTGGTGAAGAGATCAAGCTGCTTCTTGGCGAAGTCTGGATCCATCATCGCCAATGTGATGCAGTGGAAAGCACTGTCCCACGCAGCAAAGAAGGGATATTCCCAAGAGTCGGGCATAGACAAAATATCGTCGCAGTGCATATGTTTCCACTGAGAGTTGCGAATGTCTTTTCTGCTGGGGGGCGGAGGGGGTTGTGTCGGGTCACCATTCGCCCATTGGTCCCAGATGAAGAGGTAATGCTGCTTAGTCCACATCATTCCGGAAAAGGCCTGACGCTGAATGTTGCGCAGATCGTCTGCCATGGGGAGGGGGCTGAGGCGGTAGTAGAAGTCGTCGGCCTCAGCGATCCTCAGATCGACCAGGTCATCAAAGTCACCTTCGTCGAAGTAGGTCTGGTTCTTCTTGGAGAAGCGGAAACGGACGACGGCGCACTCGCCGGGAGGAACACCACCATCCTCGTTGAAGCTGAACCAGGCGGCGCACTTGGTGCCCTTCTGTGCTGGGTTGACGGCCCCCTTTTCCTTCTCGCAAATGTGACGATGGAAGGCGTCCTTGACATACGGAGTCTTGTTGTCCTGCTCGTACAATAGCTCATAGTTGGTGTCGTTGTCGGTAAACAACATCTGGGGTATTACGTCCTCGCCGCTGGTTCCAACACCGGGAGAAGGTGACATCAGGAAGTAACGGTCCCCGAGCTTGTGATGCTTGGACTTGGCCAGGCCCTCGCCAACGTTCTCGATGGATGGCTTCTTGTCCTCGGGCTCCCGGCCCCAGGCCCAGGTGTTGCGGAACCACATTTGCGGCACAATGTGAAGTGGTGCCGGATCGGGACCTCTGTTCCATGCGGTAACACGGAACAGGATCTCCTCGGGGTCGTCCGTCTCCTTTGCCGTCTCGATGAAAATATCCCAGTACCTGTCTTCGTCGAAGATGCCCGTGTCAACAATCTGGTACTCCTTGTCTTCCTTGCCTCTGCGTGCATTTTCTTCCAACAGGTCCTTGTAAGGGAACTTCTTCTGCGGGTACTTGTAGAGGAACTTCATGTAGGAATGCTGTGGGCGGATTGTCAGTATGAGCAGTTGGGGACCAGCTCTTTCCAACTTACTGTCTACGATGTCTGTTAGCTATTGAACTACAAATATCCACAGCAACCTTGAACTACTTACGGGGGTATTGTCAACGTGGAAGTGAGCTTCCTTGACACTCTCGCCATGGTTACCCTGGGGGTTTGAGAGACCAAATAATCTCTCCTTGAGGAAATCGCTGTCGAATTATCAGCTCTTTGTACGAAGCATAACGAGCCGACGAGCGCTTGACTAACTCTTCCTCGTTCCAGAAAGAAAATCCAATGTTTTGGAAGCCGTGGGTATCAGAAACGCCGGCAATTCCATCCTCACCCCATCTGTAGGCTCGAGATCGTGCGTCGTCATGGGTAAAGTCTGGGGCATGCTGTCAGCGGATTGCGACTGGAGCTCGTGGGGAATGGCGGGGTGTGCTCACGACTCCACGCGTCTCCGTCGGGACTGTAATCCTCTCGCACTGCGACACGGCTTTGATTAGATTATGTTTGTTTCGCTAACGGCCGGATTGTCAGCTGCAGCTGCAGCACCAACCGCAGCAGCAATGGTAGCAGCTGGGTCTGAATCTGAAGCTGGAGCTTGAGCTGCCACTCACCAGTGGCCCATTGGCGTTCGGCAACGTAAGGGCCCCATTTCTTCCAGTACTTCTCGCGTCTGCGGTCTTCCTTGAGACGCTTCTCCTCCTCGGTAAGGTACTCGTGACCGTCAAAGACAACCATGGTGGGCGAATAGGCACCTCGTAGCGTTGGATAGACAGAGCACGCCCTTCACGACAGCGAAAGCAGCGTCGTTGAGGGTTGAGGGATTTCCAGGGCGTAGGATTGAGGGCGAGTTGTGGGCTTGTGGCGAGAGAAGAGAGAGAAAAAGAGAGAGACAGAGAGAGAGAGGGTGTAGGTTCGGCGGGACGAAGTGCAGGGTTAGAATGGAGGCGACCTTTAGTAAGAACCAGAGACCCTAGCCAGCAATGCCTACCGAGAACAGCACGAGCAGAGCACGTCACGTATCACGATAACCTCAGCGACAGGCGGTCAGTTTCGTTCACACCTGGTCGTCGAGCTAGCTCAACAAGGGGAGGAAGGTCGAGACTCTCGAGGTTGCAGAATGCAAGATTGCGTAGAGGACCGGGAGGTAAGGCTAGGTAGGTAGGTAGTAGCGTAGGTGCGTCTTATTTAGAGGGGGAGACTCGAGAGATAGAGACGAGAAAAATAAATTAGAAATGCGGCTACTAGTATGTATGTGCCTCACTGCCCTGAGTGACGGATGTGCCAGCAGGGAACCGACGTGTTGGGAAACACGCGGGCAATGGCGGGAGCTCTGGTCCGAAAAGAATGAGATAGCGCCTCAGCATCTTCAGGTACCAGGTAAGAAACCAACCAACCAAGGGCCGCGATAACAAAGCTACCTGAAGCCCAATCGACGACAATGAGTCGAGCGAGGTAGGCACTCGATAGCCAAAGTGCAGTGCGGAGTGTCAGCGGAGGTAACAGCGAACAAGCAGCTGCGACACGAGTAAGCAGAAAAACTTCCATGGTTCTGGAGAGTACTCCGTAGCGTAGCCTCACAGCCCGCGGCAGTAACAGCCGCGGGCAAACAAGCAAGCAAGCAAGCTGCTGCAGCACACACCCGGGGAAGGGGGGGGGGGGGAGGCAGGCATCCAAGGTTGAGGGGGTGACGGCCGCGGGGCATTCAAGCCATGCCATTTTGTTTGCCCATCTGGAATGGCCGCCATACGACCTACGTACCTCGCACTGGAAATTTTGTGCCATTTTACCTATGGCTTCTGCCAACCTTGAATGCCTGCGTTCCCCAGTGCTCCCCCCCATTCGTCTCCGCACTCCGCAAGACATAGAGGAGTAGCTGAGCAGCACAACCTTAGCTGACGATTGCCTGCCAATTGCTCTCTGGGATCAGCGTACAAGTCTAATAGAGGAGCTTGAACTCACCGTCTCTCGTGAAATATTTTCTCCCCAAAGTTCCCCCCTTCTTGCTTCAACCACCAACCATCCAATTGCTACCTCCCGGACACCGATATCACAGCGGCTGGCTGCTGCTGCTGCCCCTTGCTGCCCCTCTCTTTGAAACGCTAAAATCAGAGCTTTCAGGAGCATGACGTCAATGGGCTCTAGCGCACCTCCATCCAACCTAGCGGGGCAGCTCTTCGCCGGCCACATCTCACTGCATTGGGCCGTCGCTGCCACCCCCGGGGCCCCGACATGGCCTGGACCGCCGCCGACTGACAGGGCACATGGGAACATGCGAATCGATCGTCGATGAAGTGCTGTTTTGGTTCTGGTTGCCGCCGCCGTACAAACCCAGACACACTTCTAATGGCCCCCGGTCCGACGGGAGAAACGTGCTTTGATGTTGGTGGTGGTGTTCATGGTGAGCCTCAATGACTTCTTTTGACTCCTAAGCCCTAATGGCTAGCGTTACCGTCCGTCCTTCACTTAACCTGCAAAATCAGAGACAAAAAAATTAATTTCCGCCGTCACATAATCCGGGAGAACGTTGGTCCAGTCATTGTGCTGGCATGATTCGAATACCTAAATCGGACTCGACTGACGGGACTAGTGTCGACAGTAATTCGAGGCCATCATCGACCTCAAAATCAATTGCTGAACAGGATATCTATAACGTCAAAAAACCGAGCCAGATCGCCTAGAAACAGTCCCACTACGCTGCGTGAACCTGACATGTTGATATGTACGCATGCATGCGCCAATGACGTCTCGCGCGAGCTAATGACCAGCTTGCCCGCAGACGTTGCGCCTTCGTCCGTCTATGCTCCCGTTGGAGTTGGGCAAAGGAGTCTTCCCGTCGAGACACTTCGCCGGTTTGCCAGATTCTATTTGGCGAACCACGGAAACTTCTTCTTGTTGTACTCAGCACCACCCCCCGCCGTGCTTTCCAGCTGTACACTCCGTTGATATATCTCCTGTGAAGACGTGTTAGTCATGCTGTGACGATGACAGGGGTTAAGACTGCACTTACTTCTTCATCTGTTGGCATCCTGCAATCCAAAATCAGCTCCCTGGCTGCCTCGTGCTTCGAGAGGTTCGGGTACGCAGTTCCCTGACTCTTCATGAGCGGCAGCAGTACTTCACCGAGTACCTCAAATTTCTTCCAGTTGACTCTATCGCCTTCAGGCCCCACAAATGTTTTGCTTCCCTCCTCGGCCGAGACAAGGTCTCTCCGGTGTAGCGGAATGTAGGGTATCCGTGGCAACGGGGAATTCTCCCATGCCAGTCGGTACGCAAAGTGACTCTTTTGTGTACCCATGAGAATGCCCAATTTCGCAAACGACTTTTGTGCTTCAGGCGGCACCAGTGCCCACGTCTGCGCCAACCGATGGACCGCCGTGCCGTTGATCCCTGCGAGCACTGCCGCCAGACCGTTGTAGTTGTTGAGCCGCCGCAGCTTTTGTGCAATGTTCATGAACTTTTCTAGCATCTGAGACCGATGCTTTGCCTTGTCTCGCAACAATATGAGATTGGCAACCCACTTCGCCACGTGGTTAAAGTGGTTAATCATCCGATTGACGTTCTTAAGACTCTTGCATTTGGATCGTTGCTCCAATGAGAGACTCACATGCCGCACAAAGTCTCTGATACGGATGGAAGAAAACATGACCCAGTCGATGCGCGTCATCTCATCGGCGATGTCGTCGTCTGTGATGTCCATGAAAATATGGTAACGGAACTTGTTCATCGGTAGCACATCCGTGGGCTCCATGTTCGCTGCCTCTCTTTCGTACTCGTCGTAAGAGTGAAACGAGACGTGCGTGCCCACACTACTTGTCCTATCCACTTGGGAAAAGTCGGAGCTGCCAGAAGGTCTCTCGTCTGGAGTCCTATCGTTGTCAATGGTCAAGGTGATCATACCGTTGGACATGTCTGATGTAGAGCGCGTCTTTTCTCTCGACAAAAGTTTGCTGCCTTCTTCGTCTGCGACTTCGTCCGACTTTGCCCATCCGGTGTTGTCATCCTCCACCACACTGAATTCGAGGTGTCGCCGAATTTGCTGCGCAGCGATGGAGAAGATTGGCTCGGTGGAGAGATGTTTAATAAACTCTTCTAGGTTTCGCCTCGTTCCTGATCGCGCAAAGTCGCCAGGGTACAGTGAGACCCATTTTGCGACGACCTCAATGATTCTGAGCTGTGTTGCGGTCTTGGAAAGATAATGTGCTGCTTTGTCGTCTCTGACGCGGTCAAGTCGCGTAAGTATAGCCGAGAAGAGCTCGCCTGGTGCTGCAAACTTCCGGTAGAGACACAAGAAAACATCGGAGAAGTTGTTGTCCGCTTTGGTCATCCGGGGAGCAATGAGCCGGTCGACGAGTTCGTCAAAGGCTACACCTGCTGACTTGGTCGGCTTCTCGAGGAAGCTATCATCGCTCCGTTGAAGAATGGGGATCTCCTCTGAGTATCTGAATGATTCGGCGTCTGACTCCTCCATGTCTAGGAACGAATCCGTCGGCCCGCGGTCGAGACGTATCCCAGGTGTCCGTAGCTGACTCGAGACAGTTTGTTGTGACTCCTCCTCAATGGTATCGGATGGGCCGAACGAGCCCGAACTTGAAGGCGCGCCACCAAAGTCGGTTATTCGAGGACTTCGTGGAGGATGTGGGCCACGTAAGTGATCGGGGATGGGAGGGGGAACACCTCGAAGAAGCGACAAATCAGAGCTCGCTCGGCTATGTTTACTCTGCTGACTTAGCGGGCGTCCGTTGGAGCTGTCGTGGGCCTCGAGGTTGGCCGCCGAGGCTGCACGACGGCGGGGCATGCCCGATTCCGATTGTGATTCTGGCATTTCATCAGCATTAACATTGACTACTTGTGCATTCGCTGATGGGCTCCAATTACCCTTGCGGTAAGCGATCGAGGCTTTCAAGGTTGTGTTCAAGCACGCTCTGGCGCGTTCCGGACTACTTGTAGACAGGTTGAACATCCCAACGCACGACTTGAAATACTCGTGGCTGGCGACTCGCTGCGAATCAACCTGCCGTTCGCTCTCTGGATGATCGCATTTATTGGCGACAAGGACAGCCGGCAGACCCGACTTTGTCAAAGCAGCTAGCGCGTGTCAGCAAGACGCGCCGCGTCCAGACGAATCAAACGGCGGGAATTAGGCTCACCAATCGTTTGGGGCAATTCCTTCATGCTCTCTTTATTCGTGACGTCGTAAATAATGAGGGCGCCATCGACCCGCGGGACGATGTGGCCGTTGATCTGTTTCGGCCATTGGATGGGCTGCAGCGGGTTCAGCTCAAAGTATTCGAGGTCAAGCTCGATCAGCGTCACGCCGTATGTGACATTGTCGACGACCATGCGGACGCTGGATGCATTGGTTATGGGCGGCCGCGATAGGCCCAGCACGCGCTGGACGAAGGACGACTTGCCAACGCCCGAGGCGCCAATGACTGCGATATTGAGGCTCTCCATGATGGCGGAGGTTGGTGGTTGCTATGATCGTCAGCCCCTTTTTTCCACTCCCGTCTCATCAGCTACCCCGCAGTCTGTGTCTAGTGGGGCATTATTACCCAGTATAAGGAATGTCCTATTATCAACGACTCTCTTCTTGGGGGCGGCCAGCGCTCGTTGGGCGTGTCGTCATCGCGGAACTCGAAAGCGTCGAAATCGAATTCTTCGTCCTCCTCGTCTTCGTCCTCCTGGCTGTCGCTCGCGTTTTCCTTTTCGTTTTCGTTTTCTTCTCCTTCGTCTTCGGCGTCGGCGTCGGCGTCGTCAAATGAAGTCGCAGTCCAACGAGGGTCAAGTGCAAGCGCCCCTTCGATGTTGTTATCGTCAAATCGCAAAAAGAATGGGTCGTCGACTATGGAGATGAAGGAGTCGCGGTAATTGGCAGGTTGCTCAGAGCCAGTGGCAGAGGGCCGTATTGGCTCGATCGATGACTCTCGGTGGACGGCGTAATGAGGTGTATGTCTCTTCGGAGCGGCGGGGGCGGATCGATGAGCGGCGTCGCGATCGGTTCGTCGGGAGGAGGAGGAGAAGGAGGAGACAGCGGCGGCAGCAGTTGAGTGGTCGGCGGAATAGTATTTCGAAGGTATGCGAGAGCCTTCTGAACTCCTGTGAGCCTTTCGAGCTCCGATAGGGTCGGACGCCATGGCCACGACCGGGGGAGGGTAGAGGCTGTTCGGGGGAGGCAAACAACATACAATGTGCAAAGAAGAAGAGATTGAAAAGATCACGACCGAACAAGAACAGAGCGGACTGGCAGGGCCTTGGGTGAAAACCAAACTTTTGGGACAGTGGATGCACTGACTAAAAGCCGGGATTTCAGAGCCTCAAGGAAGGCATGGCAAACCCACCGGGGACCGTTCTTCTTAGTGTGGTCTGCCTCGTGTGTACCTTGCTTCTCGTCGGGGGCCCTTGGAAATGGTTGCTGGGTCGGTGAGAAACCTTGACCACAGGTTGGGCAAGCAAGGTGTGCGTATGATCTGGTAGGTAAGGTACAGTCTAAGGTACGTACGAACGGGACTGCGGCTCGTCAGATCAGGTACACAAGCGTATCCGTTAGAGGTACTGGGTGCGTCTGAATAGCGCGAACGCAGTACGGATACTTCGTACGGATAGGATGGGACAGGAACAGGAACAGGAGGAGCAGGATAGAGCTTCGTGGTGCGGCAGACCAGGGGTTCGAAAAAGGGGCCTGGTTTATTTTTTTTCTCGCTAGGAGCTCCACCGGTGCGCAGATGTCGGGCTTGTGAGAAGTGACGGGCGTGGATTGAGAGGAGCAGCGTAAGCGTCCAGTTCGTCGACGATGCTAGACACACAGCAAATGAGGTCAGTCGCGGATCCAGGCCAAGGGCTCCGGGCCCTTCCAAGCTCCAGCAGGGAAATTCAGGAAGGGGGGGCCGAGCTTGCTGCGATTGCGATTGAAATTGGGATTTAGGATTCTGCCAACTTGGCTGGGCGATGATGGGGGAAGCGTTTGTCCCCTCTAGCGTTGACTAGGGGGTTCAAGATCGAACCAAACCAGGACACCAACGACAATGGCACCTCTTGTTTGTAGCACGGCATGTGCTGTTCCTGCTGCTTCTGGAAGGGGGCCGGGGGCCCGGGGGTTGGTAGGTTTGCTTCCTTACGTACCTTTTGGTCGTTGGAGTGAGAGTTGTGGATGGTTGAATCCTAGGCTGCGCTGGTTTGGGACCGGACTTGACCAAGTAAGATGAGGGAATGGATAGGGGTGGTGGTGGTGGTGGAGGAGGAGAAAGAAGCGTCAAGGTCCCGTCAGGAGACGAATTGAGAGACTAACGGGAGAGCGGGAAGGGGCCGCGACGATCAGGACCGCTGACCGAGAGACGAGCCGTTGAGGGGTAATACCGTAAGGTACGGATACTTTGTAGGTAATACGGGGCAAGAAATCTGAGGTTCTAGTGATTACTGTGTACGGTGTCCGTAAGGTAAGGTAGTCCGTATATTTTGCTGCCGACCCTACCGGACCATGGGAGACCAAAGGCACGGGCACGTCTGCTGGTTTATCAGCAAGTTGGAGTAGTCAAAAACAGGTGTACAGAGATAAATAAGCGTATCCGTCTCTCTGGTTGGGAATGCAGCTGATGCGAATGGATACTCTATCACCTGCAACGGGGGGGTTCAGGACAGAAACGGCTGCATGGGACAGAACTGAACGTGGATGTGGACGTGGAATTGAAAGTGGAAGTGGACGGGAGCAACCAGGGAAGCGGAGAAAGGGACAAGGGATGTTCCACTGCGCCCTGAGCAGCTGGGCTCTTTCCGTTCTATGTACGGAGTACTGTGTGTAATTACCAGTCGGTACCTAAGTACTTCCATTTCTGGATGAGGAGGAAGGAACACTGTGAAATCAAAGAAGGAAGCTCGGGCCCCCGGCACCATGCGGAGTGGATTCAAGGTCCATTTTGTTCGGGGCCCATCCATCCAATGACAAGACTTGAAAGCGTTGGTACCACTGGACCCCTTCGACGTCCACGGAACGTTTGAACTTTCCTTCTGCCGAATGATTGGTCACCGTTGCTGAACTCATCCTTCCTCTCCATTCAAGATATCTCAAGACCCTCAGTGGCTCCAAATTCAAGGTGGAACTTGAAAGTGCAGGGAGCCAGCTACTACCTTTCTCGGTGGGTGTGGTGCGAGTCCGTAGGTACCCAACGGATACTCATACGTCCCTTGCTGCTCCAGTGGACCTCTCTCCTTCCGAAGCTACCTTAGAAACCTACTGGGCCGACCTAACTTAAGTACCTTAGACGGCTTCGATGCACCAAAGGTACCTAAGGTGTTATGCATCCGTAGCTGCCACTGCTCCTTAACGCCAACCTGCCTGACTATTACCTACACTGATATTCTTCCTTGCATTGAGCAGCCCGAACTACATACGCAGTAGCCCACCAAAAATCAAGTCAAATCAAACCTCGTGAACCATGTCGTCCGGGGTTGACTCCGGCTCGTTGCTCCGGGTCCAGCTTCCTCATTGCGACCAACATCACCAACTGGCGGTCTGCAAACTCTACCAGCTCAGGACTTGAACCCCAGATGAACATCCCTTTGTACACCAAGACCTACTGTTATGCTTCTTCCCACTGTCCTCACGAGGTACGCTGCACTTGTCCGGACAATCTACCTTTTTCAGCAGCAAACTCACTTGCACCGAAACCCAATACCAACTCACCGATGACGTACGGATGCCCAGTTCGCGACAGGCTCGTCATGGGTCAATCCTACAGGGCCAAACTCATGCCCAACAAGCTTCTGTCAAGAACAATGCTGCTGGCGCGCGTACAGACACCATTCATGTCTCAAGATGAAGCACTTCAATTTGTGCCATGATCCTCCGGCGCCCATATCATCGCAATTTCGCATCAGCACGTGGTCCGCAGGCCAATAAAGCTTCCTAGCTTAGCTCCACGAGCTTCTGCAGGGTTGCTTTCACCATCAAGCCATGCTCCCGAAACGCACCATCGTTGATTCCTTCACATACTAACAGTCACAGTTTACCATGTTTGGAGCGAACCAAAAAAAGACTCCAGGTTTCGTCTCGAAATAAGCGGCATTCCAAGGTGTTTTCTCCAGGAATATGATCCCGGCAATGGCTCTGAGCCGTTCCAGTAGCTCGGGACCCGGATGGTTGCCGGTCATCTTCGGTCGGCATTGGCACGCAGATCTGGCCTCGACATTCCACCAGGCCGGGTTGCGATGCAAGTTGCTCCATCTACGGATATTCCATCAGGTATCTTGCCCACTTCACGGCGGACACAAACAATATTGTGTATCTCCGTACGGAGTACGGTTGCGGCATCTTCATTCATTGTGTCCGACCTCCCTAGACATTTGACGACGCACCGGCCTCAACTCGGACTGTTGGAGCCTGGTTCGAATAAACTTCTGTCAAAAATTGAGCACGGTTCATTGAGAAATTGCCTGGCCATCCCTCGTCCCAAGCCCTTTTCTATCTGAGCATCGCAATAATGAAGAAATGGTACCGACGTCTTCAGCTCCAATGAATCCCCCTTTGCAAACACCAGATCGCGCTACTTGATCCTTCTCCGTTTCACGATGGAAACAATTTATCGTTCGACTTTCTGACACGAAGGATTGGCAACCGGCGCTGACACGGATCGCAGTGGAAATAACGTCGTCGACTAAATTGTGGCCGCGTTCTTGGCATCTCTCCATTGGAGGACCCTTGTCTTGGGCCACGTTCCTGCGCTTTGGCTACGGATATAGTTACGAGGGCCTCCATCAAAGTGTATATCCCAAGCTACCACATGAAGTCCCGGACTCATCCAACATCAGCTGATGACAATATCGCGGCTTTCACTTGTGGTTCTCACGATCTCGCCAGCAACTCGAATTCAAGTCAGTGCAACACAATAGCGCTGGCTCTAGCCGGCCTTTTTTTCTTTTCTTTCTTGCTTTTTCAGGTCTGCAGCGGGAGAACCGCATGGTCGATAAGCGGGCCGATTGTGGCATTGGCCTTCTCAATAGACTGAAAAATGCCAGCCACGGCTTGACGACGGCGTCGTCTGGCGAACAGTACCCGCCTCACTTAGTTATACGGGCTGCTGCTATTCCGAAACCATCATGAGCTGGAATGCCATGCTCTTGCTCAACATTTTTTGTGAGGACCGGCAATAAGTATTCGAAGAGGTTGAGTTACGTGTCGAGCTGAGGGACTCGACATTTCGCCGTTGGTGGTTAGGCTACGTCTAGGTCGCAAACCACACATCAGGCCCGGCCCGGCTCCGAGAGAGAACACAAGGGAATTGGGCGTGTTAGCAAAGTCAAAATGGTCAGCTCCGGATCAGCAATCTTTATTTCACACACATGCAGCTGTGGCGTAGCAGAATGACTTGTGTGCCTCCAACAACTACGTACGGATACAGGGAATGGAGGGCTGCTTGTGGGGTTCGTACGCGGCAGTTCAGGGTGCCGCCAGCAACACACTCGATGGATGCGTGGCTGCATCGCCAAGCTGCATGATATGGCTTCGTAAAACCCAGCGTAGGGTTACATGGAAGGCGATACGAGGGCAAGACATGCAGACGTGCAGCAAGCTGCACAAGTGGACAACCCCATTCCTACAGTATCTTTCTCTCGCGATACCTCACTGAGTCTTATATGGCGTGTTTTGCATAGAGACCTTGCTGCGCTGTGAGCCGCGCCTTTTTGCGATATACGGATTGCGGTGAGAACGGTGAAGTCGGCGGACTGAGTGAGAAAAGCAACAAAGCTCTCTTGACGTACTGTTCAGTTTGTTCGGATGGCAAGCAGAATTCCTTACCAAGGCAAGCAGGCAGCGTTACCACCAACCGAGACAATTGCTGTTGGTCAGACTCAAAGTCAACAGTCTAGAGTCTGGGGGTGAGATGCTGCGGTTCTATCCACTAGGTGCGCCTATTCAGGAGATCGCGCCATGGCCGAATCCAGCGTGTGTTGCAGGAGCATTAAGAGATAAGACGACGCTTGGCGGACCATTTGCTGATCATACCCAATAGGATTGACTCTGTCATCAGTTGGGTCTAACAACCTCCCTGGGGGATCGAGTCTTCCGGTTTCGTCTGCATCTGCAGCGTTTATTCACTAACCGTCTGGATATCACTCACTGCCGAGAGCCGCCGATCTTCCTTCTTCTTTGTCTCTGATAATTTCTTTTCTCTTACTTTTTCTCCGTCGACTTACTTGCTTACTGACGGTGATTTGGTGATGGTTCCAAGACATAGGCGAGCCCAAAAGCTAACCTCACCATGCTCGATGGCTGGGATATCTTGAGGCTTCAGATGGCGCGGTCGAACTTCTTGTCTGTCGATCTCTCCGTACCCAGCGTGACAGCCCTCGTCTGGGGTTGGAAAGCTGGGGGAGACTGGGGGGGGGGGGGACGGTGACCCGAAGGAACGTGGCATCACCTCCACACCCTCCCGTAGTCGACACCAGCAACCTCAACCCATTGATCAGAAGACAGAAACGACGCCGTCCAACTCGGTTGTGCGGCGCACATGGAGCCACCGTGCATATCGAGCTTGTCAGGGAACTAGTCACATCCCCCTTTACCCCTTCCTTCCCCTGCCGCAGCAGACTTGCTTCTATCCTCCAGTCTTGACATTTGCAAGAAGCGCACCACAGGCTGCCCTACAGTGACTAACGCCCGCTTATACCCTTCGACACACATCAGAAGCATGTTCAGGCCACAATGTACAAGGCATGTTGGCCATTGTCCTACCCTCCGACCATGCTCTCATACAGAGGTCGGATGGTGAATTGCTGTCGAGGTTTTAGAACAGACAGCGCCACCGACGCCCGAAGAAGTGGTCGAGGTCCTTGAGCAGTGAGGAGAGAGGAGGAGGAAGCCGGCTCCGTGTGGTGTCGGTGAAGCGTGCGAACGCCCGGAGACAGTCCCAAAGCGGCATCCGATCACTGGTCCAGTGTAACTCGGATGACCAACAAGGCGTCTAACATGTCGAGCCATACCGCGTTTGTCCGGCCGGTTCATCCAAAAGGTAGGCTCAAGCACCACGGCCATGCTACCTTAATTTTTATTCTTCCCCCTTCAGTCCCCTGTCACCTTATTTTTTGTGGTATATTTTCTCTGCAGGTCACGATCTTGGTCGAATAAGGAATGGTTCGGGTTAGCTGGTGGTGGTGGTCTCCCGGCACCCCAGTTCATGCGCGCCCTTACTCGCCCACAGGCTAGGGCCGATATTCTAATGAAATCACATCGGACTAGTACGGAGAAGTCGGCTATTCGTACAGCAGGAGGTCGTCACGCTGAACATGTTGATACAACACCTCAGACGCAGGGTTGATTGGTGCCGCCGAGAGAAGGAAAGGGACAGGGAAGGGAAGGGGAAGTACAGGAAAGAAAGAATAGGTCTAGGAGACTGGCGGTGGTATGCAGGTTTGATAGCTTGTCTGTCCCATGCGCTGCGTGCCGACATGCGCAAAGAAAAGGTGGGCAACCCTCAGAGAACGAAGTGTCCAGGGCCCTCGAGTCCGCATCCTCGCCGCTTAAGGTAAGGTACAAGTCTCCGTCAGGTAAGGTTACTGAGGATAGTAAGGCGACGTGGGCTGGTTAAAGGTCCAATTCCCCGTCTTACAGCTCAGTGAGGCAAGGCGAGGGATCTTTTGAAGCCTAGTACCTGAAGCCAAATAAGCGGCGCTATGCGTGATGCGTGATGGAGGCGGTTGTATTTCCCAAACCCCACCTGCTTTAACTGCAATCCCGAAAGGCTCCAGAATGGAGAGTGCAAAGTAAAGCTTTCCAAGCATGAAGCCGTTCGAGAATGCTTTTCCATGCTGACGGTATGGACTAAGAATTATGGTATCCCCTGAGATTCCGAGTACTTGTCTGCCTTTGGTCTAAATGGATGCAAATGGTCTCCAATCCAACCCCCATGCATTCATTCCCATCCACACCGGGCCATGACCATGACCAGAACCAGTCAGTCCCTCAAGCCATTAAATACCATCAGAGGTGTCTAAAAATGCAACCTATGGAACGCTCGTGTCTCTCAAGACATCCGTGAACCCCCCCTTGTGGTTTTTAATTCTTCACCTTCCCATACCCCCTTCGCAAAGCCCGTCTCTTCTCGCTACCGACCACTTCTCCCTCTCAGTCACTTTTTCTTGACTCTTCAGCCTTCTCTGGTCTCTCATCTCTTTCCTCGGTCTTTCGCTAGATCGCCCTCGCATTTCTCTCACACACACACCCTCCGTCGTCCGAGTTCAGCCAGACCAGGCTCCCGTCCCATTCTCTGTCTCGCCGTCACCACGCGCGCATACGGAGAGGCATAAAAGAGAAAGACACAGAGAGGAAATAGCACGCTTGGTGGCAGGTCTGAAGTTTGTCCCCGTGAGGTACATATTGTCTGGGACCCTGCGGGACTAGCGACGCACACCACCGCCGACATCTTCTCTTGCATCTTTTCCGCCTTTTTATTTTATTTTATTTTGCTGTCTCTTCTCTCTTCTGTCACTGTTACTTGTCTCTGTTTAATCGACCTTTGCGTGCCTCACATCACACACATACGCACACACATACACAGACACCTTGCCCGACGTTATTCACCACCTTTCAACCGCCGCACTCCGGCACGCACGACACGCACGCATCAATAGCCCCCCCAAAAACGCAGGTCCAGCGCCTGGGACGTTCCCAATCGCCGACAGGACGACAGGACCCTTGGAACCGCGAAAGGAAGAAGAGCTCTGCGACCCACTTCACCCGCCTTGGTCCAGACGGACGGTGGTGCATCTCGCTCGCTTGAGCCTTGGATTGAGCCCGCGTGCTGCTTGCTTGCTTGTCCGGTTCCTACGTCCCGGTCGTATGACATATACATAACCCCAGGACACCCCGAGACCGCTGTTGAACCCAAGGGTCATTCAACTTCCCAACTGTAGATCCTTCTTCATCTATCTTTTTTCTCTCTCACCCACAGGGGCGTTCTCAACCGGGCGTTCACGTCAAAGGAAAGCAAGCCTCTTTTTTTGGCAACGGATGTTACCTACATGACTACTACCCCTGCCAGGAAACAAACAACCTTAACTGCCCGACCCGACTTGCTCTGACGATCAACCCACCCCCGCGTTCTCTCAGTTCACTCAATTATCCACTGGAGCATCTCCATTCATACATAAAAAGCGCCCTCCGTCCGGAAACGCTTTTTGCGACTACGGCTTATTTTCTAACAAACTCGGCACTGAGCATCGTCATTCACATCCATTCCGGAATTTCAAAGATTTGAATCTCTAGTTGGAACCTTGATCCCGAGTATCGGTGGAGTAGTTTCCATTTCAGCGATCAACATGTTATACAACATGAGCTACCCTCGTGATCAGCCGACGGCGGCGGCAGCTCAGCCCATCAAGCCAATCGCCCCTCCTCGGCCGAGACAGCGGTGCTCGCAGCCGATGCCTTTCGACCCCGAGGAACTGTCTCAAAAACTCGTCAAGGTCCTTGCCGATCAGAAGCTTCACGCCGAGAAGAGAAGGAGAGCCAGGGCGGAGGCCACCGCGCCGTCCAAACCGGCAGCACCAGCTCCAGCCCTCAACGGGCTACAAGACGGTCACCCCCAGCATGCAAGCTTGGCTAGGGAGTATCTCGATCAAGGGTCACTCAAGCCCGGCCAGTCCACCACCACCACCACCACCACCAGACCTGCGCAGCCTACCGTAAAGCCAACCAAGGAGAGGGTGGACTCTGGCAGCTCCGCAAGGTCAAAGTCCAAGACGTCCGACGCAGACACCCGCAGCTCCAAGTCTGGCGGAAAGGACTCGTCTTCGAAACGCAAGGGCTCTGACGGTGACAAGCACCCCTTCATCCCACAGTTCGCCGCGGCGCAGTTCTCGCGCACAACGACGACCGAGACGTCGGACAGCAAGGGTCTCGTTCGCAAGCTGTCGAGGACGGCCCTCAGGATTGCCCAAGGCCACCGCGAGAGGCACCAGGACCGCGCCCCCATCACCCACGAACAGATTCCGGAAATGGCTGAGCTGGGCAGCTCCCGCGCGCACCGTGACCGTAACCACCACAGACACACCATCGAAGGACCGCTGGGTGTTGGCCGGGCCGGTGAGATTGACCACACCAGATCTGCCAGGCGGGCTACAACCGGCGACATTCTCCTCCCCTTTGAATCTGGTGCTTCTTCACCATATCATCTTGATGATCCCGAGGCGGCGGATCACAACCCCTATGAGCACCGCGTGGACTGGACCCAAAGCGACGAAGCGCAGCCGCAGCCGAAGACGAAGCCGTCGCTGCGCAAGGCGGATTCCATATGGGCTCTGAAGCATAAACTCGGAGCCCTCACCAGACACGGGCGGGAAGAAAACCACTCCCGGGACAACAGCCCACCGTCCGACACCGCCTTGAGGTCGCCCAAGAGCGGATTCTTTGCGCGATTCAAAGTCAACCACTGAGCTCCGGAAGAAAACTTTTGTCAAGGGAGTAAATAGGACCCTTACCTGATGATCGATACCATCTATGCATACACGGCGCGGTTTTGCAGCACACTCGCGGTCGAACGTGTGTATACGCACGCCTTATCAAACACAGGGCCGCCGCATAATACACGCAGGCCGCCCGCCTTAATCATACCATAACCCAATCCAAAACCACAAAACGCCCTCTCACCCGCGGTCCTCCGTCATGAGGCGTCTAATCAGCTCGGCATCCTTCTCAGCCGCCTGTTTCCTAATCACCTCTTCCGCCTCGGCCGCCGCGCTCGCCTGCGACATGAGGTGGTTGATGAGCTCGACGTACTCCCTCACGCCCTCGCCGTCCTCGCCGTCGGCGGCCCTGGCCCTCCGCAGCGCCTCTTTCCCCTTGCGGATCCCGACGTCGTGCGTCCACTGCTCCTTTTTCGGGTTCGCGGCCGCCAGAGCCCGCGCCTTCATCATGTCGTTGAGGCTGCTCCCCGTGGACTGCAGTTCCGGCGGCGGCTCCGTGGCGGCGAAGATCTCGAGGAGTCGCGCCTGCAGCGTCGGGTACCGTCGGAAGAGGTACCGGAGCTGGTCCGAGTCGTCGAGGACGCTGAAGGGGTTCCTTGGGCCGCTTGCGGCGGCGGCACCGCCGCTCGGCGCGGGGGGCTCGATGGCGGCCGAGGCGGGTTTCGGCGCCGGTTCGGGATCGGGCGGGTGGTTCTCGCGGTGCGTTTTGTTACACGGGACGGAGCAGCTGGAGGGGAGAAAGGGGAAGCCCGCAAGTCAGTAAAGATAATGTATATAACGAGAAACAAACCACGTATAATGAAGAATGAGTACTTTTGAAGAAAACGCCATGGAACAGACTCGAGCATAATTGTGAAAAAAGTACGTACAATGGTAATGCGCAGCGCGTGCACTTGTATTTTCCCTCTTTTTCGTGGCATACACCACACATCTTTGTCTTTGGCGCGGACGGGGGAGGCTGTGTTGTCGTCTCGTCTGCTGCTGCTCCTGCCGTGGGTTGTGTCCGTGTCGTTTGCGCCGTGGGAGCTGTTGCTGCTGCTGCTGCTGCTGCTGAACCGTCACCGTCACCGTCACCCGGCTCACCCTCGCCTTCACCCGCCGTCAGCGACGCGTTCGCCATCGCCGCCGTCGTAGCCCTCGTCTTTGCCTCGCCGTCGTCGTCGTCGTCTTGGTGCGAGGGGCTCGTTGCGCGGGACCGTTTCGCGGCGGGGGGTCGGGACTCGGGTCCGGTTGCTAGGTCGTCTTGCGCGGCGCGTTTGGGGGATGTCGGGGGGGCGGCGTTGGTGGAGGTGTCGTCTGGGATTGACATCTTGGGAGGGAGGAGGAGTAGGGAGGCCGGCGGTTCGGTCGACTGTTTCTCGGTTCTGGAGAGGGCGGAGGGAAGGGGGGGTTGGAAGAGGTTGTCGCTGGGCGAAGAACGAGTGTCGTGGGAGAGTGTCCGTTTGCTGGCTGGAAAGTTGCTCTCCGTCGTCGGGTATGTTGCGTCGATGTTCAATGGTTGCTCTGTCGCTCTCCGAAAAGGAAAAAAAAAAAAAAAGAGTAAATACGGATAAAGTGCTGACTGGAGACAAGGGTAAGGACAAGCCTTTGCGATTCAGGGTACGGATAGGTAGGTAATGTAAGGTGGTCAAGGGTCGAGATAACGTCGTTGGACGCTTTGAGTAACGATAACCCCGCGTTCCTTTTTTCTTTTTTTTTTCTTTCTGTCTTCTTTCCTTTTTTTCTGCTAGTTGGGTTGCGAGAGACTTCTCTGCTTTGGGCTCCTTTTCGAAACTTTTTTCTGCCGCCTGTCTGTTTGACGATTTTCCGGCGGGGCGTTTTCCTCCATAATACCTTGGTTCCTCAAAACCTTGGGCGGTGAACAGCCCCCTTGACCGCCAAAATACCTTACCTTAGCTGTCCCCGAGCTCCCCACAAAAGCATTCACTTCATGCGAAATCGGGAATTCCACGGACCAACCCGAGGGGGTTCCATGAGTGGCAGTTTTCTGCGTCATTCTTCTCCAGCTGTCCGAACCCCCCCCCCCCCCCTGGCACTGACTGGGTGGTCCACCGTCCACCGTTCACTGACCCTGACCCCCCAAGAAAGGACAGGGCCCAAAACTGACCAATTCCCGCAGAGAGCCTCGATGATTGGTAATGCAACGCCTCGGAATTGAGAGGCGTGTGCAAAAAAAGTGGAAAGCTCTTTCCAGTTTTGTCAACCTTTTTTCCTCGCGCTGTAATTTGCCTGCTGTCAAAATTCAAAGGTTCCGTCACCGGATGTAATGCCGAGGTGTGAGGTTTGGTAAATCTGTACGGATACGTCTGAATAATCAACATTTTCGACAATACATCTTCCCACAACATTTACGACTTTTCTCCTCACTCTTGGACGACCAAAAACCTTCGCCCTCGACATTGTATATTCGGTCAATAACGACGATAGCGACGAATCATCGGATCGGAGAGACCCCGACGGCCACCAAACACATTAAATCTTTCGCCACAATGTCATCGTATAGAGCAACGAGGACGGCCCTCCGCGCCGTCGCGCGCACATCGAGGCTCGCCACCTCCAGACCCTCACAATCGCGATCCTTCGCCAGCGTACACACCGGCTTCCTCCAAAACAACCAAACATCACAACGCCGCCCGACGGCAACAACAAGTCGACACCAACAATCCCTCCAGCGACAATCCCCCTTTGCCGCCCGCACCGGCGCCGTCCGCACAATCTTCATCCAGACCGAAAACACGCCCAACCCAGACGCCGTAAAGTTCCTCCCGAACCACCGCATCCTCCCCGACACCCTCTCCACCCCCTTCATCGAGTACCTCAACCCGCGCTCCACCATCGCGCCGCCCTACCCGTCCCCGCTCGCCGCCCAGCTCATGAACATTGACGGCGTCACCTCGGTTTTCTACGGCGCCGACTTCATCACCGTCAACAAATCCCCCGACGCGAATTGGGCACACATCCGCCCGGAGATCTTCGCCCTCATCACCGAGGCTATCACCTCGGGCCAGACCATCGTCACCGTCTCGGCAGACAAGGAAGGCGGTGCCGGTGCGGCCGCCGACGGCGCCCCCGAGGAGCCCGATAGTTTGGCGTACGATGAGAACGACAGCGAGGTCGTCGGCATGATCAAGGAGCTTCTCGAGACGAGGATACGGCCTGCTATCCAGGAGGACGGCGGCGATATCGAGTTCCGCGGGTTCACGGACGAGGGTACCGTGCTGCTGAAGCTTCGCGGTGCGTGCCGGACGTGCGATTCTAGCACCGTGACGTTGAAGAATGGTATTGAGAGCATGCTGATGCATTATGTAAGTTGACTCAACCTCTGTGGTTTTTGGGAGGTTTCCTGGAGATTTCCTGCAAAGCGCCTCCCGAATAACCGTGGAACATACGTGCTGACGTCGGCATATCCAGATTGAGGAGGTCAAGTCCGTTGAGCAGATCCTCGACCAGGAGGAGGAGATTGCCATCCAAGAATTTGCAAAGTTTGAGGAGAAGCTCAAGTCCCAAAAGGGACCCGAGGCGACCGCGGCATAAACAGTAGCACGCTCGAATGCGATATGAGGAAGACTGTCCAGAAGTGGTTCCCAAACACTTCTCAGAATGACGAAACAATAAGACATCGAGGAGGCGCACGATACCTGTAGAACTGCTGTATAATTAAAGAGAAACGTTTCATCCGGCTTCAACCCGGTGACGGAGACAATACCCACTACCAAAAGCGTACGCTGCTATTCCTTCATCGCAGCCTCGTCCACGTCTACGTAGGGTTACGCCAGCCTCGCACAGTCGAGGTGTGCACAGATAATGAATGACCTGGTCCGAGACCTACCTCGCAAACCGCTATCGCTGAGCCTCGTGTTCGGTCGGATATGATGCCTCACTGACCCGGAATGGGCTGCGTCGCCTCGAACGTAAAGAAAAGAAAAAAAGTCAAGTTCCGAGCCGGGGCCGGTCTAGGTCTACTACGGTATCAGGCCAAAGTTTAACCCCCTTGTCAGGTATCTTCGCCCATGCTTCTCGAGATTACATCAGCAGCATTACTTTCGAGATTCTTGTGCACGTCGAACAAAATTTTGGCCATTGAGAGTCACTGCTCTACCCTAGTCAGACCCACACTACCTGGTAGGGAGTTTAAACATACCCCTAAGGACCAAGTAGATGGATGACGATCTGGGCGAGCCTATGAGGGCCTGTTGCGCACAACCCTACCACCGGCGGCGTCAAGTCAGATTGCAGAATTCAGACAAATGCCGTCGACAATGCGAGTAAAGATCATCCATGGCCTGCTAAAGCCTAGCCAGCCGCGTTCGAGATCAGTATCCGTCGTAACGAAATGCGCAGGCCCAGCAGGGTTGGCGGAGGGTTTTCCCTATTGCCCTCGTCCTGATTGGACTCTGGCCCCAACCAAGGGTTGCTGCAGCGGATCAGGGCGGGGGGCCGGGGGTGGTCGTTCCCGTACAGGAACCCCTCATCGAATCATCGAAACCCCTCAACTCTCTTATGTTTTGACGTCCCCACGGTTGAGCAATTCTGAGAGTGGTTTTAACGTTCACGCCCTTTCGTCTGCCATACCTCATCAGAACGGCCATCTCCGTCTTGTTTCCCACCCTTCTTTCTCTCCTTGAACAGGCCTCAGGAGGTCAACGGCCCACCGAATTCCTGGCTCGTCTTTTCTGCTCGGTCAAGTTTAGGTTCCTTGACTTCCGCTGATCTCGTGCCGCATCTCCTCATCATCATGCCAGTCTGCCGGGTGCATGCCTGCCCCGTCTCTGCCTCCGCACCGAGTACCACCAGTGCCCCCTAGAAAACGATTGGCAGGCCCCTGTTGACGTTGCTACAGTATCGCAGTACAGAATTAGTTGCGAACAGCAAGCCATGGTATTGATGCCGTCTTAGACTGTAATCTGAGGCAGACCAGATGCAAGAGCGGAACAGTTGCGGTCGCGCCAGGTGGGCCAGGAGAGGACCGA